GTTGGATCTATTTTGTTCCCTCCATATAGGTTGTTACCAATGCTGGGGAAGGCTTGCTTGGCAACATGCTTGGCTCAGCGGAAAATCTTTTATTCCCCTTAATTTCATATGTTGGATAGTCTTGGTTAGTTCATTTAAACCATGTTAATCACTATAACATTATTGGTCTTGTAATTTTATGTGGTATGTAATCGATCATAATACTTCAATAAACCTGTTGAATCTAATCTTTCAATACAGCAATAGTATATTTGCACCCTTCTTACTGAGCTAATAAATCTGTGTTTCTATGATACGACATAAACTTAAGTGGCCTCACCGTGCCTAGCATGTACAAATTGCATCAGAGACTTGGTGACTATCCAGCGACACCCCTATTTGAAGATGATGTGGTGGCAGACTGGCAGAGACTCCTGAACTTATCTGTAGCACTTGGCTTTGAAATTGACGACTGAACCATCGTGAATGTATCTGAAAAAATTATTCACCTGTTCAAACTACTAAGTTCAAACTACTATGTAACTAAGTTAACTATCAACTAAGTTAAGTACGTTAACGGCAATGTGAAGACGGAATAACGTTAATAATAGATCACTTGAAAATATGTTATAACGTTAGAAGCACGAAAATACCGCCATCACCAGTGAAATGACATTCGAAGGCCTATAAAACGAGCAACGTACCACTCTATCGCCCTACACAAGCCTGAATATTTGCAATGTTTTTCTGAGCAATGACATTAAACAACATGATAGGCAACTCTGACGTCACTCCATAAGACTACATGCGAAAGATTGTATTTCATGATACGCTCTAATGCACATATTTCTCGTCGCCTTTCGCGACGGTTTTCCGCTTGCTTTTGCTACTCGGCGTCTTCTTTACGTGTAGTACCCGCCTTTTTGCGCCTGTAACGAAAGAAAATAATCTCTATATCTGAGAAGTTTTGCTCATTTGGAAAGCAAGAATGGCAGACAAGCTGTATAGAGTAATTCTGAACATCATAGACGTTTTTTTTATCAGAGAATATTACAAACGCGATAGCGTAAAGATTTGTGTGAAACATTTTGCAGATAATGACAAAGTTCAAAGTTAGTAATTTTAATGTTTGCGCTTAAACATTAAAATTTCTTTTAAAGAGGGTGTCATACAAAACAGCAAAACTGTTTTTACTTCTCTTAAAGGTGATGTGATACAATTCCATAACAGAAAGTTTGAAACTATCGAACTTGCTTTAGTAGGTGAATTTATTAGACATATTACATATTCAGTTAATCGTAGGTAACATTGCTGGTACATAATGCCTCGTAGATAGGTTTGTGTCTAAATTTAGAAATTTATCTCTTAGCCCGCTAATTAATATTATCTTCTATGCAGGAGATTGCAGGGCTGATTCAACTTGCAGCCTTACCGATCACCTGACGATGCTCATTTAGTTTGTCTCGAGCAAGTCTTCTTGAAAAACTCGTGTGAATGGAAACTACCTATATGTTTTGCCTTCCTCCGACTTTAGAAGACAAATTTATTTTGAAGGATTTGGCATATAATTCTCATTGATTGTTGGCTGTTTATAATTCCTATTAAATGTGAATTCTGATTATAACAAAGAGTTAAACATTTTTTTACGTAATCTACGGGCACTTTTTTCTTGTCAATACTCCAAGCTGAGGTAATAAGCAAGACAATACATTTATGTCATCTGGAAGCAAAATATACACACTAATTAAAAGTTTGACACATTGAGATAATACATCATGACAGAAAATACAAAGATACAGTATGTATGACCATCACATGGTAATTAAAATTAAAAAAAAAATAATAGAGGCTGTGAAGTATGAAAAGTTCAAGACAAAGAAAAGAACAAAAGTTCATAGCTCATGAACTCTCAATTCTGCCTCCATTGCTTTGTGAAGGCCAATATATTCCGAATGGCTGAATTGGTTTACCTTTATGATAGCAATGGTTTTGTATTTAATATAGCGAGATTTTTTTTCAATTTAATTGAAGTGATATTATTTCCCAAAGCAATGCTTGAATCGTCTAGAATAGATCAGTGGTGTCAAACTCATGGGTTTCGAGAGCCGCATTGCATGTTAGAAATTGTAAAAAGGGCCGCAAACAGTTTTTGATAATGTATACTTGAAAGATATTTTTCAGATAGTTTTAGTTTGTGACATATATTGTGATGCAACTAATCAGTTGGATTAAGTATTATTATTTTCTTTAATTTCAGATGCAATTACATATTAATATTTGCATTCCACTATTATTGCAAGTTACTGTATTTATTACAAAAAATCATAAAATTCCATGTACAACCATCAAAATCATTTTTGAACAAGCGTTGGTTAAGGAAAGAATAATAAATACACTAAAAAATGACTTAATCTATGAACCTAAAATTAACAAAAATACTACAGTATAAACTCAATGTTTTTTTTAATTACATTTGTCCAGACGTTTGGCATCTTCTTTGTGTCACCAGCATACTAAGGCCAGGCTGAAATGATTTTATAGTACCAACTCTAACTAACGAGGTCACATGATCATGGGTTAATCTGTATCTTTGCAAAAGTTTGATTAATTCCAGTAATGCAAAAAAGTTACTTTTATCATTTCATGTATAGATCAGTAAAAAAACAAATGGCAGATTTTTTCGACAAGACATTTCGGGCTACATTGCATGGCGTAGGATTGCTTGAATTATTATTGATATTGATTTTTAGTAACTGAGTCGTTGTATATTTATATTAATATACAAACACATGGTAATTTTCTGTTCGGAGTTGGTCTTCGAATTTTCATATTGACTGCTGAGCTTATTGTGTTTTTTCATTGTACTGATGGAAATATGACAAATTTAACAATGTGCTTCAGAATTTTGTGAAATGCAGAAATATTGCAACTCCCATTTTCTTCGAAAATGCCACCTTCTTCATGTACTTTAATTTAATCACTCAAGTGTTTTATTCAGTATTCTTTTGCTAGCTTGATGTGTATTCTTAATTGAGTCAAAATGTGAACAAAAAAAAATTAACTTTCTAAAACTATATTCAGTAAATTGTTTTCTGTGTGAATATTCAATTTCACTTTAAAAGGTTTGAAAAATCTTTTACATTTAAATAAAAAAAAATTCAAAAATACTATTACAATTATTGTTAAGCGTTCGAGGACCGCACTGGAAGTTTTCTGGGGCCGCAAGTTTGACATCCCTGGTCTAGATTGAAGTTGTCCAAAATATATAACATTATTTTATCATGAATCATGATTATACCCTTTCCTGAATTTCTTCTATAGTACTACCAAAATTTAATGAACCAAATATAACACAGGTGTAGTCAGTGACCCGTAATCCTCATTTTTCAAAGCTGTTTTAAGTATGTCTGGCATGTTTTGTGCCTTTTTACAAAGAAGACCGCTTATGCAATCTTACGCTTTAGAATTTTTAGTTATTTCCCTCAAGCCCTGCAGGATGTAAGGGCCATACACAACTTTACCGGAGGGTCAAATGTCTTTGCATTCCTCTATAGGTTGTTTTTCTATTGCAAACATTTATGGAGTATTCTAATCATATTTCTTGGAATCAAACTGTCACTGATATGTCACCAGACTTCTGATATCTCCCCTTCTGCTACAGTTGTCCTGTGAATAAATAATAGGAAATTCAGGTTAGACGAATAGTTGAAAGTTTTGTTTTATGTCGGCCTAATTTCTTGATTGATATACTTACTATTATTGCTATTGCCTCTTGTGCTGCAGGAGTCTCACAATGCTTAGACAGGTCTGTCCACAACTTTCACATCTGTAGGAGAGGAGATGTATTAACTTTCGTTAAGAATGGAAAAGATAATAAATCCAATATCTTATGTTTTTTGTAAAAAATGTTTTACTGAATTTGGTATATAAACCAACTAATAAAGGGGTTTAGTCAGAAAATTATAAGCATTCGTGGCTCCAAATACTTGAGAGATCAGACTATACAATATAGACCGGTATGAGTTAAATTTTAGGTGAACTTGTTAACCCTTTGATTCAATAAGCAAATAAAAGTGAATGAGCAATAGTATGTTACAGCAATAACTATATATCCTCACTGATTAAAAAAATCTAACTGAAGGTGCATGAACTATTTGAAACCATAAGGGGTAAGTAAATATGCAATTTCGGCAGATGGCCAACTACGTACCGTACTGAATTATAAACTTCGTAGTATTTGACAAAAGCTGGCTTTCCCGCATGTACTTAACAGTGCGATGCCCGGGTGTGATATACAACAATAGTATTTACCTTACTTTTTTCCGATTTCTTTCTACTTTCAATTTTCCAAATATCAATAAAAACCACAACAACTGTCGAAGCAGGCTCGAACACCATTCGTGCTATGCCTTGAAAGCAACACACATCCGCTCGTTTTCGTCTCGTCAAGTATGTGCATTGGAGCGTGCTATCGAATACGATCTTCGGCCAAAAATGCCGGAGTTGCGCGTCATGTTGTTTAATGTCATTGTTCTGAGCGACCAAAATCAAAACAATAAAGGTCAAAGGTCGGGGAAAGGTTCATAACAACAAAATTTTGAAACGATCGTTATGGCCACTAAACGTGTCCAATATTCAAGCGGTGGCAACAATGCAAACGCGGCGCACATGAAATATAAAATGTCATTAATGCTGAGAAACTACGTGAGCACATTATTATATCACAAAATATATAGATAATGCGGTCTGTCTGGGTTGGTGATTTCGGTTGCCATGCACTTTGTTTGATTTACGTTGAACATCAATTATTGCCAAATTATAGTCCAGAATGTAATAAGTAATTAAAGTTACCGGTACCGTACCGGTAACGTTAAAATTACTATATTTAAGTAAAGTAGGATATGGAAATAAATTGGTTACAAAGGGTGTAAGTGAGGTTTTTCATTCTTGGGTACCGGTATTGATTTCAGACAAGGATATCTGGATATAGGAATAAGATTGTTATTTCACAGAATATCGGAGTCTTCGTTTGATTTTTTTCTTATGTGTTTTAGGCTACTTCATTTAATCACTTTGAAGTAACCTGAAAAACAAAAAATAAAACTGCGAGTAAATGTTTCAATGATTGGGTGATTCGTACAATTTGTATACTTGCGAGCTGTCTACATTTAGCAAGATCGATGGTTGAAGAGTATTTGACATTCACTAGTTCACGCATCTGGTGTAGATTTTAGATTGGATATCTGTTTTAGCAGATCCTTTCATTACATTATGGATTTTACAACAAAGGTCAGAAGGTATTTATTTAAATCGATCACTTTTATTTTTGTCACTGATAAAACGAAACAACATACGGTAACAATAACAAATGCTGAAATGGCTGACAAACAAAGTGCAGTGTTGCTTATGTAATTTATGTAAAGGTTGTCAGACATGCTGTTGTTGGTCTATATTATGTTTAATATCACATTAGAGCAGACATGGCATGCGGGCCAAATCCAGCATGTTGGGTAATTCAATCTGGCCAGCCTAATGCTGTCACCACAAAGCTAAAACTAAATTTTGCTGTTTTAGCAAAAAAATAGCCTAAGAATTTGGGGTCTCATGTAGTTTCTTTACCTAACATACTTCTAGTGGGCGAAGCATGACAATTTTTTCACGTATCAATCCTAACCCCCACCTGACTACACCATCCAAAAATTACGTCATTGCGACGTCACAGTGACGTAATAGAGCCTTTCAAACTATACGAACTGCCATCCAAGACGCGCAAACGAGCACCCAAAATCGAACAGTTATTTCTCTCGTTTTCTCGTCGCAACGATTCCAATAGGAGAGATTATATTCTTTACGTAACCGAATTTATTGCGAGAAGCGTGTAGACTAACTAAATAATATTAGAATCTAACAAGTATAAAATTCAAAATTACTTGTTTAATTAGCCTATAATTTAATTATAATTAGACAAATGGCAACAAAACGCAGAAAAGGTGATTTTTTGAGATGCAATGTATCACTGCTTGATTTTAATTATAAGAAGTATCATCCGTTCGGTTTTCAACTTTCTAAAAATATGTGCGGCCCGTTAATGACTTGCAATCTTTAATTTTGGCCTGCGAGCGACAAAAAGTTGCCGACCCCTGGTCTATATTATAGCATAAATGTGTAATTTACAGAAATATTTTTTCAAATTATTAATCTTAATATAATTCTAATTTTTATAGGTGAAAAAGTGGATAATATCATGGTTGGAAGAACACAGGGGTCTCGTCATTGTATTGTTTTGTCTACCTGCCAGTTTTCTCTTTGATTCAATTTTCAAATTACAGAGATTGGTTCATCAAAAGTTATTTTATGCTCCAGAGAATCACGATACCAGAGTCAAATCCATCCAGAAAAAGGTATTATATCATGTTGCTCATTATCACAAACGAAATTTCTGTAATTCATTATTTTGTAAATTTGGAATTCAATTTCATTCCGTTGCTTCACATACTTTTTAACGGGAGAACAAGAGTAGCAGGAGCATGAGCCCAAATAGGCCTATGACAAGATTTCATTCATCTGTCTGTCTGTATATCAGTATCAAGGTTGACATTGTATATCAATGATGACAATGAACTCAATTGACGCAATAGTGTAATATTTCAATATATTCACAGCAAAATCACTGTTAATTACTGATTTTTGTCTTATAAGAACATCACAAAAAATTTCAATTGTTAAGATTTGTCACTTTCAATTTTGCCAGATGACATTTACTTGAATATTTATATCTGCTCTAAATTCGTTCTTCTACTTTTTTTTTGTATGATGTTTAGGTAAGGCATTGGAATGAACTACCTGTGGCTAATAGAATTCGAATGTGTACAGCAAGACCGAATTGGCTGAGTCTTTCTACAACATTTTTCAGAAAAGTAGGCAATATGGTTGAATTAATATATCTTTTAGTCCCTTTTTGTAAATTTGAAGTCCAATATACCGGTATTGGTTATCAAGCTTTTTCAATATCCCATCTTTTCAGTTACCAGTTATTTGTAAACTTGTTAACCTATTTGTAAAAGCAATCAGGACGAATGAAGGCATAATTTTCTGTAATTATGCCATGATTTGTCTGTGTTTAATAAGCCTACTGGAATTAAGCACTGGTGTAAAGAGTCAAAATTACCGTAGGTGTACTTAAGGACTATTAGGCACCTTCTTAAACACATTCACCAAAATATACAGCTACGACCTTTTTTCTCCGGATAGTTCTTATTTGCTCTTTTTGTAATTTTCACCACCTGAATTTTATTGGTAATTTTGATTGAATTATAATATTCACCCTATATTCTTCTAGTTCTAATAATAATATTTTGACAGAATGAATGTTATCAAGTATCAATTCCGCTCTATGATATTCTTGACTTGGATAAAGAAAGAATGATAGTTCGTGTGGAACCAATGGTATTGTTTTATAATAATATTTTTAGGTGTAAGCTATATATATTATATATATATATATATAGCATTGTGGTGGTAAAAATTTGACTGCTAATTCACTGATCGTTTTTGTTATAATAAAATTTTTCCAAATGTTTTTTTTTGTATCAGGCTGAAATAGCTTATGACCCAAGAAACTTGTGTGAGCACTACAATATTTTTAAATCACATTCACTATATATGACTGGAATTATTATTGAGTTGTCATTACACTCACTAGTAGTGAGTCACTACCATTTGTATTCTGCTTTTCTATTAACTAATTATTGAAATATTAGCAAAAGTCACTGCAGTTTATCAGAATCATACAGTCATGCCTTTTTCACATAACATTTGTGTTTTTGTCATTCAATCCAAATCTGTTTTTACTCCATACCCTTAATGCCCAACACAAATAAATGTCAGAATGCAGATAGAGTAGAGCCAATAAAATAGACTTTAAACGTTATACAACTATATATTCATTGCAATGTGAATATGTTTCAGCTTTTTAGTAACCAAACCTAATTAATAAAACTGCTGAAAACAATTAAATCTTCCGAAATTCAGTTATTCAACTATATTTTCCACTAATAGGTTTCTGTTGGAGAAATAACCGAATATTTAATTCCACTTGGGTATACGCTGGCTGTGACATTGGAAATATCAGATGCAACTTGTGGTGGATTGGCCGTGGCCGTTGGAATGACAACTTATTCACATCGCGTTGGATTGTATCAGGTAAATAATAAATTTACAAAATATAAAACTTCCCAATCGAAACTCTTGTAAAATTCTATCAAATATGTCTTAGTTTTGCGCATTGATTACATTTTTTTATCCAACTTTCTTAGAATCACCCATGAAACTACCATAAATCAGTACCATAGAATTTAATTACCTACTCATTCAGTACAGGTTGGAATTGGATTAAATAACCAATAACCAATTGTTTCAAATACATGGGCCTATGTGGATGGAGGAGAATTGTGATATTAAATTCCGATTCTTTTAAAAATACTAGCTCTTAGGTATCAGACACTGCTTGTATACCAAATGCAGGTATGAAAATATCTCATAGAAACATTAATGACTACATTTACTGCTATTTTGAAGTTAGATAGTATAATTAATCTTGTATTAAATCACCAACTATAGCCCAGAATGATTGACCAACATTAAAATTTTATACTCTACAGGAGGCAATTGAATCATTTGACATAGTTTTAGCAGACGGATCACTTGTTCGGGCCACTCGAGATGACCATTCTGATCTCTTTCAATGTCTACCATGGTCACATGGTACTTTAGGATTTCTTGTGGCATTGGAATTAAGGATTGTTCCAGTAAAACCTTACGTTCATATGAAATATATATCAGTAAGATGAGTTTGCTTGCTAGTTTCTCTGATATTTCATGAATGGTGCTATGTTATTGTTTGATTAGCTATTTCATATATAAAATATGAATGCACATATATACACATTAGCGATACATACATAGCGGGCAGCAGGTCATTGGGTCGATATGGTGCATTTCAACAATAAACCTGTTTTTTTTGTTCGACATATGACATGCAGAATTCGCCAGATAACAACTGCGATAGATTTAATGTTCTCAGTAAAAATGAATACATGTGCCCTTCTTGGCATTATATTGATTCGGTCTAATTTCTCATAAGACCAATTCAAGACAAAGTAGAAACTCTCACCAAGACACCCCGACTAGATTCGAACTGAAAATTATTTATCTTGTAAAATGCATTGATGACATAATATTATGATGTCGAAATTGTAGGCAATAACTTTGTATCCATATACAAGATCCTGACTATGTCGCTGTATACATACAATCATATTATTCAGTAATTTGAACTAAATTATACAGAATAATAACGTCTGCTTGATTGCTTTAATTCATACTCATCCATTTTTATTTAGGTTAAAGGTCAAAAAGAATACTGTGATAAGATGAGGGAATTTTCAGGTGCTCATGATAAAGATGCAAAACTACCTGATTATCTTGAAGCAACTGTTTTTTCAAAGAATCAAGCTGTTATAATGGTTGGGAATTTTGCAGAATGTGATTCACCAGAGAAACGAAGAAAAATAAATCATGTATCCAGGTTAGATATGGGTCATATATTTCTTGAGTTTTTTGTGCAGTGGCCGCTTGAACTGAGCCTTATTCAGAGTGGAGGTGAGGAAAATGCCTCATCAATATATGCAGATGAAATTGATCATGTATCACTCTGTGTCCGGCAATTTTGCAGTATAGGGTTAGGGTATGTATGCTCTTAAATAATGAATCTTTTTTAATAAAAAGGTATTTCAAAAACTTAACTGTTTTTGTCACAAATACTTGTTTTACAGCAAAATGCTCTTGCGGCGATTTTTCCTATGCAGAAAGATTTCCAACAGCGAATTTTCCTAGAAATGTATCACTCTTAGATTACAGCTGTGGTTCCCAAACTGTGAGCCGGTTAATGCAGAGTGCAGGGATGGCCACTACCGAATAGTTCACTATTTCGAATACATTCGAAATCATTATTTCCGAATATGAAATTTCGAATACATTCAAAAATAAATTCGAGTAAAAAGCATATTTTAGGGCATGAATCAACTGCATACAATAAACAATGGAATAACTGTTATCTACAACCTGCCTATTTACCAGACATTTTATGTCCGCAGATTGCCTGATATTTCAGAGTAGTATTGCTTTTCATATTTCAGTAACAAAACTTTCAGTACAAAACTTCGAATCAAGAATCAATTATAATGGGTAGTTTTCCACACATTTTATGTCCACAGATTACTGTGATATTTTAATATATATACGATAGCAATGCTTTTATTTTTTTCGTAAGTTGACGCAATCCCGGGTCATGTTAAACAGAATTAAATTAAAACGGCAAGGCATTTTAATTGCTGGTATCTAAATATTTTGCGCAACAGAAAATGATCCTAGTAAAAAGTCGATACTTCTAACTATCATTATCAAAATCGGTTGCCGAAAAGCAAAAAAAAGTATAAACTATATTTTCTAATAATTCCGACTAATTTATTGGGTGTTGTAACAATTATGGCTTTAAATAATTTTAAATTTTTCGCCGTGAAGGAAATCAATGTATAAATTAGAACCTTGCAAGATAATAGCGGCAATGCCAATCATGCAACAGTATGAGGCGCACGCTCGCACAGAATATCACAAATAATTAAAGTGCCAATTCTATTTCATCGTGATTACAATACGTTACAAAGCGCCAAAAATCGTATGAAGATTTCACTTAGAAGTAAAACACCTCGCTGACGGCGAAGAGTGGCTACTATTCGGAATTATTCGAAAATCAGCCAAAAAGGTATTCGAATACTTTGATATTCGAATGTTTTCGAATATTCAATTTGTTTTGGACAACCCTGGCAGAGTGCATCACGAAATACAGTACTTTATTTTGATCACAGAGTCATTATCGGTGTCTCTATACTCTAATCACCGGCATACATAGTTTTAGTATTTACAATTTATTTCCAGACTACTTTTAATCAAATTTGATTATCACGACTGACGATAAGCATTATGATAGTTTATATGCAAAAAACTAGCTCATATTATAAAACTTTTTTGTCATAATTTAATGTAAACTAAATGAATTTTGATCTGTAATTCTGTACTACAGAAAATTAAATGCATTGCGATTTTATGAGTAATCAAAAGATTTACCTGTTCACCTACTTTCTTCCGTATGAGAATACACTTTTATTCAATAGATGGTACAAACCATGGTTTTATAAACATGTTGAAACATTTTTGAACAAAACACACAATGAAGAATATATTCCACTGAGAGAATATCTCCTTCGACATAACAGGGCTATATTTTGGGTGAGCAATCCATATTTACCTATTTGTATGAAGGACCATTCATTGTATATTGTCCTTATTAAGAGCTTTAGACTGATGTTTATTATTATTTTTTTAAAGATGAATAGATGTTATACACACAGCAAAATCAGAAAAAAGCTACATTTTCATGCATGAAATATGATATACATTATACTTTGATATTAAACTGCACAATTTTGAGTAATCTATAATTCTGACAAACTATTAGCCTACTATTAATTCTAGTTTTGAGTAACGAAATCACTGTTATTTCTTTGCTTTAGGTTTTAGAGTCAATGATACCATTTGGTAATAATCCCATCTTTCGATTATTTCTTGGATGGTTGTGTCCACCGAAGCCAGCTTTTCTCAAGTTTACGACAACGCCTGGAATTAGAGCAATGACATTTGTTAAACAGGTATATTTTACTATCGTATCATATTACTATTTTCATAAATTCATATTTTTGTATGACTTTACTGAGTTTCTAGCAGTTGCAGCTGATGTATTATGTGTTAAAATACTCATATTTATTAAGTTCTCATAGGCCTAGAGCAGCTTGTATATTTTTTATAAGTTTAGGGAAAAACATATGTTCATTTTATTTAGAGTGTGAAATTTTCGTTCACTTGATGATAGCTTACTCTCTGAACAAAGCTCTGCATAAGTAGCCTATTAGGTATTAAGCTACTTTAGTTCGGAAGGGCTGGATTTGTCCCGGTTCCGCATTGACTCCCCAATTTTTCACACCCCGGGTATGGTAGTGGACATGGAAATTGAATCTCGTACTTTTACCTGCGACACTATCATTGTCTCAGGGTTGGTAATTTAACCAACAGACGATGTAAGTAACCCATATTTACTTTTTGTCCCCTTTGATGATTAGGATTGTGTCTTTGCAGGTGTTTCAAGATATTGTTTTACCAATGACTGTTTTAGAAGAATCTATAAATAAAGCAGAAGAGTTATTTGATACTTATCCAGTGTTGATATATCCATGTACAATATACAATCATGGTAAGAAATTTGCATGGTTTGAAAAGTTATTTATTATAGTAATATGAATTTTGCCAACAATATCACAGTATTCATTCTTGAGCGCCACTGACTCCGTTGAGCGTTTGTGACGATGATCACTCTCCAGTCTCCCCTTTTTCATAATCTGTACTGCACGAAAGAGCATATTTTGTGTGAAATTTGTTTTTAGTTGGGCAATAATTTAATACTGTGAGGTCAATAGTGGATATTATATGTACTATTATGAAAAAAATTAAATAATATTATGAATAATAATTTAAACCCCAACTTTATTATATTTATCAGAGTACAGCGTTGACTCTATGGGTCATTGAAATTAAGTAATCTTTTATGTTATTTATTTCATTCATCTTATAGAGATCATCCCTAAATTACTCAATACCTAAAATGCTGCTTTTTGTATGATTGTATATAAAAATTTCAGAAATCTAAGATGTTTTGCACAAAAGTTACATATGTACATCATCCAGTATTTATGTATATATTTATTTCTTCAAACAAATACAACATACATAATTCAGAAAGTTATATTGTTTATACGTCCAATAGTCCTTTTATCATTTTTCCTATCACAGGAAAGCACAGTGGACAGCTGAGGCCACCCCGACCTGAACAAATGTGTCCTGGTACTGACTATGGAATGTTTTATGATCTGGGTGTGTATGGAACTCCTGGTAAAGTAAAAAGAAAAGAAGGTTATGATGCGGTATATGCAATGAGAAGTATGGAAAGGTAGCATTATCTCTTGATTTAATATTATAATTCTGTACTTTCCATGTAGGCATGGTGTTATATTGTGCACATGTTCAAATCTAATTCGGGACGTTTGTGCTGATGGATTGCTGTAATCCATCATTTTCCAACCTAGGAGAAAATTTGATGTTTTTATGATGGAAATTCAGAATTATTACTTAGTATTTGTAATTTTGTTTAGTTATTTAGTATTTTTGTAATACCTATTTATGGAAACCTTAAAAAACAATTAAAACTGTCCAGGAGCTGTAGCGTGAATCGCCTTCAATACTAGTCAAGGACCTTGTTAAGAATTGATGAAATATCAGAAATAGAGTTTTTGTGAATAAAGACCCAAATTAGGCAAAGGAAGAAATGTATCAAAAAAAGTTGGGAATCCATGCTATCATCTTGCTATTTAGCTAACTCGGTCCTCTTGAAGGAATGACTTACTTTAATTCTTATTTTCAATGCATATTGAATATATGTAACTATTTCTTACTCAACCCAAACAAAATCATTGTCTTTTTTTCACCCGGTATTGAATCTTCTATCCTTAAGAGGGGTTTTAATTTGCGTGATATCGGATTTATTCTATTGAAATTGATTCATTATCAGTTATTGTTAGATGTAGTATAGTTTAATATAGAGCAAAACAATATGTTGTTAGAATCTAATAAAATTTGATGAACAGTTGGGATGATGGAGGGAAATAGATATATTATGAGAGCAGAGTTGCCTTCGTTGCCAAATATTCGGTTTAGTGGTGGGGGCAGCTAAACATAGCATAATTAATATCTGGACAATTTTCCCGCATATATGTGTCTCAATAGTCATACTTTACTATTAAAAATCGAAAATGTTTCAAAACTATTCATTTCATCACAGATTCATCATTGACTCGGGAGGATATTCATTTCTTTATGCTGACATATTTATGAAGACTGACGAGTTTGAGGAAATGTTTGATTTAACTTTGTACAGAAGTTGCAGAAAGAAATACGGGACTGAAAATGCATTTCCCAATCTATATGATAAAGTGAAACCTGAAGTCGATGTGTTCAGTATTGGTAAACAATATGCTGAGAACAATTGATGATAAGTTCTACTTTTATAATGTAAATAAACGGTGATGGGATTCAAATTTTTTGTCAGCCGGTTCTGCTACAAAAAGTCATTGACAGTAACCAGTAATGCCAACCGGTTCGCTGATCTCATAAAATACGCTTCTATAGAACCGGCTGAATCCCACCACTGCAAATAAATAATATAGACAAGCTGCGAATTGTTCGGACGTAAAATTTGCTCGTTTATTGATTCAGGAAATATATAGCTCTTAAACAAGAACAACAAACTGTAGGATTTGAAATTTAGAACAGAAACTAAACTGCTAGGGTGCTATTATTTATTTTTGTTTCAATAATAAAAATTGCGCTTCTTGGGACGATTACATGTTTGACGCTATCTGGTGGTCAGCGAAGTCATGAAGACTGCGGTTCAGGTTTCTACAGATTGCATACGCACATACTCTGGTCTTCAAGCATGAATATATTCTATATTAAAATAAGTTTTTTGTGATTCTTCTCTTCCCTATTTATGTGGATGAGGGCAGCGTTGAAGCAGGTTACATGTTTCAGAAGCTGCGATTGAATATGATAGTATTGTGGGATTTGTAGCATGTTTAGGCACAGAAGTGGAAAGATGCATGCTGTGTGACCTAGCAGAAGCAAAAATTTAAATAGTGTACCTTTAATATGTAATTTCGTACCTATACACGCATTGCAGGTTGAAAGTACCTAGTTTAAAGTGTATCATCGCAGACCCTGGTTGAATAAAACAAGTTAATAAGCTGGCTATTTTAGCTAGTAGAGGTTTTCAGTAGCGGAATCCTTCCTAATATGATATATATAGCACACCGAAAGTTCCGTCGACTGCCAGGGGCTTAAGCGTATGAGAATCTATGGACGCATGTGGTATAAAAATCTGATGTATATGAGCCAAATACTAGCAGTATCACAACTGGGTTACAAGCATTACATGCTATGCTAAACTATGAGAAACACTGTACTCAAATCTTCCCTTGCAATTACTTTGTCTCATTGCACAACTCAACTCCCCTGTACCCGATGGCACAGTTGAATGAATACACTGCCAAGTATTGGTTGGAATATTTAATTTTTGTATGGAACACATTCTTATACATTATTCCCATTCATTTTGTCGAATGAGTATTCCAATAATTCATGCAGAATCATGATCCTCCTAACTAATATGTGCTGGTACAGATACTTGCCAAACTCTTATCAAGTTATCCGCATAACCAGCAAAAAGGGTTTGACCATCGGAGGACCAAGCTAGTGAAAGACATTCTGGTGGATCAGCTTTGCTGTTTGGCATGTTGATAAGCTCTGGTTTCAGCTCGTCAACGATAACTTTTCCTTCCAAATCCCAGATTTTGACGCAAGGTCCACATGCTGCAGCAAGCCAATATCGGTTTGGTGAGAAAGCCATTGCATGAATTTCACCATCACCATTTAGAGTATAAAGATGTTTTCCTTCGTTGAGATCCCAGAGCATAGCTTGTCCATCTTTTCCACCAGAAGCACAGAGAGATCCATCAGGTGAAACGGTAACGCCATTGCAGAATGCAGTGTGGCCATAATGGTTGGTCTTCAGTTTGCAATTAGTTAAATTCCAAACTTTAACCATCTTATCCCATCCACATGACACGATAACGGGGTTGCCTGAATTTGGTGAGAATCTGACGCAGGAGACCCAATCAGAATGTCCATCATCCATTATGGTGTATTTGCACACACCAAGTGTATTCCACAACTTAATTGTGCGATCCCGAGAGGCAGATACAATTTGCCTGTTATCAGTGGAAAATGCAACAGATAGGACATCTTTAGTATGTCCACAAAAGCGACGAGTGCTAACTCCCAAAGTGAGATCCCACAATCTTAACTCGCCGTCCCAAGATCCAGAAAGAGCGAATTGGCCATCTGATGAGATAACGATATCAGAAACAAAGTGGGAATGGCCAGTCATTCTTCTCTGTGGTACACCATATCTTCCCTCCTCTCTTGTTAATTTCCATAATATAATACTTCTATCCCGAGATGATGATAAAACCATGTCTGGATAAGCCGGAGTAGTTGCGATTTGAGTCACCCATCCATTGTGACCCTTAAGGGTACCACGTAATGTCATCTGCTCCATGACTGCTTAGTGTATGCACCTGAAAAATAAAGAATTAAAGTGAGTTACTGTGATTCACTGTGTGTTGTGTATCTTTCGCTTTCATAATATAAACTTAAACAAGTACTATGTCAAATTACAACTAGCCTGTGAGCCAAAGCAGTAACTGCCTCAATAAAAGATATTTATGTTTAATCAGACTTGGTTCTATGGTTGGGCTTAACTGTTTTTATATATACATAACAGTTTTCCACAATACCAAAATTTCACACATGAACAAAATACTTTAAATTATTTAAAGCTCAAAGTCATTTAATTTGACCATATATCAGAGCGTGGCGGGGGATTATCGTGCTAAGCATTAGGAATACGCTCGCCACTGCACCTCTGTGTAGGTTCGCAGGTCCGAATCCAATACAAGGATAGTTATGTTCGACGAGATTGCTGGACTCCTCGTCGCCGTAGGACGGTTCACGTAACCAACCGCTGGTTGATCAAGTCCATGCTTCTAAAGCACTAACTAATCCCATATCCAACATGGAATGGTAACCGGATGCGAGACCATGATCCACCATCAAGTCCATGCTTCTAAAGAACTAACTAATCCCATATCCAACATGGAATGGTAACCGGACGCGAGACCATGGTTCACCATATGGTTACGCTGTCTTATCGCCTTTCCTCTCCCCCGGGATAAATATGTAAATCCTTTTCTAATAACACAAAACATTCATTACCCAGAGTTCAAAAAGTAAGTATTTTGCCCACTAACAGATTGGAGATCAAACAGATATACTGAATAACTTAAGCCTTAGATTTCTCAATGTTAAAATCTGTGGCACTTGAAATATATCTTGCAATATGGGTCAAAGTCTGCCCAAACGGAACATTTATCAGCATCATAACAAAAACTTACTGAACCTTCAATAATTCTTTTCAACAAAAGTGCTAATTACATATAAATACAAATGGCTAATTTCAAAAAGAAACCAATAAAAACAATATTGCAAATAAAACACGACCTACCTAGACGAGACCGTGAAGTAAAAAGGCTGAAATGGCTTGGCGGTTGTCAGATTGTACCGAGAAAACTACTATAGTTGTGTAAAGATGATTTTATATACTACATGTAATTGTTTGAATATATTAGAATTTATAGTAATATGATAAATAAAATAATATTCAACAAAATATTTGATTTTAAACGGATAAAATTTGGCGACAAAACTTTGTATGTCGGAAACTCATAATGCATATATCTGGCAACTACTATCTTCTGTCGGATAGCATGGCCACATGTGCTGAGAGTTGCGTATATTAGAGAGGATTTTATATTTATCCACAAGAAGAGTGAAAGCAGTCTCACGAAATACCAGTAACATCTATGAAAATAAAAATAGCGTCAATGAAGAGGGTATTCTTGATACCTACTAAGAAACCCATTTGTTATTTACTTTGTCCCCTTTACAAAAACATATTTCGGTATTTGCAATTGTTTTTGCTTATTCGCCAAATAAAATTCATCATCTATTTCTATTTCCTGTGTTTAAAATAATTCATTTTACCTCAGAACACGCGAACATTTGCCCGACATGGCACTTCCAATATAAGCATTGATTTGTCGTTTCACGAGTTTCCTCTACTATCGAAAATGTTCAAAAACATGTCTCTATATATCTTGCTTATTTGCAAAAGACTTGCAACAAGTTTTAAATTTATTAAAAACAAGTAATTCATCATTATGTGAATGACATACTTTTTTTTAATTAGCAGCTCTCATAAGAGCCGGATATTTAAATGTTATTTCGTGGCGCAAACATGGCTTATCTCATCTTTCTGTTGCCAACTTCTCATAGTACGCTTAACAAATGGCAATATAAATAAAAATTACTATATATCAGTTGAATATTAAAATTGTTATTTAATTTAAAAATTTACAGAAACTGTATTGCATTTATCGGTAATGTTTGTGAAGCATTTTTTATCGCTAATTAATCATTTTTGAATCTGGCATGTGATAATTTAGTGGCGGGAGCTGCTCATGCCTATTTTAAGCGATGTTACATGTTGTTCGGCTTTGGGATATGATATCCAAAGCGTGATGATATCTAACGTGTTCATGTTTATCCCGGGGGAGAGGGAAGGCGATAAGATGACTGGACGACTTAATCATTGCCAAATGCCGAGCTTTTAATCAAAATGAATAGTTGGTGAATACAATATTGAACAGTACCAGAGTTTTTAAGGAAGCTTCTAAAAGTCCGGAGTTCATGAGAATTGATAGAAGGTTTGAGATTTAACGTCCAATGACAGCACATCAGTATGAGATTGCACAATGAGACAATAACGGCTGAACGGTAAGTTAGACTATATCTGGAAAAAAAATTTCAATGCCATGAATTTCAAGTTTTATTATTTTGTATAATCTTTCTCTAAATCCTTTTAGTAGTCTAAATGTATTTCTGTATTTGATTGCTTGAAAACATTTATAGAAATTTTAGCTAGTTATGTGAAAAAATTTAATTTTATAATAATCACGAAATTAGCAACAATCTATCTTTAAAAACTTTTGCAGTAAAAAGGTATTAAAAAGAAACTCAGACACTTGTCAGCTTGTGTATTATCACTGTAATGATATTATGAAGAACCCGAATTCAATGATGCAATGATAGTTTTGGAAATGTGTATTTATTAGGGCTTCCCAAAATCGAATATTTTGCTGATTCGAATCAATTATTTTTACTGAATTGAATCTCGAATTAATCGAATATTATTGTGCAATCCCAAATATGTCCATATTGTACAGTAAAAACTCCCCCTTCGATATTGTGATAACATGTCGTGCAGTTACATCTAAAATACTGCTGATATTTTGCAAAACTATGTTTCCAGAGTTATAAAAGAAGATCCCATACCTGGTACATACATGAACTGGTCAAAAAATTCAGAGGTCTCCCAAGTTTGGATTTTGAAAACTGTATATGTTGAGTGTTGGAAATTGCACAGACTTTCAATACCTTTACTCAATTCTAATGGATTTAGTTTTATTAGGGCATGCAAAGCCTGTAGGTGCTATTTTAATCCTATTATCACTGTATCATTAGTCTTAACTATTAAGGGTTTTTGTGTAATTTTCACCAAAATGATAAACAACCATTCATACAGATAAAACTGTTGCCCAAGAAATTCAAATTTACATTTAAGGAGGTCACGAATTCGGAGCTTGTTTATGACATTATTATTCGTTGGCCATATTGTTACTGTACAACAGCCATCAAAATGCACGAGTGCAATTATTTTTTATTGTATTAGACGGATAATGCAAAGTATTGCCATCATAAGAGATTACACAACCCGTTGAAAGAAGGTATTGCTATCATAAGAACCCCACACACACTACGTGTTTCAGCTCTGAGTTACTTGTATCATGTTCCCATGATTACTAATTAAACAGCTTCAAATCGATTTTATTTATAGAACCAGCGTTTTCTGTCCATACCAAATTGCCTTTTTTACCCTGCGTACTCTCTTGAAAGATTCATTTTGGATGTTTAGTGATAACAAGTTTTGCAATTAAACAGAAGAAAAGAGTTTATTTTTAACAATTGTGTTTTGGAGTATTCACTTATATTTCGCATATCTGTAACTTTAGTGGTTTAGCATTCATTTTTTCCTATTTTTTTTACCAATTCAAATATTTTCATTTGTGGCATTAGGTCAAGATACCTTCAGTCATGGATTCATGAATTTCAGTTTATGGAAGGTAAAGGAAATTTTCGAAATCCGAAATAGCTGAATACATTGTTGTATTTTCTCCCTATAGAAATCTTTTCTCTTATCTCTTTTTAAACTCATAATCATATTATCATTTGTTTCATTGAATATTTTAATGTTTAAGTAAGTTAATAGTTCAATAAATAGAAACCATGAGTGGGGGTATATATGGTGGAGATGAAGTCGGTGCATTGGTCATTGATATTGGATCACATTCTGTCCGTGCTGGGTATGCAGGAGAAGATTGTCCCAAATCAGTGTTTCCTACTCATGTTGGATCCCAAGCAATAGAAGAAATGGAAGTTGAAGGAGAAGAATCCAAGCCAACAAAGAAGTTACATTTTGGTACAAGTGCTTTGTTGACTCCAAGGAAAGATACTGAAATTGTCACACCCGTTCTCGATGGAATGATAGAAGATTGGGATTTATTTGAATCTATGTTGGACTATACTTACAAACGTGGCTTGCATAGCGAATCTAACTTACATCCTGTGTTATTTTCCGAACCAGCTTGGAATGCAAGAAACAAGCGAGAAAAACTAACGGAAGTAATGTTTGAGAAATATAATGTACCTGCCTTTTTTCTTTGCAAATCCCCTGTTTTGTCAGCATTTGCTAATGGACGATCCACTGGGGTTGTTTTGGATAGCGGTTCTACCCACACAACTGCTGTACCAGTACACGATGGATATGTTCTCAAACAAGGAATCGTAAAATCTCCTCTCGGTGGCGATTTCATCCTTATGCAATGCAGAGAAGTAATGAAAAATTTAAACATTGATGTAATCCCTGCATACATGATCGCTTCAAAAAAAGAAGCCAAAGAAGGAGGTCAACCAGATTGGGAAAAGAAAAAAGATCTTCCAGAAGTTACAGAATCATGGAAGAAGTACATGATGAATTACACTCTTGAGGACTTTGCTGCATCAGTTTTACAACTCCTAGACACACCTTACATCGAGCAAGATGCTATGGGAATGCCTCAATGTCACTATGGCTTCCCAAATGGATATCATCAAGACTTTGGCCATGAGCGTATGAAAGCTGCAGAAGCTCTTTTTGATCCATCACTTATCCAAGGAAATTCTATGCTTGGTGTTCCTCACGTTGTGTCCTCTTCAGTAGGATTATGTGATGTCGATATTCGACTTGGACTTTACAGTAGTGTAATTGTAACTGGTGGTAATACTTTAGTTCAAGGTTTTACTGACAGACTCACAGCTGAGTTGTCAAACAAAACACCACCAAGTGCCAAATTAAAAATTATTGCTCCTACAAATTCTATTGAACGTAAGTTTTCACCTTGGATCGGTGGATCTATTTTAGCTTCTTTAGGAACATTTCAGCAAATGTGGATTTCAAAACAAGAATACGAAGAAGCTGGAAAATCTAGTGTAGAGAGAAAATGCCCTTGATGTATGGAATTGAATGGAAAATAAAATTGTTGTGATAAATTGATAAAAGTGTACAAGCTTAATAAATTGGAAAGTATCATCTCAGAAACAAATTTTGAAATTGTTACAGCTCAAATACTTGTCAAACATTTCGTGCTACCTAGATCAACTGTGGTATCATGAGTGGATGAATACTTTGAACTACATCTAATGTTCTGTTCTAGAATCATGCAATGCAATGAAATCTTGTCAATTTTCTTTTTTCACTGATGTTTGTGTTTGTGGACCAAATAAGAAACAGGAAATATTGTGGTGGGCAAGACAACAAGACTGTGGACTACTTACTACTGCGTAATATAAACACAATTCAATTTCTGCCACAGATTTTAGTGCTGCAGATCATATCTATAACTTCCTTACAAATTCTATTACAAAAGTATTTCTTCTGGCTATTTTGAATCAAATCAATTATTATTAAAGCACATTGACTTACGTTTTTAAAGCCTAAACATGCACCTGGCCTATTACTGCAGTAAATATAAACTTATGAGTCAAATTTTGCTGAAAGTCCTGTATTTTCAATAGACATTCATCATGAGGTCTATTATTGGGTTAATAATTGGTAGTTCGTTTTATTCATCATACTGGAAATACATGTAACTAACTACAGAATGTAAATGTGAATTCAAAATGTCTTTTCATTTGAAGGGGTTAAAGAGGTGTTATGAAAACAAGATCCAATCATTACAAAATTGATATGCCATATAATTGTGGATGCATAAAGATAGCTTATAAATAAAAGCAGTGCAGCTAAATATTTTTCTTTCAGAACTGCTCTTTTATTACGGTAAACCCATGATTAAACATTTCTGTTGCCAAATTAGGACAATTATTTTGTTGGGATTCATAGTTTTTGTTCTTGAGTTATTGATTGATTTTTGAATTTATGGAATGGCATTTAATTAACTTTTGACTGAATTTCTGCAACATTGATTTCCTGATTACAAATATCACTGTTGTAATGGGTTAAGGTAATTGTGTTGGTTGCTATAAGTCTTGGAAACTTTCGAAACTGAACTAGAATACAAGTAAGATAATTGGGCATTTAGGAAAAGTTCATTTCACACTGCCTTTAAATATGTATTTTGTATTTTTTTTTTCAGGAATTAGTGTAATGTTTTGAGTATAGCAATTAGTAATTTAGTAATAATAGAATGAAGCATTTGTTATTAAATGTTGCAGTTAAAAGAATCGCTTCAAGTCCACGCCATGTAATTTATTACAGACGGTTTTGGCAATCAAATAAAGCTGGATACCACACAACTCAATTTGTCTCATCTTCACAATCAAACCCACCAGAGACATTGGATTATGCTGCTGATTATGGGAAGTATTATGAACCCACTACATGGGAATCTATCTATAGTTCCTTTGTTGACAGTGGTTTAGTCAAGATGGCGGAATCATACTTGACTACAGTACATGACTTAACTGGTCTTCCTTGGTGGGTCTCTATTGTTATTTGTACTCTGTCATTGAGACTGACAATCACAGCCCCTTTGTTTATATGGCAAATGCAGAAAAATTTGAAACATAAACTACTGGCTCCAGTTTTGCAACAAATTATAAAACAATTGAATGAAGAGGCGGTTGAAGCTGGTAAAGAACATAGATGGGACAAAAAAACTCGAGACATGCATGTTTTTAACAGCTTTCATAAAAGGAAAAAGGAATTGTATCAGAAGCATAAAGTTCCTGGTACTTTGAGAAGAAATTTAGTACCTTGGGTACAACTTCCAATATGGTTTGCTATGACTGCTTCACTCAGAAATATGACTCTATCTTTACCATTTACTACAAGTGTATCAGCTACACAAGTACAAACATATACTGAATTAAGTCAAGAAGGCGTTTTATGGTTCAATAACTTATGTCTTGCGGATCCATATTTTGTCTTGCCTGTTTTAATGGCATTTGCCAACCTTGCGACTATTGAAATACATAGGGGTGATGGTAAAACACCTTTAGAAGGTATATCCAAGTATTTGATAAATTTTTTGCGGGGCATTTCTTTGGTTATGATACCAGTAGCCATCTACATGCCATCAGGTGTGGTGTTTTATTGGTTTATTTCCAGTGGTTTTGGTGTCACACAAGCTTTGGTAATGCAATCCCCCAAATTTAAAAAATTGATGCGTATGCCAATGCCAGTAAATTATTCAAAAACGCCATATCAAGATATCTTGTCACGGTTCAAGTTTGTTAAGAGATAGCATATGTGAGATAGGAATCCTGTTATTTATTTTCTTCATGAAAATTGAAGGTAATGTTCCATGAAGTTGGTTGTATTTGAGAAACGATAATTTAAAAACACGGAAAATATTTTTTGAATTAATTTCAGAAAATTCAATGGTTAAATTTATTTCGTTTTTGTAAACTAATTGTTATCAAGATGGCGTGCGAGAATAAGTTTTTGAGATTTCAAAGAAGAGTTGAACGTTTAGCTGAAAAATACACAGAGAACCCCATTCACAAGTACTATGCGCCGAGGTTGTCTGACTTGCCATGTCCTCCACCTACATGGTCGAAATATTTCCGATTGAAGGAGGCTTTTCGTCATGCTCACGCTAAGTCTGAAGAATTGAGGGTTTTTGCAGTTGAACCAAAATCTGACAATGCATCATCAGGAAAAAGAGAATTCATTGTGTCAAGTTACGAAGAATTCTGGTTCTATTATTCAAGAATGAAAAACAGCGACAAACATTTTTATGAAGTAATTGAAGAAAATGCTGCATGCCATCTGTACTTTGATTTGGAATTTCATAAAAATTTTAATCAATCTATAAATGGTGGAGATTTAGTTGACGAAGTCATCAATTCTGTTTGCCAACAGTTATTTGAAGATTTCAAAATAAAGTGTGATAGAAAACTTGTTCTTGAACTTGATTCATCAAATGATGTTAAATTTAGTCGTCATCTTATTTTTCACATTCCGAATGCAGTTTTCAGAAACAACTATGAAGTTGGGGGTTTTGTCCAAAAAATATGCAATAACAGTGGAAATAAATTTACAGTACTAACATCAAACGATGAAGCTGTGTCATTTATTGATCAAAGCGTATATACAAGAAATAGAAATTTCCGTTTGTTTCAGTCTATAAAAAAAGGTAAATCTACTGCCCTAAAGAAATCGGAAACTTGTAATTTTGATTTGTCTTTTAAAAACATAAGAGCTGCTTGTTGTAGGCATCATGCTCAAGAAAAGGAAAATATTCCTCCAGTGAAACGATACAAATCGACAGAAAAGGACATCAATGAACTTGTGTTCTATGCTTCCCTAGTGTCGAACGTAAAATTCCATTCAAATATTAAAATTCTATCAGTAGACATGCCTCCAAGAATAAAAAAAGAAAATGAATTAAACAAGATACTTTCTAGCGATAATGTTCCTTATACTGATAGCTTTGAATCTCCATTTCCTTCGTTGAAAGATTTCATAAATTCTATTGTAAATTCAAATGATACAAAAGGCTGTGTTAACAAGTGGACCTTCTTTCCTTGTAGTAATACTATAATATACAATATTTCTGGAAATCGATTTTGTAATAATATTAATCGGCAACACAAAAGCAATCATATTTATTATGTTGCTGATCTAAATTCTAAAGTTTGTTACCAGAAATGCCTTGATCCTGTTTGTAGATCACAAGGATACCAATCTCCTCCGATACCTTTTCCTAAAGAAGTTTCAAACAGTATTGTTGATATTGGTCTTGATGTAACTGATGAAGAATTGCTAGATTATGTTAACTTACTTGAAAAAGATACTAATGATAATAATAAGAGTGAAAATTATTGTAAAATTTCAGAAAGTGAAAATGAGGATGATTGGGGAAATGTTACCGATGATGATTTATTGAACGCAATAGAGAACAAAACATAGTCACGTGTTTGTGAAACATAGTCTGCTCGAGTCACGTTCTTTCTCGTACTATACTAATGTTAATAACTTTTTTAGAAGGCTATCTAATTTTAAAAATCTGTTTCACATATTTACTATATGCAATGCCTCCTATATGCGTATTCCTAACTTGCCTCAACTTTTCCCTGGTTAAAAGGAAGTGCTTTATAATTCTGAAATTGGCTAAAACCAATTCTTTTAATGTTCAAGTGTTTTGGGTGCATTAAAAAAGTGTTTGTTTGTTCTATTTCTTCTTTTAAACCTTTTTAGTTTTTCCATTTATGCTATAGATTGAATGTAATTGTGATAATGCTTTTATGGATTCATTTTATTGAGATTTAAACTGATTTATTTGTTTAATCCTTATGGAAAAACCTTGGAATATTCACCACAAACAAGATGATGCTTTTACCGAAGCTGGAGACGATCCAAACATTCATATATTTGCAGTCGAACCTGTTATTTCACTTCAAAACAATCGCTCAGGAAGAAAATTCATTGCTTGCACTTACGAAAAATTTTGGTGGGAATATCGGAAAATGATGAAAAATAATTGGCCTCGACATTTTTATGAAGTAATACGTGAAAACAAACCGTGCCATCCTTATTTTGACCTCGAGTTTTTAAAAGAAAGTAATACTGAAGTTGATGCTAATAAAATTGTTGATGATCTGATCTGTTTTTCTTGCAACAAATTGGAGTCTGATTTTGGAATTGTATGTTCAGAATGGAATGTATTACGATTAGATTCGAGTACAAGTGAAAAATTTAGTCAGCATTTGATCTTCAGAATACCAGGTATTGCATTCCGATCTAATTTTGATGTCGGCGATTTTGTTGAAGAATTGTGTGAAAATCCTGAATTTCGACACAGACTAACGATACATTCAGGAGGGCAAGATAAACTCATTGTGGACAAAGCGGTCTATACAAAAAATCGTCACTTCCGATTGTTTCAGTCTTGCAAAAAAGGGAAAGAAGCTTTGTTACTGAGATCAGATCATTGTAAATTTGAATTTGACACTCTCCATGTTCCACTATCACAAGAAACGGCACAGTCGAACAAAATTTTTGGGCCTGAACTAACGCAATGTGGCAACAATAAATCAATATTCTATGCTTCACTTATATGCAATGTTGATGATACAGATATTAATCTTATACCATTTGAAATCAAAAAACGAACTCCTAATGTTCCAATCTCCAGTGGGCGTGTTCCATCTTTCACACATGATAATTTTTACTCCGATTTTGATTGTCTAGAACTCAATGATTATGTTAAATCACTTATTCAAACGAACGATACTCCTGGTCATATTGGTAGTATAGAATACGATGCAGAGGAAAACACAGTAAAATATAGCATTAGGGGGAATCGGTATTGTCGAAATATCGGAAGGCAACACAAAAGTAACAATGTTTATTATCTGGCATATCTTGATCAAAGAGTTATCATTCAGCGTTGTTATGACAGACAATCCTGTAGGGATTTCTTTTCTCTTCCCATAAGAATTCCAAAAAATGTTGTAAGATGTTTAGAAGAAGGAATGTATATCACCGATGTTCCAAACGAAGATCTTCTTGACCATATTGAAAACGAGATAAAACAGGAGAATAATGACTCTTGATACGGTGAAAAAAACTCTTAAAGACATTTATTCTGTGCTGATGATCATAAAATTTTATAGTACATAATGCTTTATACAAATCATTTAATACTTTTACTGTGATAGGAAGGTTACAACACTAATTTATGTGATCAACTAAGCCAAGGTTTTAAAAATGAAGAGAGAATTTTATGAAGAAAGCAAAGTATGTATGGTATTGACAGCAAAGGAATGATGCTTAGCGTATTAATAAATGGTATTTGCATCATACCAAATTGAAAGTTGCTTACTTTAAGAAGCGATTTATGGATGAAGTTGAATTTTTGGATTTTATCCCTTTATAATTAATCCTTTGAGTAAATGGAGTATTGTAACTTTAGATATTTTTTGTTGCGTTGAAGTAATTGGCTGCTCCCTCTAAACTTTTTGCTGCTACAATTTTGCCTTGTGTGTTTGCAATATTTTTCATGTTTTTACTTTTTCACAATTTTCTGCAAATAGTCCATTTATATTTATTTTCAATTTAGTCTTCTCTAGTATTTATAAGACTGATATATATTGAACCCTGCTTAGTTTTATCTGCTAAATCATGAAAGAAGATGACAGGACATATTCCATGTAAGCACTCTGCCTTTTAATTTTTAGCGTATTCACTATAATTTTGTTAATTACTAATTATCCTTTACTTATGTTATTTCATATTTAATTTCAAATGCCAAGTTCTTCTAGAAACTCAAGATTGTGATCCTATTGTATGCATACTCAACAAAAAGAATGTAGTATTTTAAAAGTTCAACATTTCGAGAGAATACAATCAAATTATGTCATTTTCTTAGACCAGTGGTTCTCAAACTTTTTAAGCCGCGCCCCTTTTTTAAAATTCGTCAAGTCTCGCGCCCCACCTCAAAAATAACTGCAGTAGCTAACAATAAGCTATTACAAATAACAGATAGTTAAGCCAAAAGTATGTTTCATTCAAAAACATATTGAAAATGCATAGATTGAACATAAATGTCCAAAATAAAGAAATGTAACATCCAAAATAAAGTGGGCAAGATCAAATATAACAAATATTTTTAATTAGCTTCACGCTCCCTCAAAAAAATGATTTAAATTACCGTAAACCCTACCAATAAAATAAATTTAAAATGTGTGGGAGAGGAAAGGTTCAATTACCTGAGGTAATGTGAAGATCACACCACTATTCAAGATTGTGTGATATCACAATTATGATAATTGTCACTTGATTTTTGTATAGGAAACACAAATATAAACAATGGATGTCGGTTTTTATATAATGTTCATTAAAAAATCTCGTGATTTTCCACAATGTCATTTTATTTTTGATAAATGAACCCAAAAGGCCTCTTCCAAAGAAAACTAGTGTTATTCTTCAAAATAAATCTAAATCCTGTCTAAATTTCGAGGAAACACGGTAAAAAGTGCTGTACAGTGTACAAAACTGCTATGCGTAAAAAATTCACATGGTCATTCTTTGTGTAGCAAATTTCGTTCCTCTGAGAAGATTGGCAAAAAGAAACTTTCAGAGATTAGAATTTAAATTTAATTTTTTTTTTTTTGAAGATTTACGTATTCGAGTTGGCACCGATCCTCATACCCAGTATAATTAATCAAAGCTTCCCACATCTTTTCACGACCCACTAAGATTCCTTTTGCGACCCACCAGTGGGTCGCGACCCATAGTTTGGGAACCGCTGGCTTACACTGTTGATAATGTTACAAATACATGTCTCAAGTTATGAATATATGATATTTTTCTAACTAATAGTAGCCTACTTCATTTGTTTCTCAGGCCATTTCAGGAATTATGGAGAATCACAGTTGGTAGATCATGCCTAAAAGATGCCGATCTTGTTGGAAATGAACTGAACAAGAATATTCAATGTCTTGAAAACTGTTTGAAGTACTATAAGACAAACAGGTTTGTTGATGCTATTTCTTTTAGGACCGTATTTTCTCGTTTTGTAGCCCGGGCCCATATTTTTTCAAACAAACTCACTAACTGGGCCCTTATTCGAACCGGCCCTTATTCAAGCACGGGCGCTTGTTATTTTCAAAGTAAAATGTGTGTGATGTCATAATTGGAACAGTATTGAATGATCCGTGATATCTGTCAAGTCAGATATAGATAAGATCGATCGTTACAACTTACAATATTTAATATATTGTCATTTCCAGTTCTCAAGTATGATTTAAACGAGAATAACGAATTTTTGACTTTTCCTACGCACCGCAGGTACAAATCCCCAAAAGAAGAAAAGTTTTGCGACGCCCTATAAATATTGAAACAACGCCCGCGACGCCCAGTTTGATAACCACGGTGTTACGTAATCAATGCTATCTGTTATGTAATTGGGCGCTTAAGGCGTGAGTGTTATCTACCAGCGCTTAAAATTCAACAGCGTTGTGACAATGGGGTGGGTATTCAAGCACCGGCCCTTATTTATATTTATGTTCTGTTCACCCGGGCGGCTATTCAAACGGGCTCTTAATCAAGATCGGGCGGTAAAACGAGCATATACGGTATGTTTTAAATTGAAATTTGGGGATGTGTATATTAATTATACTCATGTTTATACAGCGAAGAATCGAAGAAAAAACTGAAGAATAACAAAAGCATCTCATCCAACCTGCAGACATTTTGTTTGAAGCTAGCAGAGTTTCTGGTATCAGTTTTGTAATGTACTTATTTTTTTGTTCTTATTCAAAGAAAGCATAAAAATGTTAAATACATGTAGAAAAAAGATCAGAATATTTTGTTGCGTTCGGCGTCGTCTACCCTATTTCTTTCTTTCCTGAAAGAGTTTAAATCTTCACATTAAGTCTGATTTAGAAAGTATACAATTCTTAAAATATTTTCATTCTTGTTTGATATTATTTTATTCTGAATATCCAAACTTCTAGAATCTTGATTCTGTTCAAACGCTGAATTTGATATCTCAATATTCATTTTGTGATTTTCACGGATCAAAAGAAAAATTCAACGAACTTTTAGAAGATGACAGAAGTCATTTTGCATTGATCGGAAAAATAACCGAATATTACTTCAGTGAAAGGTAAATCTTTTGAACAAATTTGTGTCTATGAAAACTACATTTTCCAATCCATATTTTGTATGAATGTCAGAACTATAATATGTTTGAAATTGAATATTGATCACAAGATAAGATTTCCTCATTATTCCGAACATCATAGAAATCCTTCAGCAGTGCAGCATATATGGAGACCCTAATACAACTGGGATTTTTGGTGATAATCTGAACCTATCATAGGTTATTGTTAACCACACTGCGTTGCATAGAAGTTGCGCAATGCTTTTTCATCATCTTTCACAGAATTTTAATATAAATGCGCTCTATTTATTCTTAATTAAGATTCGATGCCAAGTTAGAATACTAGAAAAGTGGTCTATTGGGATGTGGATTTTTTTAATGTTTGTTATCAAATTAGAGATTGGATTTTTTTTTATCAAATAAAAAGTCTTTTCTTTTGATTTTAAATATTTTATTATGTTCAGGTTACATTTACTGCGAATCATAAAGCATGCACTCAGCTATTTTGAAGATAAATCTCATGAATTTCAGGTATAGAATTTTATCATTGTAACCTCAAGTATAGGTTTTGCAATTCCTAATCATCAATGTATATTTTGGGTTTTGAGATGTTCAGAGATGATATAATGAATGTCTGCCAAGATATAAACTATTATTTGCTTTGTCAGGATGGAAATATGAAATATTTGTGATTTGAAAATTTATTTTCCAAGTCCAACGTTCATCATTCACCACATAATTCATTTGAACAAGAAACCTATTCTAAACTGCTTTATTACTCTCTTCAAATGTCTAACTGCCGCTGTGAATATTGAATAGATAGGCTACTTACATGTATGGAACGATTACAATTAGGTTAATAGAAGCTCTTCGTAAAATTTAGCTTGCCCCACTGTCCTGGCCTGCCTAACTGCCTGTGATACGAATGATCCAAATTCAACACAGCTGCCAAACCAGTCTGAATTGAAAATGAATTGAAAATCTTGCAATATTATAGCATTAAGCATTGAAATTGGTTGCCTCAAATTTACTAACACTCCTGAGTTAACTAGATAATGAAGTTTGGGTTTATCCAAGATATCTAGCTTTATGTGTTATATTATAAATGGACATTTGAAAACTATGATGTAGCAAGCTTTTTAATTCTGGTTGGAAAATTTATCCTACTGCCGACTAATATAATGTGTATAATTCTGACTCTAGAATTTAAAATGAAATAATATAAGTTTTAAAACTCTTTTACAACTACATACATAACATAACTTGCTTGAATTATTTTTCTTTTACAGCAAGAATATGCAGAAATTGTCAACAACTTAAAATCAGATCTCAGTAAAAATATTTTTTCTCAATATAAAGAACAATTTTCATCTGATCCTCCATCATCTAAATCAAGGGGTTCTAGTTTCACACATCAGGTAAATGATTCTTCCTTATTATCAACTATATAAAGCACAAGAGAGACTCATTTTTGTAAGCCTGGCCTACCATCTAGCAATATAAAGAATTACGGGGGCTCCCGAAGTATGCGAACCAAGATGGCGGACATCGGAATGTAATAGGTGTACTAGGTTAGGGTTAGGCCATAATTTTAGGTATAGATAATACGGGAGGCTCTTGGCTAGTCTTCGAACTGATAATAGGACTAAAATAAGGAAAATTGGAAAAAAATTATCGCCTAACCCTAACCTGTTACCCATGTTACGTTCCGATGTCCGCCATCTTGGTTCGCATACTTCGGGAGCACCGAATTACGGTACATAGATAAACTGAGCCTCCGACTGTGGGCTTCCTCGCCCTTTCCCACAAAGACTTATGTATCTTCACACGTCAAAATGACTATTGACTTGAATCATTGTTCCTTGATAATTTCTGTGAAATGGCTTCTGAAACAGTTGCTGCTATTATGCCACATGTTTAGTGAGTTTCATTCCTTTGCTGACAATAATATTTTGACTTATTCGATCTTTTGGAAATTTGTAAAAGGGAGACCCTGACACCACCCGCTCTCCAACAAAAGATGTCATGTTCAAAATCTTTGCTTGGATTGGAATTAAATTGAAAAATGGAAAAATTATTCCATGATGAAAATATGACCATTTGATTAGGGTTTTGAAAAAACCTAAACTATTTCATGGCAATCCATTCTTATAGTGTTTTTTTATAATAATATATGATTTATTGGTATCAAAGTCTGCTAAGTTTTTCGAAGTCATATATTACATGAAACACTTTATAATAATGGATTTTATAATAATCAAATAATCTTTTGAATTGGTTTATGTAGCTGGGTATTGAATGTTACAGGTGATCGTGCCATTTGCCCTCCAAGCAGTAAAAGAACAATGTGAACTATTGGAAATCTTATTCATGTATTACTCTCATTTTGAAATGGCTCCTGATATCTTGCTACAACTCGGCAAAACATTTAAAGGTAGTTTTTATTATGTTAATTTATTTTTATTTTATATTTTTTGCATGGCTTTTATTTGGAGGTGGGTAACCTGGTAACAGTGCACTGCATGTATCAGAATGTTACAGAAAAATGGCATATTTTAATTTCGAAATACCCTGTAAGATATAAAATACAGAGAATAGCCTGAACGCATGTATCCAGAGTTCTATTCTTTTTAGCGAATGACTTTTACTTCTTTTTGTCTGAAGAAATTTTAAAAGCAAAAAAGTGCTAGTTTGCTTAGAAATAGGTAACCAGTGCTTTTGACCTTTGGGCCTAAAATGTGATGCGAATTTTTATGATTCTTGCAAACTTTATAAATTAATCGATGTGACATCATTATTTTTCATCATATTTCAGAAGTCAGGGCATTATGAGTCTAATCTTTTTCTCAACTTTTATTAGACAGAGAATGGATCGTTTTTCTTAATTGTAGTTGCGGTTATTGTTGTTGTTGTTGTTGGTTCACGTTTTCATTGCAAATTTTCTTGACTTGAAATTGGAAGAAATGCTAGAAGGCTATTAGTTTTATTTTCTTGTTCAGATCAGGGTTATGGTGCTGGTCATCCACTTCTTGAAGTGACGGATACTAGCAATCTTGCACATCTCCTATCTCGATTGAATATATTGCAACAATTGATATTAATTGAAGGTTTTGACATGGAATATCTTCAGGTGTAACTTTTGCATTACGATATATCTGACATGGGCAATCTACAGCCCGCAGGCAGATTCCGGCCTGTTAGGTAATTCAATCTGGCCCGCCTGATGCTGTCACAACCAAACTAAAACCAAATTTTCATGTTTCAGCTACGTTATTTCATTTTGCAAAATTTCCATGAGATAGTGAAATTTCACTGTAGGATAATTATTTCACTTAACTGATTTCTTCAAAAAGACTGCTAGCTAGAAAAAGTTTAAAAAAGATTCACTCTGTGAATTCCTGCCTTGGGTAGTTTAACCATGGAAAACAATGAAAACAACCCGTAACCTCTATTAAGAATCTTTTTTAAGGAATTTTCAGACTGGAATGTTTGTGGGTAAAATTTTTCAGACGCTGTTCTCACATAACATTGAATTCTAATTTCTTAAGATCAAATTCTTACAGACATTGTAATTGCATCAGTTAATTAACATAATAAAATCTTCATTTTTTTAGTCTATTCTCACTTTATGTTTTGATAATCTTTCAGAGATTGGCAGAAGCCGGTGGTACAGACCAACATAAATTAAGTCAGAAGAAAACAGAATTCAAAGAACTTGATAAAATATTTTGTTCACTGACTGAAATACCAGCAATGTCTCCTGTACTTCTAGCATGGGCAACTATCAGATATCAGGTTATTTGAAAATTCATACTTCAGCAGGTTCTATCTTATCTTTAGCTTGTGGGCAGGCGCATGATATCTATCATGTTTTAAACTTCTACATAGGTTTTGCTTGTCTCCAGAATTCTCCATTTTTAATTTCTGTTTTTCAAAATTTTTCAATATAAGAATAATAGACATGGCCGTTATTATTCTGAAAGGACTCTATGGTTCACAGGTTCAAATCTTGAGTGTCAGAGGATTGCCATTGCATGGTGTTTCTCTGGTCGGTCACGACACCCTTCTCAATCAACTCAATGCATATGAAACGAATAATGTCAATGTCAAGAATATCTTATTAAGTTTCGTATCTGGTCGAGGATTTTGTGTTTCCTCTCTTGTGCAAATTGCAATGCTGCTGCTTAGCAGACAATATGTTATGATTTTAGCTCTCCTGGTTCATAATGTGGCTTCCCTTCTCTGAAATTGCGTGTTCACCTCTTAAAGTTTGTTTACAATTTTTACGGGCTGGAAAGAGTAATTTCGAATATAACTGTGTTCTTTCCGAGAACAATGAAAATTTCAAATGTCATGATTTATTAATTCGACAGTACTTCTTCATGTTTATTTTGTTTTTTCGATTGTATGTTGTATGGAAACAAAGAATATATTTTCATTTTTTTTAGATTCTACATGATTCTGGGAGCAATGTTACACAACGGCTCGGAGAAAGAGTTATCGAACAGAAAGTTTGGTTTCATATCATGCAAGTTTCTGATCTTCATCCAGCTGAAAGTGATTTGGTAAGATTCTCGAAATCTGTTATTTTGATGTTAATCATTTCTCGCTGCTTTTGTGTATAAATAAAGAGGGTGTTATATACTTTTCATGGCATCAGTAAAGTATACGTTGCCTATTGCATTTTATGTTGCCGCATCGGCCTGGTGGCCCAATTGTAGCTGAAAAAAATCGGGTTTAACTCTAACGCCCACCACTTCACCCAGGGTGTAATAAATTAGGTAGGTAATGAGATTTCGGCCCCTCAGCAAATGGTTGATAGCTGAGGGAGAATGCAATGTACAAAAATAACACACCACTGAATTCACTCACTGAATTCGTTCACTGAATTTCACCAGCAACTGAAACTGAGCGAGACGCATTGTACGTACCGTACCTGCTGGAAACAAATGAGCCAGTGGGATGGCAGAAAGTTGCTGGTCGTCAACCAATGGCAGAGCAGTTCAGGCGCGCCACCTCCGGACCGAGCTGCCTAACCGCTTAAACGGCCAGCAGCGTGTTTTTTTAAATTTCCTACTTTTCGTATTTAAAAGCCTCTTCTGTTATTCGAAGCAATACTTCGAACTTTCGTATTCGGGGTCTTACGTTAGTGGATGTTCTACTGTATTACATATGTGTATAAATGTTATTTATAAAATGTTCAAGTAAATGAAATTATTTTTTTTTTTTAAATTTTGTAAAATATATGTTGAATTGTTTTATTTAAATCAAAATTACGGTAATTTAGGGCAGTCCTTGAAGTTTACACTATTTGGATATAGATAACTGTATGGTTTTTGTAGCAAACTTCTTGTTTGTTTTCTTTAGCCTGTAGCGACAACTTCAAGAAATGTTCTTCGACGTTTATTATCTTGTGTTACTCATTCATTCCATGAAGATACATTGGGTGATTATGGAGAATTAATGGAGGCTGTCACTAAAGTTTTATCCTCTTCAAAAACAGCAGCAGAAGCGGTGAGAATTTAAATTTTTCCCACATTTCCAATGTCAGTCTCAACTCACAATTCATTGAATTGACTTCACACGCTACGCACTGATTGATAACTCATGCGTAGGGCAGGGATTCACAATAGCATTGAGCTATTGACATATAAAATGAGCATTTTGAATCCTTATTGAACGTGCTGGTAATCGAATGATTTGATTAAACGATGTTTTTCTCAAAACTATTAAAATTTATTCAAAGCCAGGCCACACTCACTCATCCGGTCATAGGTGAAGAAGCTAAACTTTTTCTATTTTTTACTTAAGTTTTGGTCTGAGAAGAAAAGAGGAACAGGTCTTCATCTCTTGTTATCATCTGCATCGGGATATTTTCCTCTTCATCTCAGTCCAATGATGAAATTGCTAACTGCTTTAACATCTGGAGAAATATCTTCTTATGAGGTTAGTGACAAAAGCTGATAACACAGGTTTGAATTCAGACGGTTGGAGTGGATTCATTAACTTCTCAGCATTCCAAACTGTATAATATAACCGGACGGTTAAGAATATACAATACAAATTGAATATTCAATTCTTTTCAAGATTTCATGATATTTTAAATTCTTGATTTTAGAAATTGAGCAGTAGTTTTATAGTCTTATAGTTTACATAATACGCATTCTTTTAATTTCTGTAAGCTTATGTCCTAGTTGTCAGAGCATTAGGCTTAATTATGTTGGCTCACAAATCACTAGGACCGATTTTAGATGGTTAACGCTTTCAATTTGTTTTGGCCTTGAACTGACATCTCGAGTACAATTTCTTCAAAAATGATTATCGTTGTTTATTGTGAATAATCTCAAATAATTTTAATCGATGCCATGAATGATAAGAATATGCGAAATAGCTCTGAAACCATTGAGACGTATGAATCCTAAATTATGACTTATTACGTCAAGCATCACGCTGCAGTTAACCAGTTATTTTATCCAGTTAATGGTTTAAGTATGTTCCCTTAAATTCCCAGCCCTACAGATTACTCACCTTACCCAGGGTGCCCAACCCCAATTGGGTATAAAATTTCGCAAGAGCTAAAGGTTCGGGTAGTAGCTTTGGCGAAGCGTAGCAGTGTCTGCCCAAACAAAGTCTTTCATGGAATGAAGGTGTAAAAACGCCTTCCTTATATTATTGATTATTATTCTCAGGTTTTTTCTTTCATCTCGAATCTTCCCTCGGTAGCAGAATATCTGGCAGCTCGTGGTACAGATGATGTTGAAAGCAATGAGAATGGGTCGCACTGGAAATTACTTATGAATAAAAATCTACTTGTTGCAGGTTATTTTATATCTGTTTTCTAACGGTATAGCTATCTGAAATTACTTGCATTGAGAGAATGTTATTTTGTAATTTACGATTCAGTTAGACTTATGAATAATCTATCAACTATTATTTACATAACCAACTATATTTTCTGAAATTTTTTTTTTTTGTCAAAAATGAGAAGTTCAAAAACATGGCGGTACACTTAATTTGCTTGTATACACAGTTAGTTCTAAATTGCTTACTTTGATTTTCTTATTTTTTTGTTTGTTAGTGATCTGAAACTAACATTTCTACATATAACTTAAATATTAGGCGTTAATTCTTTCGTTAAAAGTTGTTTCTTTTTATCTAGGGGGTTTTCATCATTTCAAGGTGCCAATGGGAACTGTTGGTAATCTAATCGACACTCAACTAGGAGCAATGGTTCAGTGGCAAACCAATGTAAATGGTTGGAAATTCTTTCAAGCTGAAATTGAGGTATTGGGATGTGAATATTTAATATTTTTCTAGGGTTTAGCATTTTTATTAAACTTAATAAAAAAAAGTGCAAATGTATATAGTAACCTCGTATATCCCCAATTTCTCACATTTTTTGGGGTTAAACACCAAAATCTGGCTTCAATAGTTGAATTCAAGAAATTTTCTACTTACCCAACATTTTCTTGGCCGATTTCCCAAGTACCCAAGTACCTCGCATTCCTGGATATCCCATCAGTGATCTGCTTTATTTTATCTTTCAAAAATATAACATACGAAAAAGGGCTTCAAATGTTATCATTGTGTATACAATACTTGTTAGTGATGAAGTAAACTTCAGAAAATAAAACTGTTTGACAATATGGTGTGTGATTTATGACCCTTATCTTCTTCGGGGTTATCAGTACCATCCCCGCATAACTACATTTAACTATGTATATGCCAGCATACAAACTAGATTTTTTTTATCAAGTTCTAGTCTATATAGCATGGACTGGCTTTCTTTTTTCGTAAAAAATAAAATATTTGTTACCGTAGATACTTATCACTGACCCACATAAAAAAATCCTTGAAACGCTATCACCACAATTGCTTTTGGGGATTCAATTAAAAAAAATTGATTTGTTCTTTCACTCCTCTTCCTTTTTCAGAATCTCCTTCAATACAGAGGTCAAAGTTCAGATTTAGAAGTTCTTGGCTACGTTGACAAAGCAAACTTGATTTATGGTTTGTTAGAAAAATTATTGGAACCGCTTCCAAAGTACAAAAATTTGGCGAAGAAAAATGAAATCATGGAAAATTTAGAACCATTTATTGAGAAAATATTTCCTTTGATACAAAGGTAGAGTACTGTAAATTACAATTTGGTATGAATTTTGCAAGTTTTCCTCTCAATGTACGCCTGTTCGGAATGCATTTGGAATAAAACTATCATTGTTAGACAAGAATCGCTCCAATACATTTCTCTTACAGAGACTGGTATTTTTATCTAATCATGTTCAGATAAACTTATCATCACTGACAAAGAGAAGCTAACAGTTATGTACCAGAATAATTGAAATGGGTCTATTTAACAGAATAATCATTACCTAAGTCTAAATTTCACATGGAATTCGCTACCTAAGTCTCACATTGATTAACAGTTGCTGACGCTTCATGCACCATCATCATGTAATTTTAAAATCTTAGAATATCAGTGATTGAATGAAACATTGCTCAGAAATGAGACTTTTTTGCTGAGTGAGTGCATTTGACATTGCATTGGGAAAATTTTCTCTGAAAAAAAATATAATGATGATTTTTTTGAAAACAGATTGCCTGTAATCCTAAAAACTCAGTAAATTTCACCTGCATTGGAGCTATACCTCTATTTTCCAGATTGACCAACATGATAAATCCACCTCTCGATCTGTTGTCACTATGCGTACGATGTCTCACAATGTGGCTCAAGTGTGATACATCAATAAATCAAGGTTCTGATTCTTCTGGGCCAAGCATGAAAAACAATCAACATTTGTTGTCCATCATCACAGCTATTTCTAGAATACAATTCTTGCCTTTTTCTGAGCAGAATTTTATGAAAAGTTTTGAATCAGCGGCGAAACTCCCTTTGCATTATGTATCAGAACTACCTGCTCCTCTGTATCCTGGAATATTTGGAAATGTTCTTGCTAATGTAAGTAGACTGATAGGAAGTGAATATAGTAGTCACCTGTTTCCCTGAATATAAGACCTTGCCTGAATTTTAAAAATGATTCCAATATAAGCATTCCACGTAAAATACGACCTAGTCGATAGCGCGAAATTTTGTTTTGATCTAGTCTGTAGCAAGAAATCTCCCCTACACTTCAAATGATTAATAATCTATGTTTAGCAGTTGTTTCAATTAAAAAACATATTATTTTTAAGTAAATGGATATCGGTTTTTATATTTTGTATATTTGAAAATCTCGTAGGGATTTACTTAGTAATTTTGTTTTTGATAAATGAAAATGAAAGACATCCCCCCAAAATAAGCCCTAGTGGTATTTCTCAAAAGAAAATTGGAATCAGACCCTGTGTATTTTTTGGGGAAACACAGTAGTGTCTTTAACATGAGTACCATGACAAGGACAAAATATATTTCAGCTAACCCATAGTCAAGTTTTGGGTATACAAGAATAAAATCAATTTTTCTCAATTTTAAATTTGAACTCTTCTTTTTTACTTGTACCATCCTTAACCACCCATAGAGATAAATAATGGCTTCACCAAGTTTGATTTTCAACTGATTCTTTTTTTGGCTCAGCAGTGTGGCGCATCGGTTCGGCAGGGGGGCGCATCGGTTCGAAATACACTCGTCACCGCATCTCTGATTACCCTGCGTGGGTTTAAATCGTGTGGGGGATAGTTATGCGCGAAAGGATTGCTGGACTCCTCACTGCCGCATGGTGGTTCACGTACGAACAGTTACGTCTTCCTCCATCAAGACCATGCATCTTAAACAAAAAAATGGCTGACTAACCCTATATCCGACATGAACTGGTATCTGGACAGGAGGTTGTGGTTCACCATATGATTAAGCCAGCTTATAGACTTTTTTCTCCACCAAGATAAATATGTAAATCCTATCCATTTGAAGTCATGAGATTTTTATTCTTGACAATAGAAAGGCAAAAGCAATTCAAATCATTTCATTAGTTTCAATACCACAAATTTTTCAATAGCTATCACTAATCTATCATGTGTGATAAATTAGTGAAGCGTGCGTATTCATGTCCCCCATTAGAAGAAACAAACAATTTATCATTTAATCCACCTCTTCCTTTCCACAATTAGCACTATTTTTTGTCCTTATTTTGATATATTTTTGCATATTATTTACCTGATAATTTTCACAGATTATTGTATTTTGTTTTAGGTGGAAAGGTCAAATGGTCGCTATCCTTTTACTGTGGCCATTCTCGATTTAATTATTTCGTTGGTAGAAAGAACAATTGACTGGAATTCTGAAATGTTTGAAGACGACAAGAATTTAAATTTGAAATTGATCATCGCAGTGATTGCACCAGCTGTCTTGTATTTTCTAAGAGAGATTTTCCCTACATTTCATAAATGGAGACAAGATCTTGAAACGACAGATAAAATAGGTTTGTACCAAGTTTGGTTATATGTATAGGCTTTGAAAAAGTCTCGACTTCTATGCGTTAAATCAGTGGTCTCAAACGGTGGGGCGTGCCCCACAAGGTGGCGAAGACAATTTTTTGAGGGGCCGTTAAGCTGATTAAAAATAGAAATATTTGTTAGATTTGATCTTGCCTGCCTTATTTTGGATATTTACATTCCAAATCTTTTCATTTATTTCATTATTCATGTTTCATCCACACATACTTTCATCTTACTATCTGTTATTTGTAGCTTATCGTTAGCTAGTTATTTTTGAGGTGAGTGCAAACTGGACAAATTCTAAAAAGTGGGCGCTGTTTAAAAAAGTTTGAGAACCACTGCGTTAGATGAAATAGTACTTGTTGCCTCCTCTGATATTTGCATATTCATTATATGAAATTACATACGAATCATATCAGACCGAAATATTTTAAGTATAGTGTTATGATACTATGAAAATCCGATTTTATGCAATACATTTTGACATAAACAGTAACTTATTGAAACTTTTCCGAAATATATATATAATAGGTAAATCAAAATATCAAATTAATAATGACATTATTTTTGAATTAATCTGAATATTGGACATCCCTGGATATCCTACAGAAATTGTTATTGTGTTTGTATTCTTTTTAGGTTTAAAATGTCTCAACCTATGTCATATTATGCTTCGTTCGTACAATACAAGATCGGCCAACAATGATGACTTGCAACCTGCAAGCTTATGGTCTCCTATTCAACATATGACACTAAACATACTCACTCACTCACATTCGGTCGATATTATACTCAAGTTGATCTCAATACCAGTAGATGTCCTGCACTCATTGCTTGCATCAGATGTAAGTAAGCCTTTCATTTTTTATCTAAGAACGCTTAAAACGTTGAATTAATTTGGATTCTGAAATCACTTCTTAATGTTTTGAACATCTGTCGCTGATGTGAATGCACAGTTATACCAGAAATATGAAACTTCGATGTTGCAGACCTGCAAGAATTAATACTTGCGAAAAAAAAAGAATGGGAGGCAATATAGATTACCAACATGGGATGTCAATCGCCGAAACGATCGCAGTGACAAAAACAATCGGCGATTATGACAAAATTACCCAGTGAAAAAAACATTTGTTGCAGACTTGCAATGTTTCTATTAATACCTCCCAAAGGAAAGGAATATCGACCAGCGGCGTTCTAGACCTCTGTTGTCTATGAAAAATATTCATTAATGAGTAATCGTTGAAACGAAAATTCCTAGCGATCACTAGGAATGACGGAATCGAGTCTGGATTCGATTATAGAATCAATTCTCCGCGGAATCGACTAGAACCGATTTCGAAGCATTAGAATAAATTCTCAAGGGTAAAACTTGGATTGCAAACAATGTGTAACGTTTTGGGGCAAGTCCTTCACATACATGTTTAAATTGCATTACTGCTATGCTGAGTTGCCACAACGTCGCAAACTTCACTATATATATGTATTTTTCGCTCAAATGCTTTTATGCTTTTTTTTTTCAAAAATCTCTGAGTTTTAAAGGATTCGTTTTTTTTGTGGGATTTTGGGTGGACCCATACTACTTAGTTTTGGCCTTTTTGTTCGTCCATATATTTGAACATCGCTCTTGTATTTGATTTCATATGGTATTGTTTGAATGGGTATGTTTTCTTGGTAAGATTTGTCGAGGAATCGAGAATCGGAATCGAAAATTCAGGAATTGGAAAAGAATCTAATACTTGTTAGTAGTCATACTTAGCATCCTTAGCGATCACTGAAATGTCTAAAGCTACTGAAACTAAATATATTCATCATCGTACATTACCTGCCCACAAATGTTCTTTGCCACAGATGCGAGATTTGCAGTTCAGGCCAATAAGAGCAAGATGACAGCTATTGGGTAGTGAATTCCACATCCGACTTTCGACATAAAAATTTTATCTACTCTTCATAATATATTTTATTACTTTCTCCAGCCTACATCACCAAGCGTAGTTTATTTGATGGAAATCATCAGGTTTGGATTTTCAGTTTTAAACAATATATTGAGACTTGAAAATGATATTTTGTGTTCAAATAAAACAAAAGAACAACAATTTGTCGGAGCAAACAAAGATGAAGAAAATATTGCATCATATTTGCATTCTGTATTATCGACACATTGCCCTGGAGGTAAATATGAATATTATTCAAGTAATGTCAAAAAAATATTTTGTTTGATATTACAGTGTTGATTTTGTGTATATCAATATATACAGAATATGGGCCAAATTTTATTGAATTGGAAAGGGTATTTATTTTAAAATCTCACAAGTTAAACATGTGTTCATAGTTCTGAATTTATCACAATAAATCCCTATTTACTCAGCAACCATTGCACTAATCAATTTCAAATTTTTAGTAAGATGGTATATTCCACATTTTATTGTTTCATTTTTATTCATGGGAATACTGTTTTGACATTTGACCATCGTGGCATTCCATCAGACTATGCTATATTTTCTTCAATCCTGGTTGTCATCTATGGCTTTATCAGTATTGTAAGGTGTGGGACAAAATTCGTAGATTTGAAAAATTGAAATGATCAGATAATAGATATATCATTGGACCTTTGTCTCCATATATTTGAACATCATTCTCTTGTTTTCTTTTGTTATTCAACTTTTTTTCTTATTTCAGGACCAAATTTGGTGTCACTTGTTGCTGGGTATTTATATCATCAGCATAATTCATCTCTACCAAGAATAGCTTTATCTTTACTAAGAAGAATATCTGTTGCAGTACCGATGTCTTTGCATGCTAGCTTAGGACAAGATGTTGCAGCTGTTAGGTATGACTTGAATTGTATCTGAAAGTTTCTTTATTCAAAATTGAAGATATTCTTAAAAGAAAATGTATAAATTTTGTTGTACTAATAAGAAAGTCTGTATCGACTGTTTTTCTATATTATGCTCAGTTACCCATTTTGTGAGCTGCAGTTTATTTATCTGCTAAACTGAGTTAAGTGAATCTGGGTGATTTTTTTGTATTTCGAAGGAAAATCAGAAAGAGATGAGAAAGAAGAGTTGACACTGACATTTCATTCTCTAGGCCTACATATTTTCAAACTTTGAAAGGCATAAAGTAAACATTATTGATCACAAAATTGGGTCTTATTTGATGGCAGCATTTGTTTCGTGAAAGTGCGCCGCAATTTTTTTTTTTTTGGAAAATCTGGCGTCGCACGAAGAAAAAGTTTGGTAAATGCTACGTTAGGCTATTGAGTCCACTATCACAAAATCTTTGAGTATAAATCACTGTACTTTGTATAAATATTCCCATTTTTCTGTACCATAGAGACATCCTACTTTCTCGTATCAAGTCCAGAACTGAGGATGTTCATCTTAAAATTGGGATTCTTGAATTCTTACGAATATCAGTCCAAACACAACCTGGATTGTTGGAACTTTTCCTCGATTTGGAACAAATTGATAAAGATAATCCTGATAAGGTTAGTTCTTTCGCTTCATTCAATTATGAGACGATTCAAAAATTGTTTGGTTCAGAAGTTTGTTTTGGGGTAAAATTGATAGATTTTACGGAAATGGTGGAATATGGCAAAAATTACACACCTTTTCATTTAATAATTTTTCAGAAAAATGAAAATCTGAATGTGCTCAAAATTTCTTCCTCAATCATCCTTGATTGCCATGTCATCCTTTTACTTGTTCAGGTTTTTTTTTATAAGACGCATTTGCTGTGTGAAATCTGAAGTTTCCCAAGTTGAAACAAATTGTTGTACTGGACTTAAATTCAATAATTTTAACTTGTGAACTAACTTGATTAGGCTAACACAAAAACATTAGCCAGATTTGTTGGAAAACATCAACTTTATTTATATCCAAGTAATAGAGAAACAAGGATATTGAAAATGAAAATAAATTTGACATTTGTTGTGAAACAGATTCTTGATTTTAGAAATAACATTTATGCCTTATGAAAAATTGTTATTTTATGCAACTGACATCTGACAAAATTGCAATTGACAAGATAATTTGCTTTAGTAAATTTATGTACATTTTTCATTGAACATGGCACAACTTAGAATCCCTTTTTACAACTGGGAACAATTTTGTTGTTGCTCAAATTACAAGGGTTTTTCTCATTTCTGTACAGAAAAATTGTTTCAATATCAATTTCTTATTTTTTTTTGTAGGGTCTAAAACTTGGAAAGTCAAGTTGTCTGTCTGCAGTTTTGGAATTGATCAACAAAGATATGCAAGGAACATATCAGTTACCTGCCGAGTTACACACTGCCTGTGTTAAATTACTCAATAGTTTATGGGTAGATAGAAGACATGCAGCTTTGAAGGTCTGATATAGTTTTTCATTAATTTTAGAAAATTAAACTGTTTCTGAGTCAAAAAGGGTAATGTAATCCCGAAATTATATAAATATTCAATACTTAGTTGTGATGTTATGGGTTGTTTTTGTTTAATCATGAATGATTTATAAAATTTGAAGTGATTGTTATTTTTTTCATAGGTAGTATTCATATGCCTTTTGTTGTGAACAAGGCTCTGCACAACCAATGACGTGCAAGGAACTCATTCATTCCTATTTTGATTAGTTAATATTGATGAAGAATTATTTACAGTTGGGCCACACTTATTATCATCAGTTTATTTATCTAATATATTCCTGATATTGAACTTTGTTACTTTCTCAGGCATTGAGGTCTTACTCAACATCAAGTAAAACCAAATCTTCATTCTGGAATTCTTTTCTTCTTCCATTATTCAGCGATAATTCTCCGAAAGAAATTGCTCAGGTTTACGATAGTTTCATATGTATTGTTTTCTTTATTTAACATTTCCATATCTTCTCTCATAACTAGGCTCTGTACCATCTACCACTGATAAAGATAGCTCTATTCCTGGAAGTATCAGAATCTTTCTGGTTCCGCATTGCTTACCTGATTTGTTACATCTTGGGTGAGAGGAAATATTTCAAGTGATCGTTCAATGAGAAAAAATTACATAAACCAATAAATACTATTTGTGCTGATTATATCAGATTTTTTTTTCATTGATTAATATTATAAATTTGATTTTTTTTTATACCATGATGCTCATTTCGAGTTTTGTTATTGTTAAAGCCTTTGGCCGAAACAATCAATATCAGCTGAAAAAGTCAGCTCTTCCAATCCTAGCGTTTTTAAAAACCACTACAAAGGAATTTCGAAGCCATGCTATGGAAATTTTTACACCAATAGCTCTATCGATGTATCATGCACTTTTGTTGCCTAATTTTTACCAAACTTCAGACATTTTGCTAAATTTAAGCGATGACAATTTAAAAGAAAAAAGACATTAATTTTTGTTTTTAGAGTGATCTATTAGAAACATGTGCTCATATCTTGAATACTCTGGGACTTGAAAATTTCTACACAACACCGTCTGGTAAAGATCCTGCACTTGATCCAATCATGAAAGAATTTGCTGAGAAAGACAGATATAACCATTTGTCAAAGGTGAACTGAGTTTTTTTATATCAAAAACAAGTGTAACATATTTGAGAATTCCTGATGTTCCAGTTGTTTTTATGGCTCTTTTTGTAAAAAAAAAAATTTGTTGAGGGGGTTATGACATTTTTTCTGAAAAAAAAAATTGTTTCCATTTTTTTGGGTGGGGTGCATATAAAGCCTTGCTTTGGCCTTAAAATCACTCTGAATCTTGATATCTGATTGATAAGAAATTCGAATTTTTCTTCTAGTCCAGGTGAATGAAATTTCAACATGGGACCTCAGCTCCCATTCGGAGAAAACCAAATTTGACCACAAAAACTTAAGCATATGCATGCTTTCTTTATTATCTGCCGAAAATTCTTAGTAAACTTGATGCTGATTCCCCAACTACCTCCTGATTCTATTATGTATAGAATATGCAAAGCTCAGGCTTCGTTCGACATATCTGAGTTTACATATGGGTGGACAATATTTGTGAAAATTGAGGTTTAGTGTAGTTCAGAATGGTTTTTTTCTCGGGGTAATTTTTAGGAAATTGATTGTTTCTTATGAAATATATTGATCAAAAGTTTTTCCAACCTAATGTTTTAATAACTATTCCAGGTTAATGTATGTGTTTGCAAAACATTACCGAGATTGAACAAAGTTGAATCAGAAAGTAGATTGATGTTTGTAGCTGCATGGAGAACTTTTGTACTTGCCTCTGATTTGAAAGATCCAGTGAAAATAAGAAAATATATAAATGATATTATGATGGCTGTCGGTGCTTTGGTAAGATTGATCTTTTGTTCATTGCAATATTGTGAGTTGTAACAATTGTTGGTGTAAAAAATAGTTATTGACTCGACCCTCGAGTTGGACCCGACCCTCGATATCTTGGCTGCATTGAACAATGAACTTCATTGAATCTTCTCCAAGCCAAATTTCATCTGAGTGTGATTTTCATCACACAAAGTCAAAGTTACTGAATAATGCCTTTGCAAATATGAAAAAACATTCCCCAAAATGGAATACAAAGTCTTTTCACATGTCACATAAATAGCTTTCATTGGCCATAACATGACCTATGGACCGCGAGTTGCGCATCTCTAGTTTAAATCAACATATTTTCGTCGTAAGAGTGAATATGTCCAGCTCACTGCTCAACTGCAATGCACATACATTTTTTACACAAATTGTGTCTCCTTTTGTTAATTTCTCTCTCTCGTTTCTCTTTTACAATAGGTTGAGGAAATCGAGACGCACAGTGGAATTGTAACTGCACTCAATCTTACATCCAGCTTACTTCTAACTCTCCTGCATAAATCTCCTAAAACAACTCTGGTAGATTTTGAAGCTACAGAAAAAATATTTTCCAAGTTTGTATAAGATTTTCATAGTAGCTACATTTAGGAGATTCTTTTTGAATGCCTATTAATTTCTATGTTTGGATTGTGTGGGTATATTGATCTGTAGTTTTTTTCTGGCAGAATCGTACAAATTCTAGAAGATTTGAAGAATTCTCAAGAAGAAGTTGAACGTTCACAGATTTATCTTCATGCTATTTTGCTTCATCTATTTGCAAAATTGAAAGCAAAAGCAGGTGAGGCGTTAGTTTAATATGTTAATTCACTGAAATTTTTTTCTTGCACAAAAAATAAATTTTTGAGGAAAGCTTCCAAGTATTTTGTGTCATATAACTAGAGTCACAAAGCATCTATTGCAGCTTGAATTGTATATATAAAATATTAGTCTGATATCGCAAGATTTTTATATAAATATTATATACACACCTTGTCTACTAAGCTGTGCCTTTGGTACTCCCATAGTATGTGTACCAGGTTAGGCCATAATTTTATTCCCCATAATTATATTTCCCTTATTTTAGTTCTTTTACGACTTTACGAGTTTGGGGACTGTTTGTATTAGCCAAGTGAATATACCCCCTGCCAATAGGCTTCCATCCGTTTGCACAACTTGATGTTTGGCGAACAAAATTATTTACCTTCATATTGGTACACATACTTCTGTAGCGCCTTCAGCTGCAATTATTGATCAAAGATACATAGGCACAGTATCAATAATTTTAGAACTGATGTTTATCTTGTTATATTATATATAAAGTTTGTTATGGTATATTACATATTCCTTTCAGCTTCCCATCTCTCGGATGTGATGCTCAATTTTTATTTCTTGAAATTAGAAAACAATCCATTTTAGCTGGGTAGATAGCCAATTTGACTAATAATTGTGAGATATTAAAAACGTCTCAAATAACTTGAATTCGAATAAAAAAAATTTGAACTCCCGATTGGATACTTCTACACCTTTTACCATCTCTTCTTACTTATTTAAACATCGATTTGTCTCATATATTTGTTTACAGATGGAAAAATCAAATTTTCCAAATCCATATCTATCTGGTTAAGAATATCTTGTTCGAGTCTTCGTCTTGTGCAACGAGATCAAGAAAAAAGTGAAAATAATTTGAAACGAAATGTGGAGGTCAGACATTGTGCCAATTCTTAGAAATACAATGCCATTTCACATGTTCAAATCTTGTTGGGGATAATTATGTTCGAGAGGGCTTCTGGACTTCTTGTTGTCGTTAGGTGGTTTGCGTAGCCACAGATCTAGTCCAGCGATATTCAACATTTTACTAATTGCATACAACTTTGTTGACATCTTTTAGTAAACACTAACGTTAATTGTTGCTATAACTCAAAGCTGCTCGCCTACCACTTAAAAAGCTTCCATGTACCACTTGAGAACCACTAGTCTTGTCCATGCATCTGGACTAAATAACAGGTTTACTATCCCCATGCACTGGTATTCAGATGCGAGGCCATAGTTCACCATATGACTAAGCCGTGATAAATATGAAATTCCCATCCTATCTAAGTAAAATTCACTATTAAATATAAAAAAGTTTTTAACCAATTTTTTGCCATCATTTATCATGTAATTTTACACAGACTTCACTTCTATTGATTCAAACAATTCAAGAAATATTTTTGATGAACAATACGGATGAAGATGTTTCTGCATCGTGGTTGAAAATAGTTATCGAGGAATCATCTTTCAATCTTCTTGGATCCGTCATTTTACGATTAATCTCATCTGCACATCTTGATGATGATGGAAATGGTATTTATCAATGATCATTAGAAAAATCTTTAATCTCTTATTACTTTTTTAAGTAATTTTAAGTAATATTTTAAGTACCGGTAATAGGTAAAGCTCCAATATCTTCCTTGAAACAATGATATTAAATAATTATATAGACACTTTTATAAATTGTTAAAAAAGTAGTAAGGCTTCAAATATTTATTTTCTGGCAAATAACTGGATTTGAAAAAATTTGACAGAAACATTTATTAAGATATGTTTTTGACAACTTTATTTAAACATTTTATTCATTGCCATACATTTCCACAATTTTGCTGATGTTCCATACCGTCTAATGCGGCTAATAAGTTTACCTGGCAAACAAGACCAGGCACATTTTTAGCACAAAAATCTTCTCCCTATAAGTCAGGACTGAATAATTGTGTTACTTTGTTTCTCTTTCCATTAGTTTTCATCAATGATCGCTCATAATTTTATTTCAATAGTACCAATAGGTAGTTACCCAATGCAAAGACCCCAAATAGTAGCAATAGGTAGTTACCCAATGCAAAGACCCCAAATAGTAGCAATAGGTAGTTACCCAATGCAAAGACCCCAAATAGTAGCAATAGGTAGTTACCCAATGCAAAGTCCCCAAATAGTAGCAATAGGTAGTTACCCAATGAAAAGACCCCAAATAGTAGCAATAGGTAGTTACCCAATGCAAAGTCCCCAAATAGTAGCAATAGGTAGTTACCCAATGCAAAGACCCCAAATAGTAGCAATAGGTAGTTACCCAATGAAAAGACCCCAGAAAATAAGTTCAGAAAATTGTCTTGTTGGCCCAAAATATGTCTCCCATTTTCCATGTCTTCATTTCAAACAAATTCCTGTTATGTTAGGCATTAAGGAGTAGCTATTTGATTTGTATGGAGTAGAAGCATAGTGTTTTGATATTGTCCATTCAATGTCTTACATCCTTTATGATGTAGCATTGGTTACCTTCCAGAATACCTTTTGTGGGCTGACCATTGCAATATTTTTAATAAATCCAGTTTGTAAATGGCTGAAGCTTAATTTTTCATGTTGTTACTTGAAAAAACACAATTATTTTATTGTTTTCTCACAGCACTCAGAGCTTCTCTTTCTGTGGCGATTTTCCGACTTTTTTCGACCGTATGTAGACATCACCAATCAGCACTTGCCATATTAAATACTGGAATTATGCCTGAATTTTGCCTCAAAACTACTAATACTTACACAGATACTGCCGCAGCTCAAAAGAAGGTAACAGTTCTTAAAATGAAAATTTGGTACTATGCTAAGAATTAAACGATCTTCCGAGAAACTATACTAAAATTTGTGAATTTAATATTTGAACATTCTGATATTTGATAATTTAATATTAGAAAATGATTAATGCTGCTAAAAACCCATGATATAAAACCATGATTACATGTAATACCATAAAGTCAGGAAAAATTTACCATGGTGTTGAAAAAGTCAGACTTTGGTTTAAAATAAATTTCGATTTTGACTCCATCTCTGACTCCAAGAAGTCAAATTTTGATGACAAAAACTTTAACTAACGTATGCAACAAGTCTCAATACACTGCCAGAAACACTTAGTTAACTTAATGCTTTCGGAGAGTTTATGGAGAGTTTTGACTTCTTTTATTGTCGTTGAAATTTTGCAATCCTGACTCCCACCGCAAGGAAATCAGAATTTTTGAATCTGACTCCATTTCCAAGTTTGGAAATATTCCTCTGACATCCATACTAAGCTGTTTACCTGAGTAGGTAATTGAGTCAATTCCAAAGATACATAGTATTTATATTTATCTGAATTTCTAAAGATTATATTTTAATATTCTTATCTTTTTTAGCATTTCATAATTTTTGCATTTTTATGTTCATTATATCAAATTATATTGAATTTTGTATTCTTTATCCAATTCAGAACTGGTTGAATGTTTATCATTTATCATTAATTTTGGTTCAAAATATGTTGGACGTTCTATCTCATAATTTCTTGGATCATGCTTTGGATTTCATAGGAGTTCATAATGATAGAATCATACAGGTACCTACCATACATTCATAGATTGATATTCTTGAATTAACTTAAAATGAGAATATGGGAGAATGGGGACGATCTTTTATCTAATAAAGCCTAAATTGTACCAAAACGACTTTGACATCTTTAAATATACAATATTATTTGCAAAACTTCTTTGTTTCCTGGTATATTTATTTTCAATGTATTCATCCTTGTAAAGTAAAATGGATGTGCTTTTAATAGAATTGATTGCCTTTTCCAATTTTCCACTTTTGTGAGCAGGTTAGAGATCTTTTCGGAGCCCTAGTCATACTATACCAATTCTACTCGGTCTAAAAATTGAGTAGGAAATGAGTAATCACAAAGAGTAGAAAACAGCTAATATTTATGTCGGATCGGTTACTTGTACTCTGATCCCCATTTGCAGTGTGTGTGTGTATCACCATAGTATTCTAATTTACAATAATTAATGCACTTCTTTTCGGGTCACTTCACACAATCTCTTTTCACACAAAGGTTCAGGTCAAGCAGTTATGAATTCTAATTGAACTGGCAAACATAAGGTCCAGTAACCATAGCGACGCAGATTTTTTTCTCGCTCCATTAACCGTCATTTTCATATTTCTAGTGTTTGGAAGCGGTTCGAATTAATCAGAGTCCGAGTATACTTCAAGAAGCAACTTTTACAACAGCTTTGTTGAGTTCGTTATCAAAATCGTTTATAAGAGAATGGAGATTCAAATTATTACATTCATATCAATCATGCATTGAAATCGTAGCAAGTTTATGTCATTCATGTGTTGCAATGCTGTTACGACCTAGACTTCTACAGGAAGCAATGGAGGTAAATTTATATTTGATTGTGTATATCGATGGCATGGAAACTTAAGTTGCAAATTAATTGAGGTGATATATGTTAGCTGAGAGCCTAACTTGAGCACATATGGTCACTTTACCTTAACAACTGGCTGGTCATGATTAGTCACCTGTAACCAATAATAGGATTGATAATTTTTGGAAAAGTTCGTATCAGACTCACAAACAGGTTTCCTCATTTCAGAAAGCCATGCTGAACATATAGCTCTATAGCAACGTAACATAATATTACATGATAGAAAACAATTCGAACAATTTATATTCAGTAATGTATGTCACTACATAAGCTACATTAACATGTTGCGCTTTACATAAATCGAGTACATAACTTTTGAAACGTCAAATATAACGATGATTGTAAGCTATGATATGTACACGTTACCCATATGCTGCGGTCGACTGACGTCTACAACAAAAAACGAGTTCATGATTTGTAACTGATGATATCATTGATCATGCTCAATATTAGTTCAATAGGAATTCAATTGTTGAGATTCTTCAGAAAAATTTTCCCAAATTATGCATGACAGCAGAGGTCATATTGAAATTAAACTCATAAAATGGTTGGCTAACTGGTGTTAATATATTTCAGTTTTCTTCCAAAAAAGATCAGTCTGTTCAAATATCAACATCTACACTTAATGCAGCTCGTCAAACATCAGTGGTTAGTCAGAAGTCTATTTCACAGGTATGACAAATTGCCAGCTAATTTGATTTGTATATTCTGTAGAGTTGTTGAAACTGAATCTTTTGCTTTCCATTTAAGGATATAGAAATCTCGGTTTTTGAACCAATTTTAACTACTAACTATATTTCCTTTTTAGGATGATTTAGAATCTGCATCACCAAAATTCTTATCTGCACAAAAAGGTCTTTTCTCCATACTTGGAAATTGTCTTGCCATTTTCAAACATTTATCACCAGACTTATGTCAGATATTACTTGACCAAACTGTTGATCCTGGTAAGATGGCAATATCATTTTTTCCAAATAATATTTTATAAATAGTCATTTATATCTGTGATAGGTTAATATTGTTATGATTTAAAAATATTGATAAAAAGTTTTATATCTGGATTTTTATATAAGAACCTAATGCCATTATGTAGGTAATGTAAAATTTAGAGAGAATAAAATATATTATTCAATCTGCTCATCTGTAAATCATACTTAGTGAAAACCTTGGTAAAGCTGAAAAGGAGCGATAGTCTGGTGCCCTATAATTTGTTATGAGTGAAATGGGGCAAATGATAAATATATATATCAAATTTACAGAAGAATATCAGCCGATACTTTCTATTGGATTTTCTACTCCATCACTAGACCAAGTATCACCACCAACGTTTGGTACTATTATCAATGCATCTAATGTTTCGTGGAAAGTTATATCACAGGTACAATTTGGATATAGTGGAAATTTTATTGCCACTATCATATCTCCAATCAAATTGTTTCAATAGACCTTCGTCCAAAAGCCAATGGTCAAAGCACTGATTCTAAGCTTTCTTCACTTTTTACAATCAGTCTGCGCTTTTACCCACTTTTCTCTTAATCCATCAAAGTTTAGTTGAGTAAATTAGAAATTCCAATCCCTTTTACACTTCATATACCATTGTTGTGTTTGTGCCTCAGTTAGTTTGATGATATCAATCACGCATTCCAATAATTAACTCTGTACATATAAATTTATATCGCTAAGAATGTCATAAGTAAATAAATAAGGTACACGATAGTTGGTCGAGGAGGGATAATTACTTGAATTTATGTGAAGTTGTAATGTATTTCAATCTTATGTGATGTAGTGTATCAACTATCAATATAAATCAGATTATTCATCAATGGATCTTAATCAAAAATTTGTTGTGCAGAGTTCAATTTTTCCCTTAAACATTATTCTAGTCTGCAACAAACTCTGCTGAATTGACTGATATTGCGACATATGTGATGGACACTGCGCTGACTGTTGCCATATCACAAGGAATGTTACTATTGAAACATCCACTGGTATCCCACAGAGATAAACAAAGATTGAGAAGAGAACTCAGAGACGAATTGGTATTTGAATGTTACATTTCATCATGTTTTTCGTAGTTATTTTGTATAATGGCATATCAATAAAGTTGGTATGATTATATTTCATTCCATTAATTTGTTCAAATATCAGAGTTGCTGCGTATGTGCAACATGAAATGAATATTAGATTTGAATGAACTCAGAAATCATATTATCACCATCACATTTTTTAAACAACTGAAATACCTTTATTGGTATGCTCATATGTCAGTCCCCATTGAATGACCATTAACAATAGAAGAACATTGTCATGATTTCATTTAATGCTTCATACATTTCATTAAATACGGTTTGTCTCATGAAATGAAAGAGTATTAATTATTATTATATATTTTCAGATTTCATGTCTTAGAAGTGCAAATCGCCATTTCCGTCATTCTTCCGGGGGAGTAACATCTCCACAAACAAGTCCTTCTGCTGGTTCAAGATCCACACTGAAAGCGAAAACATCTTTAACTAAACAATTTTCATCAAAATCACTGCATCGTTCATCTTCAACATCAATTGACAGAGGAATGCTGGATTTGGTTGACGTGTTTGTCAAAGGCGTTCTCAGATGATGAAATAGAAGAAAAAAAATTGCCCGTTGTTTGATGAACACTGATATTCTCATTTGTCAGCACTCTTTTCATGTTCCAAGAGTAGTCTACTTTGTGTGTTTCCTCATGTTTATTATTATTTTTTCAGAAATACAATCTTAGCATAAATGATGTTTCAATTAGGTTTATACTTGTCTGTAAAGTCGGTCGCCTGACGTACAATGATCTGCAGATATGTCAGAGTTAAGTTGGCGGTGATAAGAAAGATCGTATGAGCTACATTTTCAGATTCCATAGTGCAATGCAAGGTCTGCAACTAGGCTAAAGTTAGAAGCCATTTTCATCCTGGGGAGAGGAAATTTGACAAGGTGGAGTACTACGGCCTCTTGTTCTGTTAGCAGGGATTAGTAAACTAGTTGATTGTCTCAGATCCACGAACGAAAGCTGATGTCGACAAGCGATTACGTGAACACCACACGGCGTCGAGGAGTACAGCAACCTCTTGTACATAATTATATATCTGTACCGTATAGTTCCTCAATATGGTAGCAGAACAACATATGAGTAATGCCGAAGGCTGTCGTTCGTTTGTAACTGCTGAAGGCGCATACGTTACCAAGTAAACACAGAAAATAAGGGAAGTCGCCAACCTGGTAAATCCCCGTTTTCTTTACCAGGGTATGAAGCGCGGGAGGGCGCTGCCTGTAGGTCGCAGAAAATTCAGATCCAGAGGTACCGTTACACGGTATGGTAAAAGCAGAACCCGCTTCAGCGATCGCTTTTGTTGCAAATTCTAAGAAAAAGATTTTTGGTATATTTAGAACGAGGCCCTTGTTCCATTGTTGTTCATTATTGGGTAGTACCGTACCGTAAGCCTTCCCTGAACCTTCCAGTGCACAGCGAAACAGACGAATATTTAATTATATCACACACATTTCTTAGTGTCTTACCATTACCGGTAGCGGCAGCCGCACTGCTCCTGGCGTTTGTCGGTGTTACAATTTGAACCGTCTTTCTAATCTTCACTCGAATTTACTGATTGAGATACAAGTAGGCCTAGCCTAATACAGTTTATATTTTCTGATTTTTAAGTTATGATCTAGATTTTTATGATAGAATTATAGTGATTGAATTATAGTCTTGATACAAGTTTACATTGAGCACAAGCGATGTAAGACTGTTCCCCCTCGCCAAGTTCACCTTAGTTTTGGAAATTGGATATATATAGATAGCGATATTCAACATACTGACATACGAACTTCCGACTGGAAATATAATATACAGATATACTGGACCGAAGACAAGTATCAGAGTATTGAAGCCATACAATGGAAGAAAGTTTCGTTATCGAATCTTCAAAAAAAAGAATTTTGCAAGAAAAATTGGACAAAATAAATAAATTATTTAATGTAGAAGTCGAAATTCAGTCCGGACCCATCGAATTAGGAGAGAATGGGAGTCAGTGGGTTCATGTCAAAAGCCAAGAAAAGAATAAGAACAACATCACTGATGCAAAGGTAAGTTCATATAATTTGTTAAATTGTGGTGTAACTAACCAGTTGCAAAGATTGTATAAAGAATTTAATTGAAATAAAACTAGTAACTTTAAGAAAGATGTTCTGAGAAAGTCGGATATTTGAATTTTTTATTTTCATAAGCAAAACTTGACATATATGATACAGTCTAGCTGCAAATGTTTTTGTATAGAGCATCTCAAGTTAAAAATTAATTGTGAAGGTGATTTGTAGACAACCCAACTATTCTGGTGGTAAAGCCAATTCTACTGATCAGCACTTTCTTTATTCTCTACTTTATATACTTTACTATACTACTATATACTTTATAGCCGCATTCTCAACTATTTCTATATTCATGAGTGACAAATTGTGAGATTTTTAAAAAAATGTGAAAATCATATCATATCTGTTCTCTTTGGGTATTTCTTATTAATAATACTATATAGGTCAATAATAATTCATAGGCCAAAATATTTTGTATAAAATTTAATATATTTAAGGAACTATACCTAAGTCATAATGAATTTATGATGACATACTTTCTAACATGTCTTCAATAGATTTGTGATTCATTTATGATGTAGTTGTGACTCATTTGTATGTAATCATCGATTTTCATCATTTAGTCTCACATCATTGCACTTTGCAACCCCGAATGCACCGAACGAGCTTCATTTCCTGGTTTTCCGGTGTTTATATTCACAGCATTCAAGGTGAGATATCATTTTAACACCTAACAATTTAAAAGTTAAATAAAGAAAAATCTAAATATTAGTCATACCTGTGAAATTCAGTTAAGTTTCGTTCATGAATACTCTATGCAGTCTTGCACTTGAAAAATTTTCATCAATTTCATTCAACAGATAGAAGTTACATTTTAATGTAAAATCATGATTTTTTTATAATTTCAATATAATATTCATATTCATTAATTCAAAGAGTTGAGTGTTTCCTGTTTTGATATTGATCTTTGTTATATAATTTAAATATGAACAATTGACCTTACCTTTATTCAAATTTCAAATTCTGAAACTATATTTTCAGTCAAATTATGTTCCGACTTTAAAAATGCTTTATTCAACTGTCATCAAAAGGTGCTGAAACACTCAACAAAGCAATCCTAATTAGTTCAATTAATGTTCTAATAATTTGAGATTCTGTTTTATTTTAATATCAATTCAATCAACAGGAACGATGTAAATACAGAATAGAGAAAGATTGTGGAGTTGTATTGTCAGTAACGGATGACGCAGCTCTGAATATCCATGGAACCAATATTGGAGTTACCCTCGCAATATCTAAGATTCATCACTTGAGAAAGTTACAGAGAGACCTGGATCAAAGCAAGGTACTTTCCTACCTATGGCTCATCTTTCCGATTTTATTTTAACTAATCAATTTTTTCATCTTATTAAACAGAAAGACATTAAATTTAACTGATAGCTTATAGTCTTTATCAGTAATATTAAGATGTTTTTTGTTTAAACTGGTTTGATTTGTACATTTGAATATAGCATTTTAAAATCTCTTCAGTTTAACAGTATTTGAAAAATTCTTTTTATCATACATGTTTATTAGTCTGTGTTAATACTCTAGGACAGTCAGTGGTTTTCAAACGGTGTGGCACGGCCCACATGGGGGGAGGGCGTAGACATGTATTTGAGGGTGTGTGAAGCTAATTAAAAATAAAAATATTTGTTAGATTTGATCTTTCCCGGTGTATTTTGGATAATAACATGTCAAAACTTTTCATTTTTTTCCTTATTTACGTTCCATCCACGTATTTTCAACGTGTTTTTGAATAAAGCATACTTTCCCCTCACCATCCGTAAAGTCTATTTGTATCTTTTTGTTAGCTAGTTATTTTTGAGATGGGGCGCGGCTTAAAAAGTTTGAAAACCACTACTCTAAGTTATTGGGAGTAGAACGTTGAAAGCAAATATTTATTTATATTCAAGCCTCATGCCATGATGTAATGAAGTTGGTTAGGCAATATTGAGTCAGAAAGATAAAGGTGATTGTAAAAATATAGAGCAGCATATTATGTAGCAGTGGCAGCTTATCTGCGAACTTTGTTTGTATCAAACATGTGAGAACACTCCCATTATTAATATGATGCTTATTACTCAAAATCGATATATTATAATGTAAAAAAAGATATCAGAGAGGCTCCTCCTACACTATCAGTTTCAATCAAATAATGTTATTATAATAAAATTAATTTCCTCATATTTCAATCTTTTCGGTTAATTTCCCACAAATGCAATTAAGCTGAACCCTGTTATTCATGCTTGATATCACATGTATTCAATACATCAAATTCAAAAGATAATTTACTTTTATATGAGACTTGCTCTGGAACAAGGCTCAATACAAGCCGCCATTGATATATCACAATATATATACGTGTTTAATAACATTATTTGGAAGCACCGAATCTTTCGTGTTCTGCATTTTCTACCTAATTTATCACACACATGGTGAGATGGGGTTGGGGGCATGGGATTTGAACCGAAATGGGCGCTTCAGAAGTGTGTGTAGTGTACCATTATGGAGGTAACTAATTTTGTTCTGCTACTTCGTTGTGTAAAGCGACTGAAACCTATGGGCTTGGTATATTCGCTTGGCTAACACAGACAGTTACCAAACTGGTAGTAGAACTAAAATAAGGAAAATCTGAATAAAATTATGGCCTAACCCTAACATGGTACACACACTATGGGGGTACCCTGAAATGTGTAATCTGTGATACCAGCACAGCAGCAAATCCCCGGTTAAGTTTATTTTGTTCGGTACCCGATGGTATATCCTATTACTTTGCTCAAGACAGCTCATTTGTTCAAATACTGTCACATGACTGACCTCTTCTGTTTAACAAAGAATCAGTACAAACAAATTATTTGAATAGCCCACATCAGCTTTATGTAACTCTCTTCCCAAAAGCTATATTTTGATAGTGACATACAAGATACAAAAGTATTGTATCGCAAAATTTAATACTCTATTGGAGAATAATATATAATAAATATTGGAGCACAAAAAATGAATACACAAAAACTAAATATATCATTTCACTGCCAATATTAAGTCAAGGTATACCCTTTTTGATATTTGAAAATAAAAGATATGAAAAAATTTCAGTTTTTATTTAGTAGGCCTACATCTCTCAGGTTTATTTATTTAGCATATTAAAATGAAATGAATGATCCAAACATTAGTCAGACTGATTTATCAAAAAGCTTCAGAAGAAGTCATTGAAATTCATTATGAATTGTACGCACAACACAATATCTATCTTTCATTTCTATAAACACGAAATTGAAATTCACATTAAATAAACACTTGTTTACTTTTCGTGATATTTCATAACTTTGGAAGCTTTATTGCTATTGAAGGGATGTACATTGAATAGATCTTAGGTATTTAAAATACATGTCATGCTGGAAAAATAAAAGTTACATACTGGTAAGCAAAACAATTTTAACTATAGCTCTTATGAGGAGTGTTGTCACAAGAACATAAAATTGTATTTTTTGTAGATTATTGTGTAGAGTATTGTAGTAGGTACTTTCGTAGTGTGTGTACCAGGTTAGGCCATAGTTTTATTACGATTTTCCTTATTTTAGTTCTATTACGAGTTCGCGACTGTCTGTCTTAGCCAAGTGATTATAACCCTCTGCCCATAGGCTTCAGTCACTTCACACAACTTGATGTTTGGCGAACAAAATTAGTTACCCGCATATTGGTACACATACTTATGGAGCATTCTTTTTAATATTTTTAACATGATAAAAATGTTCTTGGATAAGCATTTCTAAAAACTTTAATGGGCGTGGGCGTTAAGTCTATTTCCATACGTCATGACATACTGCCGATGACCAGTAAAAACTGTGCATGATCACACAAATTTATGATTTTGAAAAATGTTATGGCGTTGTAGGCTAACCTATTTGAATATGTAGACAAAGTCTCTTTTTTTAGAAAAAAGTTTGAACAACTACTCTTGACAACAAGCTGAATTTTTTTTTTCAGGACCGTGAAGCTGCAATGCAGTTTGATTTGTACGTAGAAGAAGTAGGAGATGATTGTCAGCAAGAATTACAAACATTATCAAACTCACTCAAAAAAGTAAGACTATAATATTGAAGAATAATTGAACTAGGAAAATTTCGCCGCATAGGAAAAATCGACTTATTTAAAAAGAATATTTAAGAGCATACCCTAACCCTATAAACCTATTTGTTTTAATCACAAATACTTGTTTTACAGCAAAATGCTCTTGCAATTTTTCCTATGCGGCGAAATATCCTTCGGTGAGATTTCACAGCAATCCCCATCCTCGTATCTTGACCATAAAACAATTAACACTTTCTCTTAGTCCTTTCCAAATATTTATTAACACTTCTATTTATCTACTTAGATACAGGTGTTAATTTATGAAATAAAATATCTTTATAGTTGAATTCATATATGTTACTCTCTGATTCGGAAAATTAAAAATTGAAAAATATAGGTATGAAAGGCTAGCCTAGGTATGACTTGACACAAGATTGTTTTACTTACACATACACTCAAATTTTAGTAAATTTTGCCAAATTATTTACTTTCTCACACCTATGATTAGTGAATTCTTTATGTCATCACAAAGATGTCCTCCTTACTTTGCACAGGTTTCATATCTTAGTTTTGATTTCTAATAATACTTTTGTTATAATGATTTCATTTTCAATTTTTCCAATTCACAGGAACTTTTAAACATTCTTGATATTCCGCTAAATGAATTGTCGCTCGGTGCAACGGCTCCAAGAAAGATTTCATTGTCCGCATCAATACCAACGGCTATAGTTTCAAACATAGCATCACCTAAAGATGATAACCCTGGTATATATATTTTTGCATTTTTAATTTATAGGTTGCTGAGTATCTGCTATGAAAACAAGGCGTAACATCAAATGAACTGTTTGTTATTCACTTCAATGGGTTTTTATGGTTTTTCTCAATTAGCCCTGTAAAATTAGCCACTTAAGGAATTGTATTGAACATAATCTCTCAGAATAGCATAGCATGTCCAATTTGATACAATATAGGTCTAGCTGTAACATTAGTATTGAATTCGAGAATAAGTATATCTAATAATTGAATTTATTTTAATATGCAATGTTAACATAGGTGGACCAAAAACCTCCAACTACTGCTACTGATGTTTGCCTGCTAGATATCTGCATATATGTGGAATATTCTCACCATTATATATTAGAATATTTTTTTTTTTTTTCAATTTTTATAAAACTCATTCAAATTTACTGGTAATTGTTTTCTCCTATTTTGAGGAATCTCAATGCATGCCTTACTTACAAGTTACGTTGGTTGTTTCTCTAATGATATTTTCGGGATTCACAGAGACTATCGTTATTGAAGACAGCATTATAGTGATATCTTCATCAGAGAGTGGAACAGATTATGATGATGATGATGATGATGATGATGAAACGCCTTCTACTTCACATTGTTTAGAGGTTGATGGACTGAAAAAAACAGAACTGAAATATTTGTTACCACCACTTTTTGCAATTAGAGAATGGATCAAGGTTAGACCTCACATTGTTTATATTAGTTTTACGATCTAGATTAGTCATTAAGATCATCAAGGTCTTCTTCGAGTCATTGTATTCCGTTTTTTTTTTAAGATTCATTATCAATGTACCGGCGATGCACAAGATTTTGTTAACAAAAGCGACATGCTTGATCATTTCAAAACCCATTTTGATTTACCGGATCATCCTGAACTCGCAAATTTATTTTTTGATAAGTTAGCAGTGACAATATTTCCACAGGATCCTAACTACAGGTCAGTCTACATCTTTATTTATCATCTTACAAAGCCTGGCTACTAGAAGCAATTGTTTTCTAGATTGGTTTAATTGCAGTTCATTCACAACATAGTCTTTGGAATAATTTTGTCGAAAAAGCATCATATTATACCTCACCTTGCAAATACGATTGTCAAGTTATTACACTTTGTTATCAAAATAAAAAATTTAAATTCAGGAGTGTGCGTACCAAGAAGACAAAATCTAAACGTAGTAGAAGACGTTTGGTTTGTTTGCGAAGAAGAACGATAAGCGAGTCTGAGAAAGAAGATTCGAGTGTACCTACAAATCTTGGCCCTGATATCGTTATCCCAAAACCGAAGCCAATGAATGATGCTCGGGCTTCAAAACTACCTAGAACAATATCCCCTCCCACTTCTGCTAGTAGTCTCATGAAGGACTGGAATTCAAGTAGAACTGGTTTAAAAGAGATACCCCCCACTATAAATCAGCCTCAACCTTACCAAACCACCGTCCCAATGCAAACATGGATCCCCCCTCCAATACAACCTGTTCAACCCATTTTAAGTATGCCACCAGGAAACCAAAATCTTCAAAATTGGCTGAGCACTGGTCCAATTTCTAAACCGAGAACACAACCGAAATATGATCCGAAACGAGCGAATAATGTCTTCTCGTCTATCGCGACAAAAGTGAGCAAAATGAGTAACCATGAACTCATCAATAATCCACGGCCACAAGTCAATCCAAATTTAAGACCTATTGTGATTGATGGGAGTAATGTTGCAATGAGGTAAGATAACATTGTTTCCTACGAATCTTCTGAAATGTCATACAACTTCTCCAATGTACTATAAGCAGGGATGTCCAAAACGAATCGTATACATTCAAAATTGTTTATATTCAATTTAGCAACATCTTGATTTTAGAAAAAACAAAAAATTATTATAGTTAACTTCTGACAGAATAAAATGGAGAAGACTAATGAAAACATTGTTTATTGCAATTATTCTGCATAACCAAGTTTTATTTTTACAAATTTACGATTGTCTTAAAAAATTTCCCTTGTGGAAAAGACCCATTTTAGAATGTATTCGAAAAGATTATTTTAGAATGCTAAATTATTTGGTTCTGGCCATCTCTGGCTATCAATCATGTATTCTCGGTTGATTGAAGTGATGAATTTTTTTATCTGCTGCTTACGATCAACTGATTATGATTTTTCTATCAGCCATGGAAATTCCAGAAATTTCTCTTGTCGTGGAATAGCCCTTTGTGCTAGATTTTTCATGGAAAGAGGGCATGAACATATAACATGCTTTGTACCAAACTACCGGAAAGGTGGAGGGGGCTATCCACCATCTTCTGATGCATATTTACTGCTTCAACTAGAAGAAATAGGAATTGTAAAATCAACACCATCAAGGAGAATAAGAGGACAGAATGTTGTGTGTTATGATGATAGGTGAGTCAGTCTTTACGAATAGTAGTGCTGTTCATTCATTAGTAGTCTACTAAGAGATTTGTGTTTGGACACCATGTAAATGTCACTCGTTGCCAAGATGGATGAAATAAGTTCTTCGTTTTGCTGGAAATTTCCATGTCAACAGAAAAACTCTCTTCATTTTGAATTTCACTAATTACTGAAAAATGCTTGCAGGATACGGGTGATTTGACCACTATGGTTTAAAGTTACTTTTGCAGGAGATTAAAATTCAGTTTTCATGGTTTATGCATTCAGCACAAATATAACTTGCGGGCTAAAAGCTATTTCTGTTAGCCAATGAATTTGGATATTTTCTTTGAAAATCGAAGTCTAGATGACTGGTGGGTGTATGAAAAGTGATTAACTCGATTTGATCATAAATCTAGTCATTTATCATCAGCTAAAAGCTATATGAAATTTGATCAGTTGCAACATTTAATCAGACTTTGTGTTTGTCTATGAGACATTTGATGTAACTGAAACGAGTAAGTATCACCACCATATATGACATGGTAAGCCTGGTTAACCAGACCAAGTCAGAGAGCATGGTTAGTCATATAATTGAGTTGTGTTGCCGACTTGCCACTCCCCGGGAATAAAATGTGGAAAACGCAGTGTATGATCTCTGCACATTGCTGTTCTATTCTATTAGTTCAGAGCTCATGTACAGGTTGTACTCTATGATGTCTCTAGTCCTGGGCTACGACGGTCGCGACTTACGATGTTTCGAGGTTACAACGCACTTTACGAACATAGACAGATATAAAAGATAATACTGTACTGTAATATCTAAGCCTATAACCTGGATCATTGTGATCAAGAAAATCAGTGCTCTGGGCTCATTGGTTTTCGTTATTTACATCGTAAATGATGTGACCAATTGCAAACTATTACGATTATGAACGAATAATCACTAAGCTTCAGTCACATGGTACAGTACAGTACTGTACACAGTTTCAGTGATACTGTACGTCATTTTGGTTGTTTAAGCCGTTTTTTTCGTAACTTGTTTGATTTTTTTTTTTACTTTTGCCCTTTGTTATGGATTCAAAGCAAAAAAAGATGTTAAGATACTGTACAGTGTACGCTTTTATTCACGTGATGTGGAATTGTTTTCTGTTTTTCTAATAAAGTTCTTATTTGCATTATTTGTACATTTTATTAGTGTACAGTACCATACTTTACAATACAGTACGATGTGTATAGAGTTTTTCGTGCACTGTACCACTGTACAGTATAATGTTCCGACTTACACTGAAATTCGGGTTACACCGAGTCTCAGGAACGGAACTGCGTCGTAAGTCGAGGACTCCCTGTGTTTTGATGGGGCTAATGATCCAAAATAAAGAGTTAGGTGTGTTCTGAATCGAATACTCGAAAGGTCTGGATTCAGACCGCGGTCTGCCAGTTGAGTAGCCCTGCTCTAGTCCATTTATATTGTTAAACTGTAGTTTTAATAATTCAGGTTCATCATTGAGCTTGCTGGTGCAACGAACGGAGTCATATTATCGAATGACCAGTATCGTGATCTTATGTCACAGGATCAAAAATTTCGTCCTATAGTCGAGCAGCAATTACTTCAATATACTATTGTTGGCGACTTACTGATGCTGCCAGAAGATCCTCTCGGAAGAAATGGGCCTCCTCTAGATGAGTTTTTGTCACATGGCCGTAATGGGTACAGATACAACTTTTACAGATAAAACTTTTTAAAAATATAATTTGTGTATTAATTTCAAGGTGCTTAATAATTAAAAATGAATGTGCTAGAGTGCCGGTTTTAAAATTGAGCTAGCTAATTTTTAATTTTGTGAAATTTTGCTGTGGTGATGTGAAGTATTTATAATTTAAGCAATTTTCCTTTGGTTTGAATTATTTTTTCATAATTTTGGCTTGAGTATTTTTCTACTTCTGGTGGTTGGATAAGCCCATATAAGTATATGGGGAAAATTCTGGATGAATATTCTGTATGAAAAATTAATTTTTGTTTTAAATTCTTGACTATTTTTTGTGAATTGCGTCAGTGTTCTGCGTGGCTATGCCATTTAGCCTGCCGACACCGGTAAGCTAAATTCCGTCACTTCTCCCTATCACAGAAGTATCTATTAAAACAAGTATTATTTCTTATGGCAGCTTGAATATAGTGATTGATTCTTAATTTTCTTGCAAACTGAATGTTCAGTCAAATGAAAGCAATTATGGTATTATGCGATTACCAACAAGACGCTACACAAATTTCCATCTGCCAAATACTTGACCCACGAACGACGCAAAACTTGTTCTCTTAGTTCTTAAATAAACTTATTCTTAGGTTAATAGGTGATTTTTTTTTTTTTTATTTATATTTTTTCTCTTCTAATAGGTGACATTTGCGCCCCTTCTTTTTTTCAAGCACTGTAACCTTAACACACTTTTTGATGTTCCACATTTATTGCTGTGCTTGTTCTTGCCTTTATTCCATTCCATTCGCGTTCTGAAATTTTGCAATAAAATCACGTCATTGAAATATATACTCATAATTTTATTGTCTTCAAGGATGCAGAGCAATGACATTTATCAATCTTTCCATTCTAGGTTGAATGTGCCAAAACAAAGAGTTGTGAAGGTACCATCACCTGCACGTCCACGGCAAAACCCTTCCCAACTGCCAGGCTTTGTGCGTCCACCTCAACACCCCATGCAGAGGCCTCGTGGTCCAATGCCAATGGCTAATGCGCCTGTAACTGGTGTACCATGGATGCATACCCCCCAACAACAAACTCTCTCACCTGATCAGAATTTACTCTGCTATGAAATGCTGAGGATTCTACCAGACAGGGGTAATGATATACGTAAAGTAATAACAGATAATCCACAGGTGACAGACATCCAAATCTTAATGGAATATCTCTTGATAAGCGATCAAGCCGCTTAAATTAGCAGTGACCTATATTTAGGTTTAGAAATCATGTACATCTGATGGTTTTCTACCGTATAAATCAGCAGTGAAATCAAATAACGTACTAAATACAATAGTGATCTATCTGTATACATTGACTTCAAAAGGGATACATCTTAATTGGTTCATAAGTAGCAGAAGTGTAGTCTGTTGTCATGCTTTGAATGAGTACATAAGCATTAAACGCTTTTGTGATTTTCAATATTCTTATTCGCCTCTTGTGTTATTAATACAATAGTAGTGATTGATTTTAGCATACTTTTATTCTCCTGCCACTATATATGTAATGCAATCCCTTTTATCTTGTAATTAATTGATACATTTTATTTTTTCTACCCATTCAACTGAGATTGTGTGAACCTGGTTTGTCAGTACAAATTTGGGGACATAAATCTTGAAGTTCTCTGGTATTCTATGCACTCGTGTCTCCTCAGTAAGGATGGGATATGTTAATTAACCACACCAAATTTGCATACGTTTGGCATGCTTGTAGCTAGCCCATTGACTCCCAACCCGAGAATTTTGTGGGGTTGAGGGGCTTTATATACACAATATGAAACCGAAAGAGCAAATACTTGCTATTTATTGTTCACTGAAAAAGTTGGGAATCATTGAGCTAGCTATGGCCAATAATCTTCATGCATCCAACTTGGCTTGTATATGAGAAATTTTATGTATTTTAGTAATAATATTGCCAACCATTACTGGATAATAATAATCTTCATTATCTTTTTCTCAATTGTTTGTCTTTTTGTGTGACAAATTATCAGTTGTATAGAATAAACTACAGACATGGAAATCTGATGGTGAATTGTTATACGGGGAATAATAATTAGGAAAAGAAAAAAGGGAATTATTTATTCTGCATGGTCGCAGATATACTGTAATTTTGTATTTATGAAGTTCTCCTGTCCATGCGAAAAAATGTTCTTCAATCTTAACTGCCCTGCCACATATAGAAGAACCATCTGACCAAGAAATTTTTGCAAATGTTAAAAATCTATGCCATTGTAAACAATTTCAATTTGTGATACAGTGAAAAATAACCTGCGAGGAAAAATAATGGCACTAAACAATAGTATCTCTTCACCAGAGTGCTCAAATTCGCATAAATTTATGTTATAGGTAACAAGGTAGTGGATTTTAATATTTTGGCCGCAATATTGGTCCCCATTTGCCTAAAGGTTCTTGAGATTTTTCAGTATAATTCAGCTTCTGACGATTCTCCAATTTATAAAGTTCATTTCGTCGATACAAACCCGTCCATGGGGCAGGAAAACTATCCCAAGAATGTTTTGTTTCAACTGCAAAATTAGGTTTGTATTTTACATCATATTTTTTAAAGTTTGTAAAAGGTGTCCATTCACCCTGAATAGATGGAACGTCTGTGTGAATATTCTTTCTTCTGCGCATTATTTCCAGTCCAGATCTATCTTTCAAGTCTTCACATTTTCTTGATATTTCATCTTCCGTTAGCTTATTTAGTGTAACAATTTCTGTTCGTCCATTCAAATATTCCGCACATATTTTGGGATCAACATCAGATTCTGGTGTTACATAAAGAACAACACCAGGATTTCTGTTTGCAAAATCAGTTAACCCATTCTCAACATAATCCCTTGTTTGTTTGCTTTCTTGAGATTTCTGGCAAAATCTAAATGTTAGTCTTTGTAATTGTTGTACATATCTCCCACTTCCGTTTTGTAATACAGATCTAAGAAAATCACTCCCTCTTGAGGCTGAAGTATATCCCTTTGAACCAAATTTACCAGCTGCCATACTCAACAATTAAATTACCTAGATAGTATTACTAATTCACTCTAAAATGATTACACCAAAAATTAGTAAAAGCGAATAAACTGAAATACATGTACAGGTTGAATCTAGAGGGTATTACTATTTCATATTACAATCAAATTATGTTACTTTGGTTAATATACTGTAACACAACGTCATTTGAAGTTAGCACTCTAGATAAATATGCTAGTTGAAGAGTACTACCAGTTGAAGGACAGTAAATTGATATAAAATAGCATCAAATGGGAAAAATATCTAGCAACAAGCAATCATGCTTGTTAAAAATCATTGATAGCGAGATACTTCATAATATTGGAATACAGTGGCCTAATCAATGGCATGCAGACTGCAGAGCATTATAAAAATAAGTTTTTTTTAACTGTTAAAATAAACTTATTTTCGAGAAAAAAGAATACCACAATGCTGGTTTGGTTCCATAATATTGTTGTTGATAAGTCATTACATTTTTTGCTTCCTAGTATACTTTAACATTGAAATAAAATGATTTTCAATTGCATAAATTTCACTTGAAGAATGTAGATTACCACAACCAAGCATGAGGCAAAAAATTAGAATCATGCATATATAGTAATAGTTTAACTATAATATACCGGGCTACAACTAATTTAAAACATATACTAATTGTCATCATGACATGAATAAGATACACGCAATATATTTGTTCTAGCAAGATTTTTTTTAATGTGTTAAAACAATATTCATCACATTGCATTAATTGTCACCATCCACATAATTGCCATTGTACATTCCATGAATTCAGCACCAGTAATATTCAATTCATTCAAATACATATTATACAGTTGGTTAAGATTATAAAATTTTCCAAGTTATTATTAGAATAATAAATGTACAATAGTTACATGAAAAAACAATACCGGTTGCACATTTAATATTCATCTTCAGCAATATTATGAAAGATTGGTGTTCAGTATAACAGAAATCCCTGTTAATAAACCATGTTTATGGACATCTTAAGATTCAGAATATGTAAACTCTTTCATTTCAAATTTTCCCATTTTATGATTCCACTTTTTAATTGTGGATTTGAAATATTTGGCAGAAACTGTGCCAGATTCGTCACCTTCCGTTAGAACTACATTATTTGTTGACACATAAAACTTCAGGCCTGCTTCCAATGCTTTCTCTAAATCAAGTTCAATGATGATTTCACAGTTACTTCTCATTCCGCTTGTAACATGACTTTCTCCTATATGGCCAATCGTGAAGTGAATATGGCTTCTTGACATACGATTGAGACCTTGCTTTTTTATTTTTCTCCAATTTTGTTCATAGGTTCCATGGAGAATAGTCTTGAACTTGTTTGGGTCTGTCAAAGGCGAGAGTCCAGATTTTTCCGCTTCTAATCTGATAGAGTGACCTTGAACTGCACGAATTTGATAACGACCTCCGCTATCTTGTTCTATCTCGAACCTCTTTTTATCATTACTTGTGACAATATTTTGAATTTCTTTTACCGATGCGTTGAACTTCGAGAAGCTGGGATGACTTACTATTCTGTCAATGTCTGCAAATCCATGAGAATCAATGGGGATATTACTTGGCTTTCCATGACGAAGTAACGTTGCAAGTGCCCTTGATAAAGCAACAGAATCTGTTTTACCACCATAGTGTTGCTGTGGCCCTCTATGAGATTGATATGGTTGCCGTTGTTGACCAAAGCTATTTTGTTCCCTCTTTGGCTCTGAGTAACCACCTCCCTGCACTGATTGGGGTTGTTGTCTGGGTGGTTGAGTCCAACTAGATTTCTGTTGATACTGTGATTGACCATTATTTCTAGATGTGCTTGATGCGGGTGGATCAGGAAGGCTGTTTAAATCCAATGGCTTGTACTTTGTCTTCTTCCCCTTCTTTCCTCTTCTGCCTGCTCCAGGTTGCTGCTGTGTAGTCACTTCAACTTTAGCTGCATCTTGTGACGCATCCACAATAGTGGCATCATTTTCCTCAGTCACTTCAACTTTAGCTGCATCTTGTGATGCATCCCCAATAGTGGCATCATTTTCCTCCATATTTAAATTATATAAGACTCTTGGTACTGTGGTATACACACTACACAGTTGCAAAAAAATTCTGAAATATTAAAGTTATATCAGTGTAATGTCAGATATGTTCATACACCTGTATGTATATATATATAGCAGTCAGACAGTAGAATGCCAAATACTGATACAGGTATATAAATGCTATCCTAACCGAATGGGTTCCAAACTTTTTCAGCTTTCGGCACACTAACAAGATTAAAATGTTGCGGCACACTAATTACAAATCAGTTTTATTAAATCCCTTATATGTAAATATTATGCATTTCGACAGAATACAAGGTTAAAACAAAATTTCGCGGGTCAGTTGATTTTAGTTTTAATTTCCGTCAGTGCAGAAAATTAATATATGCAGAGTCATGAAAATTTAAAAAATATTTTGTTGTACTATATATGATATATTGTATTGCATATGTTGTACTGATATACTAATAGAAAATTCTCATGGCGAAATTTGTGGTAAAATTCAGAACTCTTAAACATTTCATGTGAAAAATGAAATGTGAAAAATTATGAAAGTAATATCACTTTAAGAGTCTTTTCAATTTCTTTACTGCTTCACAGTTTGAAAAAGATGTTTCAGTTAAAGGTGAGCAAACTTGCATTGTTGGGTTGGGGTCGAAAACGTATATAGCCTCAAATATTCAGATATTAGAGAAGTGTGGCATATTACATCACATATCTGTGGACATACAATACAAAACATTTATACAGGGTGACCCGAAAAACTGAACCCATACAATATATGTTCCAAATGGAATGTGTTCGGTTTTTCGGGTAACCCCATATATCTGTATATGTGTGGTACCGAACTACACCCATTACTGATTGCAATGTAATTAGGTTCATGTTGCGGTGTCAAAAATTTGGTGAAAATTCGGGGCACACATTAACCCCTTGGCGGGACGCTAGTGTGCCGCGGCACACAGTTTGGGAAACCCTGTCCTAACCTAATCACAGAACTGCAAGAACTAAAGATAAGTTATATCACCACATGCTGACATGACACATTGCTGCATTGATTGTACTTGTACAATTTGTACTTACAGACTTATTTCTGTATTTGTGCATCTGCATACACTATTTTGAGGTCTCATGCAGTTTCGTAGGCCTACCTAAAGTACTTTAAGTGAGCTTGGCATAACAATTTTTGCACATGTCAATCCTACTGTCCTACGGTGCGGTAACTCATCAAGTTCTTTCACTCATAATTCTGGTCACAAAGAGAGAGTATTTTACTGATTACTGTACTTACTTCAGACCGACAGGTGATGCAACCGATACCTTAGTATCGACGGCCAAACCAGTCGCGTCTGCGAGCATAATGAGTTTATACCAAATCTGACATTAAAGGGTCATTACCGCGACATATGGAAATGTACAATGGGAATCAGAGTGTATCCCAGAAATTCAATTGCGATACTCTAAAATATTCCAAATTGGGAGTAGAAATATTTTTATTATACATTGATGTACATTAAATTTACTTGTTTTTAAAATGTAGAAAATAATTCGCATCCATATTATTCAAAAGATATAAAGCAAACAATGTCGATAATTAGCGAAAAACGTAAAAAAGGACGTTTAGACGATATTCAATTGCGATTTTTTAAATATCCCACATTAGAAGTAGAAATATTTTTATTATACATTGAAGTACATTAAATTTACTTTTTTTAGAATGTAGAAATTAATGCGCATCCGTATTAGTTCAAAAGATATAAAACAAACAATGTCAATGGTTAGCGAAAAACTTAAAAAAGGACGTTTTGACGATATTCAATTGCGATTTTTCAAATATCCCACATTAGGAGTAGAAATATTTTTATTGTACATTGAAGTACATTAAATTTAGGCTACTTGTTTTTAGAATGTATAAATTAATGCGCATCTATATTAGTTCAAAAGATATAAAGCAAACAATGTCGATAATTAGCGAAAAACTTAAAAAAGGGCGTTTTGACGATATTCATTCTAGATCAGTGGTTCTCAAACTTTTTCGACCGTGCCCTCTTTCAAAGATTTGTCAAGTCTCGTGCCCCACCTCAAAAATAACTAATTAATAATAAGCTATAAATAACAGATATATGGTTAAACGAAAGTAGGCTATGTTTTATTCAACGAACACGTTAGAATTAGAATACGTGGATGGAACGTAAACAATAAAAATAAAGAAATGTGGGTACTCCTGCAGTATGTGTACCAGGTTAGGGTTAGGCCATAATGTTATTCCGATTTTTCTCACTTTAGTTCCATTTAAGTTCGGGGACTGTCCGTGTTAGCCAAGTGAATATCCTCCTGCCCATAGGTTTCAGTCCCTTTACACAACTTTCTGTATGGTAGGCTAGCTAGTAGCTACCTCCATATTGGTATACATACTTCCGGAGCACCGAAATGTGATTATCCGAAATAGGTCGGGCAAGATCAAATCCAACAAATATTTTTATTTTCAATTAGCTTCACGCCCCGCGTTTGATAAAAGCTGTTCTAGTAAATGCGCGGATAGTGAATATCAGAGTAAGTAGAACCGAGCGTTGATTGGTAAAACCAAAGATTAAAAAATACGTGCGGGGTAAAAATCATCAAAATAAGTGGAAACCAGGCTTGATTGGTAAAACCGAATATTCTAGAAAAAGGGCGTGATAATAGTCACCAGACAAAGTAGGAACGAGCGTTGATTGGTTAGGTCTAAGATTCTAAAAAAACGCACGGGGTAAGGGTCATCAGAAAAAGCAGAATCGGGCGTTGACTGGTGGAGCCGAAATTTTACAAAACGCGGGATAGTAATCAATTCGGGTAATCAACGCTGCCTCGACCTGAGTCGTGTTAGTAAACTTGCCGTTCGCATGTCATCAAGATGTCAAGATGCTACGTTTCTGTTTTATTTACAAAGCTATTTATTCTATGGCAGGCGCGGACATGTGATAGGTCAGTATTGAATATAACCAGTGGTGGGATTCAGCCGGTTCGCTCCGGTTCTGTAGAACCGTCTCACGGAATTTTATGAGATCAGCGAACCGGTTAGCCTTACGGTAGATTATTTGTTATTAGTGATGAAAGCTATTGTTTCTTATAAAAGTCTTTCAGAGTTGAATTTTTAGGGCGCACGATGTTTTTTCAACTAAGAGTTAAGTGTAGTTACCGCTTACCGGTATAGGTGCTGTTTTTCGACATTTCAAGAACCCTGACTGATTGAATCAGTATGTTTCATTGTTTCCCTGTTTTTATTTTAGAAGGTGTTACTTATGTAACTCATAAGAAAGTATTTAACTGATAATTTTCACCGGCATATGAGCCAATTTCTGAATATTCGAATGCATTTTTAATAACGTTAAAATTAAATCATGGTTTCACACCAGAAATTTAGGGCGCGGGCGGGAGAAGTGTATGGAAATCACTGGTTTGAATCTTGTTGAGTTGATCTTTATTCCCGTTTCTGTTACCTTGGTGAAGAGCGAATATTCATCAGTTTATTTTATTATTCCAGTTAATATAAACCATGCTATGTGCATAAATAACATGCTGCAAGCCCGTCGGTAGTCTATTTGAAGAGATTGACTATTAAAAGTACAATCGTCTTATTGGCATCAGCCAAAGAACTTTCAGGTTAGTAGCCTAGTTTTTGATTTATTATACCCTACTGAAGTACTGTACGCAGACCGTGCTGCGCTTTAGAAATACGACCCAGCTGCAACAGCCTGACTCGAAAGCTTCAATTTCGCGGGTGGGTGTTGTTTTGTCGGCGCTCCAGAAGTGTGTGTACCAATATAGTTGTAATTAATTTTGTTGGTCCATTTTACATCAAGTTATGTAAAGGGACTGAAGTCTATGATCAGGAGGTATATTCATTTGGCTAACACAGACAGTCCCCGAACTCGAAAATACCTAAATTGGAATTGAAAGGTAAATTGGAATAAAATTATAACCTAACCCTAACCTGATACACATACTACGAGAGTAGCAGAAATCGATTAGAAAATTGCACCAACATCGGTGTAAAAGATTTTTTTCACAAAAGCATTGCATTCAAATAAGAAACATGAAATTATCATTCTTTTGTCATTTACAGGACAAAAAAAATTGTTATTTATCGAGTGTTTGAGAATACCGACCACGACATCAACCAAGTTAGGTGAGATACAACAATAAATATCCAACTGCGTTGAAAAAACGTTCAATGCAATAAAATTTCCAAGACATTGGATAAAATATTTATCAATCTGGTACTTCTAGGCCAGCGGTTCTCAACGGGGACACGTGACCCACCGAAAGAGGGCCACAGAACAGATAACTTCCCGTTCTTCCTAGTTTCATTGCTTGATAAGGTTATTTCACAGGGTGTTCTTCTTTGCACATAATGGAATTTGAAATCTTCTACTCAAAATAGCACTATAAATACCACTGAAATGTTTAACAGGCCCATGAGTGCTAAATGACTTCACAAGGAGGGAACAGGCAAAAAAAATTGGAACTACTGATATAGTCTATTCCTCAGAACAAGAATCTTTTATTAACAGATAATAAGTAACTAAAGTTCATATTTAACCCCGTTTATCGATGCCTAGCTAGGCATGGGCACATCATTTTATAAGGCAGTTGTCGGATTTGATTGAATTTTCACCCTGAAAAGCAGATATAAATTTCCGAATATCATACTTGGTGTTCCTATTCTTTTTATGCCAGACCAACTAAACGTGTGTTTTATGTTCGTTGTACAAACACTTGATGTAGAATCAGAGCCATCTGGCGAAGTGCAGAGGGCGCGAAGACGGAAGATAGGACACTCCGCTTTGCTAGAGGATTCTTCACATGTGCGGTACTACAAATCCATTCTTGTCTGTCGATTTATTAGTTAGTCAGCAAGGAATGACTAATTAGGGTTTGACAGACGAATCTAGACTACGTGTTTCGATGGTATGTTTACCGAGGAACAACTCAGTCCGGCGGGTAATAGGAATTTAAGATTTCAAATGATTTTTAATGATAATCTGCTCTTTTTGAGCGTGAACATGATGCTTATATTAATCAGTATACTTCACTGATTGAACTTTTATTCAGCATCATTCTTATGTATCGATCCACACGGTAATAATTCGTAGACGATTTGATACGACTAATATTTGGAACTAACCATTTTTTCTTTTTAATAATGCCGAAACCTTCCGATAATAAATATTACAATGTGATATCTTTGAAATTAAACAATATTTGCTCCTTTGACCGACCAAATTAAATAAAGAAGGGTTTCGGTTAGACTTCACACTGCAGTGATTTATGTGTTGTTAGTTAGATAGGGCAATAGGTTCTATTCGTCATTCTGGGGATCAAGCTTTAAAGTCTCCTAAATTAAATCGGCCACATGGAGCACATATTTGGATGAGACTTGAGTTTTTCCCCTTTGTATATTAGACCACAGTACAGGGTCACACAAATTGTGAGACGAAGCAGACGAAAGACTTCGGAAGGTACAATAGATGCTCTCGGGTGCAATAAATAGCAAAAACTTTCAAATTTCTCTAGCGGAATTGTGTGAAAAAAAAATTAATATCGTTTGTTTGGATTATTCGTTATTCGGATTTATTTGAAAACCATTGGCCACTATTGCACTTAAAGAGGTGAAGTCTTGGTTTAATATTGAACGGGGTTTCTAACCCAGATGCAATATTGCCAAGCCCAGTAGCACTAAGCTTCTGGTAAGGTAGTTAGGCTAGGGCAAATAGTATTTATTTATTGCTGATTTGTTTTTTGGGAGATTGGTTGTTTTGTGCCAAAATACTATTTAAATGTTATTACTAGATGATTGTTCTCGCTATTAGTGTTTTGAGAGGACTGTAAACGCAGCTGATTATCTGAAAGTCCTTAAAAAATTTGTTCTTAAAATTATTTTTCTCGACGAATTATGTGAAAGCTTGCTTGGTTACGTTATTTATTTCTAATTTATCTGACCTTAAAATTACATCAATGTTATTTATGCTGCTTTTTTGGTTCATATTAACTGCATGGGATGGCCTTTTGCACAGTATCTGCATTCTTCTGATCTGAACTTCTTTTAATTTTGTTATTAAATTTTCAACTTTGACCGATTATAACATATCTGCTCATTTATCTCGTGGTGTATTTCTTTATTTAATAAAACCACTGAAGATAAAGGTTATATTTTTGTGTAACATTTGAGTCCTTAAGTGCTGTGTAATAGTATAATTGGGTGATGGGCCAGCTTTCTTGTCGCGTCTGCCTATAGAAATCACATATCTGGAACAATAACACACGTATATTTGTATACCAATTGAAATCGCACGTGATAAATTGATAACATGTTGGGTTGGGGCGCGTCTGAGCAGACTCTAACCATTTTTTTCAACATGATGAAAAAAATGAACTTCGGTCAACCGACAAATAAGAATATATTCGCTTGATATTTTAATACAAATGTCCCTGACACCTTGACTCTGCAAGCTGTATTACAGTTTATATTAACGCTAGCATTTTGGCATGGAGTAGGCAATAAATATCGTAGAAAAAATTATAGACTTTAATGTAGTTTTCTACAACAATATGTGACTATAGGAAATTTAATTACCAACATTAATTGCTCCATTAAATCTAAATTTTTTGTATCGATTCTAATCGCAGATGGCATTTGAGTACTGTGAAAATTTACATTGTCCGTTCTGTTGTCTCCCGTTTGTGGTTGTCAGTCTTTTGGAGTTATTCAATTTGTCACATGAGCAGAAAACATCCAACATTAGATTTTTGCTGATAACTATAGAAATAACGTTAACCAGTAGTAAAAATTGGAAGTGGTAATCTGCATAGGCGAAATTACAGTAACGCGCGAATCAAGATAACCCCTTTTTTTCTAAAAGAGTCGTAAATTTGACCTGACCAGGATACCGTTAAGCAACATACATCACAATCCTGGGTGGCCTTCCACCAACCTCTATAACGAAAAATTCCAAAATTTGTCTTTTTGATGAGCAATTACAAAACTTCAAAATGCAAACTAAGGTCGGCTAGAATTTGGGACGCTAGGATATATATATGCGGGAGAGTTTTTTTTGAAGAATCAAAACTCAATTGATCGTACTTTCTCAAATCGAGTGATATCATAATTATTACGGTCTAAGCAACATATCTCCTTAAAATTAGGAAGCGACATTTGTAGGGGAATCAACATTGTTGGGCTTGAAAGACTAGGTCGCATAAATCTTTAGGAAAATTTTAAGTTAACCCTTTTCCATTCAATAGTAAGCGAGATCCAGCCATTTTTAAAAAAAAATGCATGAGATCATCACAATACTCAATTCATCCAGTCAAATGCAAACTTTTAAAAAATAATTATTCGCGATTGTAAATGAATGCAATCATCGTACTTACAAGGTGTTCCTCAGGACAAATATTAGTGTGCAAAAATATCCAGAAAGACAAATTTTTGTTGACAGGTCAGCAAGTAGAGTCTTTCCGATCAGTTACTGCCTGGGATTTTGTCACGAACTAACCGCCAGTGTGACTTAACTACGTGATAACTTGATGTCAGACTCGAATCGAAGCTCGGATGATCTCGACGTGATTGGTGGTTTGATAATTACCAAACAGTGAACTGCGCGGTATGGGTGAGATATCATATATATATACTGATTTTACTACTTTTGGCCCGCGAGCGACAAAAGGTTGCCGACCCCTGGTGTAGACCATGTCAACAGACGTCGCATAAGATCAATTCCGATTATAATTATCCAAAGGAATGAAGCCCCGTAAACGTCACTAATGTCATATTATGACTCCTAGAACATGTTTAGTCGAGACTGGGCTCATAACGAAACACAAATAGCTTAACAACAAATGAATAGTTGTCTTGATAAAGTTTCCATGGAATGTGGTTTATCAATCAGACAATCCTCTCAGTCACGTCCTAAATAAATCTACATTCTTTATTTCCACTAGTAAACAACAATCATTGGTCACTGATTAGAGTGAGAATGAGATTACAGTATCTTTGTCTCTTTTAACCTTAAAAAAATATTTGGCGCGCGTGCCACATTTCGGTTCAGGGCGTGGTAGTGTGAGGTCGTTTCTGCGCTGGTCTGAGCCAGTTTTAAGTTTTACAGTTTTAAGGCAGGGAAGGTCTGGATATAATTAAGTCAACTAATTAGTTCCCATTCTTCATGCAAATATAAGCTAGAACTTGAAATTGTATAAATAATAATCTATTTCGATACAATTGGGTAGCACACTTTTTCAGTCATTCAGAATTTTGAGTGTTATATGATGAATATAGATTTCAGCATTGAGTTCTTGTTTCTTTTCTTATATATCTTTTCGAGTGTATTTGTTTACGTGTTTTGCAACGTTTTTCTTTACTCTAATCTTGTTTTCTGATCATATTTTTTGTGAGTTGTAATCCGCGTCAACGTGCTGTTTATAGTTTTCCTACTTTGCACAAGAACTTTGTATCATCGCTAAAAAGTAAGCCATAACTATTATTTTCAAATTACCGGCTTAAAATTGAAAAAAATCTACCGATATATTATATTGACATGGTTGATGGTGGAGTGACGACTGATGTAGATAAAAAGGTAACTGATCTAAAGTAGTTTATCAAGTTTTATCATAACTTGATTATGAAGTAAAGGCCTTATAATTTTTTAATCTAATTACAGGGCTTTGCGAAGAAGGAAGATATTGTTACTGCTGGTGGTCGAGTGACGATTGGTCGATGTAAATGGAAAGGTAGGTAGTTGGTCTAAAAATGTTACAAAATCTAAAGTTTTCATCACAACTGGATTATAGAGCAAAGGTTTTATAATTTCCAATTTAATTAAAGGTCTTTGTGTGAAGGTGAAGATATTGTTACTGCTGGTGACCGAGTGGAAAATGATCGATGTAAATGGACGGGTGGGTCGCTCCATTTTTTATGAACAATATTTTAATCAGAGGGAAAGGCGTATACGTAAAACATAATTTACTAAATTGTTGGTTCGTGTTGTTTGTACAGTGTAAACATTCGAATATTGAAAGCGATTCACTTACAACAAAATTTTACAATAAAACTCGCGCTTTTCCACGAGTTTTCCTCTTTTTATATGAACGATTGTGATCATAATTTGTTCTACATAAACGCTCGTGTGATACCTAATAAGTTCTGATTTTGTCGTTATGTTAATGTAGTTGTGTGCATCTCTATAAACTTTTTACATCACAATATTTGTAACGTTTGGAGAATAATGCTATACTGCTATAGTCTTTATGCTACTGACCTAAAACTTGCCTTCCGTCTTAAACCACGATATTCTTACACCAAATGCTTTTATATAGCAGGCATACAAATGCGAAATGAGATTTTGAAGAAACGAGAAAGCAATGCTCAATATGAAGACAAAGCCGGAACGAAATATTCCACCCGTATATTCTCCATTTTCGTTTATTTTGGGATTTCTATCTTCTTACAATTCGGAGCGATATAGCAAACTAAAGATATATCAACCGCCTTTACCAATTAGGCTAAGGAGGAACGTGAGAATAAGGATCTAAGTCCTAATATGTATCATTTATCTTAAATGACTATAATTTTTTTTCACAAGTCCTTTGAGAGGATACATAAATATTAGACCTTAGCCCTCTGTTTCTAAGTTCTGAATTGGCCTAGTTTGAATCCCGCGAATGTAACATCCGCTTGTCAAATGTGTGCCGTCACTGGAAGGGCGGCGCAAAGATCTACATAACGAAGGAGAAACTCGAGCTGTTGCAGAAACCCCAAAATAAGAGAATATAATAAAGGAAATCCTTGAAATTTTCACTTGGATCATGTATGATCGTGTATGAATTACAACAATTATACTCGATTTATCTATGGCCTACGATCGGCCAGAGATAATAAAAATCGCGTTGTTTCGACCCGGATCAGGCGCCCTCGGCGTCCCATAACATCGCGCTAGCCAGTGTGACGTCATAATCTTGTTTAGTCAGTCCTGTTGTAAAATCCGCGGAAACCAGTCAAAATGACGCCAGTCCCCGACAACCAATAATTTCATTATTCTTCAAGCAAGAGAATAAACAAAAATCTAGTCCTCTGAGAAGAGGTGGAAAAGTCTTAGATGTTTATGAGAATGAATGCAGGGACTGATTTTAAAAGCGAGCGCAACATTGAGATATCAAGCTTTTCTGCCATGATCAGACACGAAATAAAGAATCGTGATTTTCTGAGTGATACCTGGGTTCAGTGGCATACATGGCGCCATTTGGATATGGGCGAAACCTCATTTTGATAAAATACTACGTAACAACCTTAGTTAAAAATTTCAGTGATCGATCAAGATGGCGCATTTTAAACATTTCCACATGCGTCATTGCAAGACACTACTGGGGCAATCTTTCCGACAAGAGATGGTACGACAGTTCATTCAAATGTTCTTCAACGTACGTGTCCGGTCGTCGACTGTCCTTTCATCTTTCTTCCAACCAGAACGTAAAACAGATTCAACATAGCGCAGGGCCATTATGGATTACATTTCACACCACCGATGAGAAACCGATCCTAAAAATTTAAACATCGACTTGCACAACTCAACTCAAAAAAAAAAACTAAGCTTTCAACTTGATACATCACAACGAAGTAGTACGAGTATGCAGCCCTGCGCAATTTTTAATTTGGATTGTTTTAGCTCAGCGTTTCCCAACCAGAGTCCGCGGTCTCAAAGTAGTCCGCAAACACTTTTTTCAAAGTCTTTGCCAAACTTCATCAGCCAAGTTACGATTCATGTTAGAATGTACATAAAACATAAAAAGCAAGTTTATTCACATAACATTAATCGAGTTAATAATTAATGGATATTAAGTAGAGCTGGGCATATATTCGAGCAATTCACTATTCGAAAATTTGGCAACAGGTGACGCGAATTCCGACGAAAATACAAGTCGGCGTGGTGGCGTGGATAGATACACGAGTGGTTTCTTGCGAGCAAGGGGAAATAAAAAAATTTTCTAGTAGGTTCGATTTTCTGAATTAAAAAGCGGCAATACAATATACTCAAAATAAAACGGAGGAGACTATAAGTTTTGTTTTACGATGGTCAGCGACCAATCAAGTAGAGTCTTTCCGATCAGTTACTGCCTGGGATTTTGTCACGAACTAACCGCCAGTGTGACTTAACTACGTGATAACTTGATGTCAGACTCGAATCGAAGCTCGGATGATCTCGACGTGATTGGTGGTTTGATAATTACCAAACAGTGAACTGCGCGGTATGGGTGAGATATCATATATATATACTGATTTTACTACTTTTGGCCCGCGAGCGACAAAAGGTTGCCGACCCCTGGTGTAGACCATGTCAACAGACGTCGCATAAGATCAATTCCGATTATAATTATCCAAAGGAATGAAGCCCCGTAAACGTCACTAATGTCATATTATGACTCCTAGAACATGTTTAGTCGAGACTGGGCTCATAACGAAACACAAATAGACTAACAACAAATGAATAGTTGTCTTGATAAAGTTTCCATGGAATGTGGTTTATCAATCAGACAATCCTCTCAGTCACTTCCTAAATAAATCTACATTCTTTATTTCCACTAGTAAACAACAATCATTGGTCACTGATTAGAGTGAGAATGAGATTACAGTATCTTTGTCTCTTTTAACCTTAAAAAAATATTTGGCGCGCGTGCCACATTTCGGTTCAGGGCGTGGTAGTGTGAGGTCGTTTCTGCGCTGGTCTGAGCCAGGTGTATTCACAGTTTTAAGGCAGGGAAGGTCTGGATATAATTAAGTCAACTAATTAGTTCCCATTCTTCATGCAAATATAAGCTAGAACTTGAAATTGTATAAATATTAATCTATTTCGATACAATTGGGTAGCACACTTTTTCAGTCATTCAGAATTTTGAGTGTTATATGATGAATATAGATTTCAGCATTGAGTTCTTGTTTCTTTTCTTATATATCTTTTCGAGTGTATTTGTTTACGTGTTTTGCAACGTTTTTCTTTACTCTAATCTTGTTTTCTGATCATATTTTTTGTGAGTTGTAATCCGCGTCAACGTGCTGTTTATAATTTTCCTACTTTGCACAAGAACTTTGTATCATCGCTAAAAAGTAAGCCATAACTATTATTTTCAAATTACCGGCTTAAAATTGAAAAAAATCTACCGATATATTATATTGACATGGTTGATGGTGGAGTGACGACTGATGTAGATAAAAAGGTAACTGATCTAAAGTAGTTTATCAAGTTTTATCATAACTTGATTATGAAGTAAAGGCCTTATAATTTTTTAATCTAATTACAGGGCTTTGCGAAGAAGGAAGATATTGTTACTGCTGGTGGTCGAGTGACGATTGGTCGATGTAAATGGAAAGGTAGGTAGTTGGTCTAAAAATGTTACAAAATCTAAAGTTTTCATCACAACTGGATTATAGAGCAAAGGTTTTATAATTTCCAATTTAATTAAAGGTCTTTGTGTGAAGGTGAAGATATTGTTACTGCTGGTGACCGAGTGGGAAATGATCGATGTAAATGGACGGGTGGGTCGCTCCATTTTTTATGAACAATATTTTAATCAGAGGGAAAGGCGTATACGTAAAACATAATTTACTAAATTGTTGGTTCGTGTTGTTTGTACAGTGTAAACATTCGAATATTGAAAGCGATTCACTTACAACAAAATTTTACAATAAAACTCGCGCTTTTCCACGAGTTTTCCTCTTTTTATATGAACGATTGTGATCATAATTTGTTCTACATAAACGCTCGTGTGATACCTAATAAGTTCTGATTTTGTCGTTATGTTAATGTAGTTGTGTGCATCTCTATAAACTTTTTACATCACAATATTTGTAACGTTTGGAGAATAATGCTATACTGCTATAGTCTTTATGCTACTGACCTAAAACTTGCCTTCCGTCTTAAACCACGATATTCTTACACCAAATGCTTTTATATAGCAGGCATACAAATGCGAAATGAGATTTTGAAGAAACGAGAAAGCAATGCTCAATATGAAGACAAAGCCGGAACGAAATATTCCACCCGTATATTCTCCATTTTCGTTTATTTTGGGATTTCTCTTACAATTCGGAGCGATATAGCAAACTAAAGATATATCAACCGCCTTTACCAATTAGGCTAAGGAGGAACGTGAGAATAAGGATCTAAGTCCTAATATTTATCATTCATCTTAAATGACTATAATTTTTTTTTCACAAGTCCTTTGAGAGGATACATAAATATTAGACCTTAGCCCTCTGTTTCTAAGTTCTGAATTGGCCTAGTTGGTAAAGTCGCTTGGCAGACCATAAATTTGTTCACGGTTACTAAAGTTTGAATCCCGCGATTGTAACATCCACTTGTCAAATGTGTGCCGTCACTGGAAGGGCGGCGCAAAGATCTACATAACGAAGGAGAAACTCGAGCTGTGGACTACAGAAACCCCAAAATAAGAGAATATGAAGGAAATCGAAGGATCAGACCTTGAAATTTTCACTTGTATCATGTATGAATTACAACAATTATACTCGATTTATCTATGGCCTACGATCGGCCAGAGATAATAAAAATCGCGTCGTTTCGACCCGGATCAGGCGCCAGGGCGCCCCGTAACATCGCGCTAGCCAGTGTGAAGTTGTAAAATCCGCGGAAACCAGTCAAAATGAAGCTTCGAGACACTTCTTTACTTCTTACGCATATGCTCCCATTTCTTATTAGCCTTTAACAAAACCCAGTCCCCGACAACCAATAAGCATGGAGAAACAGATATTGCTCCAATAATTTTATTATTCTTCAAGCAAGAGAATAAACAAAAATCTACACCTAGTCCTCGGAAAAAAGTATGAGAAGAGGTGGTAAAGGGACGGATTGTTTAAAAGCAACATTGAGATATCGAGCTTTTCTGCCATGATCAGACACGAAATAAAGAATTGTGAATTTCTGGGTGATACCTGGGTTCAGTGGCATCCTGCCACGGGCGCCATTTGGATATGGGCGAAACCTCGCGCCATTTGGATATGGGCGAAACCTCAACTACTTAACGTAAAAGTATCCCAAAGCAGCAACAAACCGTATTTAAAATTTCAGTAAACGATCGATCAAGATGGCGCATTTTAAACATTTCCACAGGCGTCATGGCACGCAGATAAGACACTACTGGGGCAAGCTTTAGTATCCGGCAAACACTGGTAGAAAGATGAAAAATTAAAATACACTGTTAATATGATCAAGATGGTACGACAATTCATTCAAATGTTCTTCAACGTACGTGTCCGGTTGTCGACTGTCCTTTGATCTTTCCAACCAGAACGCAGCTGAAATATTGAAACAGATTCAACATAGCGCAGGGCCATTATGGATTACATTTCACACCACCGATCCTAAAATTTAAACATCGACTCGCACAACTCAATTCATAAGATTCGAAACTAAGCTTTCAACTTGATACATGACGATAGCGATGCCCAAATATATGGACGAGAAAAGTAGTTCGAGTATGCAATCTGTCACAGTAGACTACGCCACAGGGTGCGCAATTTTTAATTTGGATTGTTTTAGTTCAGTGTTTCCCAACCAGAGTCCGCGGTCTCAAATTAGTCCACGGAGCGCTTGAACAAGTCCGCAACGAGCCAGAAACAAACTTTATATCATCAGCCAAGTTACAATTCAAGTTAGAATGTACATAAAATATAAAAAGCAAGTTTATTCACATAACATTAATCGAGTTAATAATACTGAGTAGAGCTGGACATTTTAAATTCTCGTCGTTGTCATGAATTGAATATTGAGCGACAGAAAAGACCTCTTACAGTTTACACACTAAAAAGGTCGGTTCTTTTAACAAACGCGTAATTGCGACAAATCTCCGATTTTGAAATTCGTTAAAATTCTGTTGTCCTTGGTTTTATTACTTCTTCACACAGAGTACGGTTACAATAAACGCACGTTAAGTCCGCAAAGGTTTTCGCCAGAGAAAATATGGTCCGCGACCCAAAAAGTTTGGGAAACGCCGTTTTAGTTCCCAAAGATTCCCAATAATAACAATAACATAATAAAAAAAACGTTGTCCACAGACCGGCAACTGAGTAAATTCTTCTGCAAGTTTGTGTACCTAGCGCCGCAAATAGCAACAATAATTATAGTTATTTCCGTGGTGTATTGAGAAAAAAGCAGCAATGAATGGGGCAAAGAAGTGCGTTTTCGCAACTGGAATATTAGCTCACCAATATTACCAAAACTCTCTAAACGGAATAACTTGTGAACTGGTAATGAACTATTGGATTTTAAGACTTTGTCCAACAATGACAAATGTGCCTTAATTAACACTTTCAAGTACGCAAGACTGCTTATTAAATAAAACGACATACCGACTTCACAGCTATAAAAGACTGTAAAACAATATTATAAAATATTCTAGCTGAAACAATGCGCAATTATAAAAATACTTAAATTGAACAGGCAGATGATTTGTGAGATATGTTGTCGCATCAACCCACTTGTTCCGCAATCCGGACAGAACCTGCAAGATAAAATAAAGTTAGATATTGGTCTTCAATAAGAATAGTTGCTGACTGTAAAGAGCAGTGGCGATCGCGCACAAGGGGGCGTAGACAATTTTTAGGTTGCGTTTAGCTAATTAAAAATAGAAATATTTGTTAGATTGATCTTTCCCGCCTTATTTTTTGGATATTCACATTTCTTTATTTGGATATTCACTTACCTTTTACGTATTTCAACATGTATTTTTGAATAAAGCATACTTTCGTTTAACTATCCGTTATTTGTAGCTTGTTAGCAAGTTATTTTTTGGGGTGGGGCACGGAAACTTGACAAATTCTAAAAAAAGGGCGCGGCTTGAAAAGTTTAAAGAACCACTGCTATAGAGTTTCGTTTGAAGAATTTTGTATGCTTGTGTAATGAGTGACTACTGATTTGCAATTCAATTTCTCTAATCCATCTTGTGGATTAGTTATGAAATAAAAATTGGGGTTCTCAGTCTATAAGATAAAATTACTTAACCCCTGGGGGTGAACAGGGTAAATCAGCAATCAAGGAATTTAACGTCAAAAATTTGATTCAACCCACCAAGAAAAATAAGACGAGTAGCGGAGAGGAATCAGCGCTGGCAAAGAACTTATTTTGACAATATTTGGGTTTTATACACGCTACAATCAAGTATTTATTTGGTGGTAAAATCTGTCACCGCGGGGCATTTCCGAGCTTTAGGATTTGTGTAATAGGATTTATTATGCTCTCACTACGGAGGTAGATCATGTTTGTTGGTTACAATCTAGCTAAGGGTTTTATTGTAAACATTGCACATTTTTACATTTATTACATTTGCCCCTTGAAGTTCTTGTAGCAAAATAAAAATTGGGAAAAAATAGGACGGAAATAGAAAATAAAGTTCGACAACCCTTGAAATAAAGCATATATATATATTCAAATCTACACAATATGGACTACTGACCGAATTTCGTCGAGACTCACAAACGTTAAAACTCAAAATGAAGAACGCATTTGACTAAGAACTTGCTAAGTCATAAGGAATCTTTAAATACTCTGGTATGGGTTTGAATCATGTGAGGTTAAATTATGTTGAAGAGGATTGTTGGACTCCTGGTTTCCCTTTTGGACTCCTGGAGGTGATTTACGTACAACTGTTCTGTCATACTTCCGTCATTGAGTTCATGCATCCAAGACTAATAATAACTAGCTAACTAATCCCGATAGGCGATATGGACTGATCACCGGACGAGAAGCCGTGATGTCCACGTAATCAAGCCGTCTTACGGATTTCCTCTTCCTCTGTGATAAATATATAAAGACAAATATATATATATATCTACACTTACTTCAACAAACTCTCGATTCGTGAGATTCGCTTTCACCTTATTCGTTTATCCTCGTAACCAGGACATAAACTGCATGATAGAATACAAGTTAAGAAACTATCGAATCCGAAATATTCCAGCCCAATTAAAAACGCCTTTATGATTTCAGCAAAAGCGAAATGACCTCCGCCAATGTTATTTTGCATTTATTTTTATTTCACTTAGCACATAGATGCCTATGCCGGTACAGATAAAATGTTTCGGCTTGGAATAAATGATATCAATTAATTTCAGTGTGAATTGAATTCAATTTATGAAACACGGCCACTTGCAAAGAGTAGAGTAATTTTTGAGCAGTGTTCCAACCTTTACGTTAAAACTCCCCTTCGCCTATTTTGGAACTTTTTATTATTTTTTGACTTGATAGATCATGCGCACTCACACTTCTGTACATTTTAGGTGTTATAATTATCCATTATGGTAATATTATTATAAAAGAAATACAGAATATTAGTAGCTGTATTTCAGCAAATACTGAGCAAAATTCTCATTGTTTCGGAACGTTAAAGGAAATAAATTCAAAAGAGTCTATGATAAAAAGTTAACCTACCTTGCTATGCTTGAGACACGCCGGAAAGCCGTACTATGCTCCATATGTTTTTCACTTACATTGGATACTTTTTAAGCACCGATTGACAATTTCCGAAGCAAAATAAAAACACTGTAGAAAACACTGTACATTGAAAATTTTTGAAGGTAATTTCAATATTTTTTAATTAAATTGTTTAATGCATGCTTGTTTTTGTCTCAGACGCAGCGGAAATACTACATAAATTTCATAAACAGTTTTCAGCTTCCACTAAATACATTAAGAACTAATTGCACACCACGATTTCGGTAACACAAACATCGGATTCTGATTAAGCCCGTTAAGTATTATTAAAAAAAATGAATTTTGAAGTTTGTTTTAAATAAAAATAAACCATGATTCGAATTGAAAAAAAAATATAATAACTTACATACTTTCTTATATTTGAGACGTATCGCAAAGTCACTCCTCTTGCTTTTCAAATGAAAACGTTTCCTTTTGCGTTTGAAGAAATTCAATCACCGATTTCAAATTTCTGAAATTTAAAAAAAAAAAGATACTAACAAGGAAATGAACATGAACAAAAAAACAACATAATAGCATAACGATATGTTCAGTTCGTGTCTAATAATATTGTTACCCCGCCGCTATCAGTCGTCACATGGGCTATATTTAATGACTGTGTTGATAAAAACGCACTTGTAGCTGCCATGTCCAGCTATGCCGAAGATTGTCTCTTATCTACTTTTGTCTGCACGTGCAAAAGAAAATTCGAAGGGCAATCCTTACAAAGGGTGAATTACTTACTGCGTAAGACAGATTTTTATCTTACTTATTGCCTTCCTTAACAAAAACACTCGCAACTCGCAATGGTAGACGGAAATCTTACAAGGGTATTTATTGGCTTTACAAAATACGAAAGTTACAAAGAATGAAACGACTTTAACCCGGACCGCAGATGCCCAATCATCAATATCAATCTAATACTTCATACTTAACTGGATAAATGTTCATTCAACCGCATTTCCTCCAACAGATCCCGATGCCAACAATTCCAGAATTTGTGATCCAATTCCACCCAGATCAATAATTTTAGGCTAACTGCATTAATAAACATATAACTGTAAAAACATATAAATCGCCTGCAAAGAAACGAGAAAGCTGTAAATGAAGCCAAATCATTTATTAATTGCCGTTAGAATAAATGAATTTGTCAAACAGCCGAAAGGACGAATAATTGGAAGACTATTCAAAATGTAAATCTGAATGCACTTACAACAAATATACGTTTCTCAGCGCAAGAGCCCAGTAGTATAAAACCTATATGTAATCAGATTCATGTTAAGGGTAATATAAGAAGACAATACAATGACACTCACGGAATCCTAACACTTGGTTTGACCAAGATTGTACACTGTATTGCCATGTGGTTATGCACTTATAAATGTAAATAAATTAACAATTACCTTATTAATCCTTGATCACAGCTCTTCAACTAAACTTCCGTGAGTCTTCGAGTCAGGAATTTGGCAACGATCATCGCTATGTTATGGCCTAACTGTATTATTATTTAGTTTATCTTTAGCTATTAGTCCACGTATCCTTCATTTTCATTCCACCTCGACAGTCCCACTTGGTAGACAATTGAATTGTAACAAATTTTCAATTGCTACTTTGCAAAAATTACCGAATATGCAGACTTAATTTTTGATGCGGACTTTAAAGGAACACAGGTATTTTCCCACCTGCATAATGTTCTTAAAACAATGAGATCATCGATATTCCCATGAAATCTACGCTATTCCAATCTATTTTGCTATATATTTACAATACATTTGACCTTAACTACTGCACCGATGCTATAAACCGGAAATAATATTAATATTGCTCAACCAAAATTGCTCCTATCAAAAACGAAACGAACTTGTTTCTGATTGGGTAAAAATAAACCTACTTTCCGAAAAAGTAATAAATGAAACTAGAGAATTTATCCACAAAACGGAGAAATTCGAAAAGCTATTAAAAAACCCAACTTAACTCAAAATAGCACTGACAGAAAAGCAAAAAAGGGGGGAAGGTAGGAAATATAGGGGGCAACCCGCAACTATCCCATCCAAGGATTTTCAATAGAACACGTATACCTTCCGATTAATATCTTGCTTTATATCGGAGTCCAGATTCAAGAATTCTAATATATAACTGAAGTCGTAAGTAGTCGACGGGACTATCGGATAAGTACGCAGATAGAAGACCATTCATAGCAGCAACACAACTTTGTACGTTACAGAATCAACAATTGTAGCTTAAACCTAGGTTTAATTGCATTAGTATAACTGTGAAAGATATGGAAAAAGAGTACGCTACCTGGGCCCCACGTAAATTCTTGACATGACAAAAAAGGTTTGGATATAAACAACAAAAGAAGTGACCGTTGAAATAATTTAAAAAAATAATTAAGCAAATAATTTCACCTGTATTAAATCCGGAACATCCCAACACAACCGCATCTCTGTTGAGTTTTTACTCCATCAATGATGTAGATCTTAATCATGGAAGTGGTCCAAACATCATTGCACAGGCATACCTTCCCAGGGGTCTTTTGATTCAACACAATTATACTCTCAATTCAATCTAGTGCTATATTATGGCCTAACTGTAATCCACAATTTAATGAATATTTGTAACCGTAGTTTCCGATGTCAACATTCGCTCCTTGTTTACGTCCAGTCATGTCGCATAAACACGATCTGAAACATGTAACATGGCTAAGATGCACTATATAGGTTGAATAAAAGCTAACGCAAGCTAAAAGCAAGAATAGGGCAATTCGTATATATGGAATATATATCCAAAGCGTAAATTTGAGTACGGTTTTAGGTTTCTTACTTGTTCTAATTAAAACATTACATTGTTCTTGATCGCCTCCATTTGTTTACGCCGTCGTCTTTGATTCAATAATTACACACTAGGAACCACTTAGTATTACGTTATGGGCTAACTAACTGAAAGAATTAAGTTATCTCTAATAATCATTGCCGATTTAGATTATCTCACCAATTTCAGATCTTGTAATCTTAATTCCACTTTGTAGACATTTGAATCAATAATTGTAGGCCAAAGCTTAGTTCAACTGCATTAGTATAGCTATAAAAATTGACTGAAGATACAAGCGTTGGATTATGAAAAAAAGGACCTACACAAGTATGCACATAAAATTTCACAAACATAAAATCAGTGCTCACCTGACGACGTCAAATTTGAAAAGACCGCCCGAGCGCAGACAAATTTTGACGTGGCAAGAAAAAAGTGTGATTATAATAAAGAAACAAAGAGGGTGGAGGAGACCGCAAAATGAAGACTTTTTCATTCGTTATTAGGAATCACATGTCTAGGTGACGTAAGAAAATAGCGAAACAACAAAAAAAGGTGGAACATGCTGTTTGTCGCATTAAACGTTCATTATCAAAGTAAAAAGATACTTGTTCAATTTTTCAGTAAATTTAGTTACATAATTTATTTAAACTATGATACATGTATAGTTTTCATTAAATTATTTGAATATGCGCTATGTTTGGCAATATATACAGATTTACGTCAAATCTATTTCAGAAGTTATATATATTGTAAAAACTTTCGATTGGCGTTTCATATAGCCTGCTTCCTTTCTGTCCATCGGAACAATGACTAACTGACTTTGACATATCGGCATTGTATATCACGGGGAAGAATACGCGCCTTTTTCCGCTTGGTTTGGAAAATGCCGGATGTGAGTTTTGGGGTGAAATCGGGCATAATCGACGTCTGCACAGCGAAGAATTAAGCCTGTATAATATTTAAATAAATTAAATTTTCCTTGTTCGACAATCATGACTAAAACATCCACGATATCGTATTTAAACTTGGGAAGATCCAAAAATAAAATTCAATAGGGTATAATAATTAGCATACTAGTTTACAAATATTCGATAAAGCAAAAAAATTGCTTTTTTAAGGACGGAAAAAATCAGTGCAATTTTGCAAAATTACCTACCTGCACCCACTATTCACTACGCACATTGGCTAGGCTCACTGACACGCTGTTTTCCGACCATATCAGTGCTTTTCCATCCCCAGTACTGAATGCGCTCGAAAACCGTCGTTCTCCATATGATTAGACCGCGTAATTCAGGGACGTATTCAGGAATTTTCGAATGGGGGTGGGTTGAAATTTGTCAACCGCCATCGTGTCCGGCTGGGGCCGGAAAACGTGGGTTTTCGAGAATCTTGAAGGTCTAAAATGCGTTTCAAACTACTTGCTATGTACGATACAGATGATTTTTTATATCTCACAGGGAAGGGGTTAGCAAAATGTTTTGGTCATGTGACAGTAAATTTATTTATTCCGGCTTTGACGACTTGAGAATGCAGTTGACAACTTAGCGAAAAGTCATAAAGACCATTTGAACAACGCGAGAAGGCATACGTTTCCATTCCATGCGTTTGTTGGATTATCTGTAAAATTAGCTATTTCCATAACAAACCTGAACTGAAGTACGATCGATAGATGATGTTTTATCCCTGAGCCCTATCTCACCATAAATTGTGACCATCTGACGTGTTGATAGCTGGTAACGGATTTGTATTATGACGTCACTGAAGGTTTTAAATGTTCGCAAACAATGGACTTTTATCAACTCGTTATACTTATGAAAATTTTATTTCATTCTAATTTCTATACCTATGGTAAGTTGCTCGATATTTTTTCCTAGTTTCTGAAATAGTTTTTGGAATTCGTTGTCTATTCAATATTCCTATTTCTTCGTAGAAAATGGGGCAAGGAAAAAGAAGAATTCGAGTATTCAGACGACAAGTGGGATGGCAGAAATCTATAAACAAAGCAGTCAAAGCTTTTAAAAAATGTGCCAAACTTTTTTGCAGGAGGCAAAGGGAGGAGCTCGAAAAGGTTGGACAAAATATTTCAATGGTATAACTTAACACAGATATAAATATTATATTGACAAAAGGGTTGATATTCTTCTTAGTAGAAGCAGGATAAAATGGCGAGATTTCAGCATACAAGATTGAGCTTTTCCATGAATGAAATGCATTTGCTTTTGTACAGATCTATGACGTCATAATTTATTTGTTCGCGGTTAATGTCTAAATTACTGTAGCTTGTGTACAAAACCCTAACCAATCCTCGAAATCTGATAATAGTTGGTGTAATCATATATATATATAAATTGACGGATTTTAGTCAAGCCTTGAAATGTCGTTCAACCATAAGTAGGGCGTCTACACCGGCCAGATAATATAGATATAGCTAACACAAGACAAAACAGATAGATGGACTTATTTTCCCCCCATATTCAATTTTCGCAACACAGTGATGTTGGGATAGAATTTAACGTAGAATTCTTTTGCTTGTAGAAAAGAAATTCCGCATAGTTAGAGAAACACGCACCATACTCTTAACATTTTAATAAACGACTCAGGCTCAAACTTGTCTTCGGCCCCCGACTCTGGACTGAAAAAAGTTTTGACTTCGATTGCAATTCCGAGAAAATTGGATAATAAATGCAAACACTAGCCTTCCCTAATTGTCTTATGAAAACGCTTAGCTGACGTCTTAATAAATGTAAGCCTATGTCCGAAGAAAAGGTATGACCAGGATCCCTACAGCACAAATCCTTCATACTTTTTTGAGATCTGCCCTTCGATATAATTAAAAAAGGTTATTACATGCATTGCCCTTCCAGGATCCATCCAAAGGAGAGTTGCCTCCTACAATCTTGAATATCATTCGTGACTGGGCAAGAAAACAGTCTAGCAAGGTTCGTATCTCTGTTATTGAGTCACGAACTATCAGTGTCGTAGCATCTTACTCGCATTTGTTTGACAAATGAATCTGATTACTGCAGTTTTAGAAATAGGTTTCAATGCAGTACAAGTCAAGTGTTTCTTAAATTTGTTGTCTCTAAATACAATGGATCATTTTTTGATAACTGTTTTTGGGTCAAAAGTTTTATCAAGCTGTGGTCACGGTCACAGATTTTTTTTTATCCTCACACCACATCTCTACTATCTCATCCGGTCAGAACTGAAGTAACAATATTTTGTTATCGATTGATCTCTGGTGAATATTTTTATAAACAAGAAAATCAAGAAATTTCATACTCGTACAATTTTCAGCTGTGTGTATGCATGCAAAGTCAAGAGAGAGAAGCGGAGAAAGAGAGTTTTGAAGAAGATCATCCGATAGGAAAATACACATCTACAATTCAGGTAGTTTACACTTTTCGTGAAGAATTTGCCGCTTTTTACCAAAAAGCCTCTAGCCAAGCGTCCATAAAACATAGGACCTAAGCCTACTATTCATTCTGATGAATATCCAATCACGTTCATATTTATATATAATTTACGAGCATTACTTCATTGTGTCGGGATTGAAGCTGATAAGAAAACGTTCTTTATTTTTGTTCTATCAGTTGGCACCACAGGCACCAGATGTCACAATAAGCCGTTCCGTATGCAGCCAGCCTGTTGGACTAGTTCAAGATGCATGTTGTTCGAGACATTGCATTAGAAACAATATAAAGGAACAAGCAACATCTTTGTGGTATCAGCTATCACCGTCGTTTTCAGACGAGGTATAAATCATAACTTGTGACTTGAGCGTAAATTTTCCAGGCCAATATATATACAATTAAAATTGCGTTGGCGGTTTTAGAAAAGCATTGAACATTTCACTATATATATTGCTAGAATTCATGAAACGAGGATAAAACGCCAATTCCTATATCGGGCCATCTAATACATGCAACGACCCAAGATAATTTTAAATAACAACTCATTTCGGCGCATTTATTGTTGTTTTGAATTATTAACCTACTGGCAATGAGAATCGTAGACTTCTCACTTTGTCGTATAATTACTTTATGCTCATACACCTCTGATTATATTATTCATTATTTCTCTTCAGGATCTTAGTCGAGAACCAACTCCTCCACATCCGTTTGAAAAAATATTGAGGGAACGAAATAGTCTCGATTACATGGAAAGAGTCAGTTTATGTTAACTATTGTTACTTGGATGCACTGCGTACAATAACATCTTACTAAAATTTGATTCTTTTTTTTCAGATGGACATAGAATATGCTAAAATTAGATCATTGGTAAGATTTTTTATGATAAAGCTTTCAAATTATTATTGACCGTGATATCTATTAAAACAGAATACTTACGTTTCAATTTACAGGATTCAGATGGAAGTGAGTCGCCCGACTACCTGCTGGCTCTATTACCTCCTTTCGAAGTAATTATTTTTTATATAATAAGTTATATCATTTCAATGCATGCCTTCATTACATGATTACTTCACAATTTCAGGCCAAGCAAAGACCGAGTTTATTTTCAGATTGGAATAGGGTAAGTTATATCTAGAATATCGATATATAAACATGGGGTATAGTTAAAAAATTCTCTCATAACTCCACATGAGAATTGTTTAGCAAGGTGTTTTAAGGCGTGTCGGCTCACAGGTAATAAAAAATTACACATATATTTTTTTTTTTCGTTTCAGCCGAATCCATTTTTCCGCCTGCCGGGAAACACACCACCTCCTTTTCCATCGGACTGGAATTTTAACAAAGAATCAGAGGTTAGAGATAAATTTGACTAATCGATGTTTAGGGTTTGCTAGTTTATTCTTCAAAGTTTAAATGTGGTCGGACGTGAGGTGGAATACAACAAATAAGTTATCTCAAATCTTGAGTTGGTGTAACAAACAACTCGAGTTTATCGACAATATGTTATTTGGCTATTCCAGGTTTTGAATCCACTTCAGGGTTAAAATTAGGCCTTATATATGTTTTTGGTTCAGAATGCATTCAGTTTAATGTATATATTTTTTTTTCTCGCAGCTCTAATACTAGAATGTAGTATCCAAACTTGTTTTTTTGATTGCAAACTTAATTTTTTACATTATGATCTCATTCAATCATAACATATATTTATATATGGCAGGATTGTGCTGAATCTAAACAACTCACTCCTACCGTTTCTCCTGAGTTGGAATATGAAGTGGCCAACGATGTTACAGATGGAATACCTGAGGTCTGATGAATAGTTTATATTTACGTATATATAATAGTATACTTGTCGCAATGATTATTGATATTTTTTTGTGATTCGTTTACTCAATCTTTCACCCAAATAGTTAGGTTCATGCAGAAACACAACATTATTATGTTCTTTATTTTAGTGTTATAGTATTCCTCTTTATATATGCTGCAAAAAATGTCATGCTGACTAGTGAAGGAGTAAATTCAGTTGGGTAGGCGAAAGTATCTGTCAATCTAGGTTTAACGGTACAATTTTATATCTACAGGTCAAAACTGCTGATACTGAAAAAGAGAAAACAACAGACATTCAGGTAAACTGTTTGACTCAAAAATTGCTTTATTTTAAACTCTTATATGATACGCATATTGTCAAAAATATATTCACTAGATTGCAATGGCAGTAGCTGAAAGAGTGAACTGGATGCTTGAACAGGTTGAAAATAACGTTGAAGAAAATTCATCTAACGATTCCAATATTAAAGTGAGTTAAAATTGGTCTTGCATGAATTCGAAGTGCTGAAAAATTTTTTTCTGAATATTATCGGTAAAAGGCGATATCGTGGAAAATATTGGTCAAACTTAAAGCTCAAAAACCTATGTAGCATACATTACCAACAGGATTATTAAAAAATTTTAAAACCAAAAAATTTTGCCTCTGATTTTCGAACCTAATTTCTATCGTGTTTTTTCATCAAATTCTACACCATGATCTTATGCAAAACTTTATATCTGATACTTTTCATCTATATTTTTTTCTAATACTTTTTATTTCTCAGTATGTCGTTTATCAAATGATGAGTAAGTCTACTAAAATTATATTAATTATCATTTTTTTAATATTTTGTTCAATATTTATAGGATCATGTGAAACTCAATGAGACCGATGTTCTTTCGACATCAAGTTGCAATTCTTTACAAGTATGGCAGTTTACTTTTTTGTCAGACATACTTTAGAACACGTCAGTTATAATTACGAATAAAATCGAAGTTTATATTTATTTATCATTATTACATTTTTGAAAATCGCAGGAGGAAGCTGCAGTTTCCATTTTGAAAGTCAACGAGGAATGCGATGATCGAGAAGTAAGTTATATTACATTTTAACAATACCCACTAAATGAAAAAAAAACGATTTTTGCATTTTATTTTTGCCATAGTTCGTGACTATAAATTTCTTAACGTCTTTATTTCAGCTTGATAGTTTATCAGTATCGGTGGATATGAGCTCGGAAGACAATGAAGAAATCAACATTCGAGATGTTCGTTTAAGTTTTGTTTCTTATTTTGCATTTTGAAATTTGAATCAATGAAACTATGAACTTTGTGCCAAAGACAATATTCTTCCATGGAACCCTGGTATATTCTAACAAGTTTTAGTTTCCACATCAGTAAATGTCAATTTTCAGTTATTTAACAACCAAATAATCTTATATTTAACTTTAAAAGAAAAACAATATCTGGAAATGATTTTTTGCAGCTTGATTCAAGAGCATCTTACGTTGTTGATGGCGAACTTGCCGATGTTACTTCTTTGATTTCTGTGAGTAAATTTATATAAAATAACACTGAAATAATTTTGTTGATATTAAATGAAAGCAACAAATTTATTATAGACTGACGAAACATGTGAACAATGGGTTGATGAAATTCTATTTGGCGAATTGGAAGTCGTTGGTAGAGAGGTAAGCATGATAGATAGAATTAAAATATTTTCCGACTTTTATTTTTTCAATCCCATACTGTTTCATGTTGGCGTTTGACGTTTCTATCTGAAATGAACAATCAAATATAATTTAATTATTCTTTGTTATCAACATCGTAGAACAGATTTTTACCACATTTTATCACGGATCATTGAGACTATTTTTTGGTCGGAATAGTACAAACAAGCAAGCATACAAAAAAAACGCGTTTGAACTCTTTCGTTCAGATTCCCTTTTTAAAATCTATTGAATTATTCCAAACCGATTTTAATATTGATGTAATTGCTTACAGATGATATCACGAGCGACATACATTATTGAACAAGATGCCTCCTACCTCGAGCCAATTGTAAGATACGATGATACGTTTCAACGTTTTTTTATTCAGTTAAAAGTTCCATCATTATATCGTAGCAATAAGACTCATGAGTTAAACATAGAGAAGACAAATCAATCAGCGTACAATTTTTCTTCTAAATTGACTTCATTTGATGCATGCTAGGCTCTATTGATCGAAATCTTAATAAATCACTATCTAAATGAGACTGTTTGTCTAGTCTAGGGTCCTGTCAGGGCATAATGGCGAAACAAAGTCGATTCAATTTAAGGTAACATTCGTATTTTATTAAAAGTTTTGTAATTTATAATAATATTTGATAGATGGATGAAAAATCAGAAACTCCAATCGATGACATGATAAACGAAATTTTGGAAAACACTAAAAGTTTGATGGAAGAAGAGAAAGTGAGTTTATTGCTATTTTTAACTCGATTAAAAATTTATTCTCCAAAACATTCCACACCTTAAAATTTACGGTCTTCTTCTTCTCAAAAATATTGTAAAATCATGTTTGACAAGAAAATGCGATTCATGAAATCAATTGATTCAGTAATATAAAGTTCAAATGCAACAGAAATATATCAATATCTTAATATTTTAATTCCAGTTTAAGGACGAGAAAAATAAATCAAAAACAAAGTCATCTTCAAAGGAAGATCCTGAGGACGTCGATAAATTTATACAGGTTAGTTGTAATACGCTATTATGTGAATTCTGTCTGATCCAAGCAAACTTGACTATCGAGATATGAATAACCAAAACGTGTCGGTTTTCATATATAATGCTAAATTTATTCGCTTATAAAACTTCTATTAATAAAAAATCACATAAAGGTGAATTTATCTTGCTATATTTACCACTGACGTTTTTCCCAAAATAGGTTTCTTATTGACGTTCAATACATTTAACAGAGCTAGACCTTGACAATCAGAAATTTTCTAATTTACACATTAGGTTTTTATTTTAAAATTGCAGGATTTTCTTTTCGAACCAACACTGGTATAAACGACTGGACATCAATATGAGCATCCTGTCGTCAACATATTCGGCAACAAACGACAGGATGATTCGGCAGCAATTTTACCAAATTGTTCAGAGCAAATTGATCAGCAATAATTTTATGTAGGATAAACCCAACGAGACAATTTTATCGTAACGGATTCGTTTTTTTGTTTTGTTATATATATATATTTAGTACAGTTAGAATTTATCTCGTAGTTCAACGTAATTTGGCCTCTCTAATGTAATAGTATTTTGTATGTAAGACTGCTCGAAGCAAGGTCGCGTGTCACCATTTAAAAGACGCAAAATGCGGCTGATGGTCGAGTCGCAACCTCCACGGACTTGCTAAGGGCAACGTTTTGATTTATTGCTGTGACAGATCTGACGCTTGATGTGGGATTCGTGGCAACCCACTTCAATACTGTCAGAGCAACAAGTATATACATTTAGAAATAGTTTTACACAGGCTTGTCCATCGGACATATTTTTCTGTCCCATTCCCATAAAAATTATGCCTAAACCATCCCATAAGATTCCAATTGAAATAAAATTCAATAAAAATTGTTAAATTTTGGTTTAGCGTCCACTAAATAGGACTACATGTACGAAGAGCCATGCAAAACAACAAAAATTTACGAAATTTGTTAACTCTATAGTCATAACTATTATACATGTGACCATCCGCCCCATCACGAAGTATATTGTTAATGCTGAATATATTTTGTTTTTTATAGCTAACAAGAGAGCTATGCTCAATATAGACACTAAATAATTTTACCATCATTTCCCCGAAAATTATACAATTTTCGTGTCCCACTTGTCCCATGGGAAATACAAATGTGTGCTGTCCCATCCCATCCCATGGGACGTTTCCCATGGGAATTCCATTCTCATGGACAACCCTGGTTTTACAACGCGTTAAATTTGTGATAAATGAAAACCAACAAATCGGATTTTTTATAGTTATTTAGAACTGGTTTATAATTTGGTATTTCAACCGAGCATTTTGAGAAACGGTTTTTGAAATATCTTCATTGCTGTGGTATTTACTGTGATATGTAACGCGATTTAAAAAATTAGATAAATAGTGTTGAAGGTTAAACTTCCTTCTCTCGATCGGGGTAACATATTCGCCACTTTGTTTATTCTTACTAAAGTAACCGATGTGTGATCACTTATGGTTAAATGGAATATGAGGCGTTTATCACACTTTCACTCTAAACAAGGCTCAACACGCAGCCACTTGTGCGCAAAAGGCTACTATTTTGGGATGGTTCGGCATTCCCTCCCAATTTTTCATACCCTGGACAAGGTAGTGACCATGGGTTTTCGTCCGAGATCTTTACCCTGCGATGCCGATATAGTTAAGTTCTATATATATGTACAACGCTTCAACCACTCGTTCATGTTTGTTCAAGGCTAGATGAAAGAAGGAGTTGACACCTTTCCATCATTCAAAACTAGAAAAAACAACAGTAACTTGTTTACACCCTTGATGGTTTGAGTGAATATTACTAGTACTCAAGATTTTTAATAAGAGATTCCAACTGAAGTAAACGCGAAAGCCTGCCTACTCGGTTTATGTTTTTAGTGTTCACCGCAATCTACTTGATTGTTGAGGCAGTAGCTATCGGAGCAGTATCTATCGGCAGTAGCTATATTAGCTATCGGTAGACTGATTTCGAAACTGAGGTGTTTATAAAAAGTGTTATTTTAACCTGTTTACCAATATGCCACCACACTTTTATGATATTTATCGTTCCATGTATAAACATGTATTGCTATTGTTTATGCTCAGATTATCTTTCCACAGAATATATATATATCGTGTGTATAGGTTGGCATGTGTCAACCCGAGTCATACTTGAGTAACGTTTTGTGGAAACAACGAATATATTAAAATGACGTATATTTTAAAATGATTCGACACAGATAATGTGAAATGGCTCAACTTTATTCGATCATGAACTGTAACATTGGAAAGTGTTCTAATCAGATGAAACCAAATTTCCCATTTCGTAAATGTTTCGACTTGCTACTTTAAACTGTCTCACACATTTCAGCGACTTGCCTCAAATGATTTACAAGTATCGACTTCTCCTTGGGTAACCATCAATTGATATTGACTCTGTTGTGTGTTATTTCTTTTGAGACTTCTTACTTTACTTTTCACTGTGAAGCTTTCAAGTGTTTCATTTTATAAATATTTTTGTTGTTTCATTCGAATAAACAATTACTGCATTCAAATATTATCGTGGTTTGCCAACAAAGAAAGAGAACAAAGAAAGGGATGATAAATTTGCTGACTTAGTCGTGTTGGACCTTGGACTAAACGGAATAATTAAAAAAAAACTACTAATCTGCCGAAATGAACATAAAATAGCCTTTGGATTCAGTTGTATACGATCAACCACCACAAATCTTTGTAAAATTATAAAACCCACAATCATTCGATTGGTAGACACCTGAAAAGATATTCATCGTATTATTATTCGAGGTTAATGGTTTGAAGTGCCATGTCGATTGTGATTGCTGAAAAAATTGTTTCATCAAAATATAACTGACCAATCCTAACTTCCTGTGTGACAAAATAGTTAGGCTTACCATACGCCCCTCTTTAGGCGGGACAGTCCCGCTTTTCAGCGTTTTGTCCCGCCGTCCCGATAAGTCAGCCAAAAGTCCCGCTTTTCCAGCATAATACACAAACATGTTCTCGTTGTTTCTGTGTAGCGCAGCGCTAGCCCACTTACTGAAGGTGAATGCGTTCGTTTCCCGCTGATTCCCATTGATGGCAGACGTATCGCATGTAAAACCAATACTAATTAGTCTAAATTCGAATTATTTGTACCGGTATCGTTAACGTCAATTCCTTCCTATTTTTCGAACTGAACCCGATATTTGGACAGAGAATATGCGCATGAAATTTCGATAACAATATGATCAATAAAGACAGCCGAGACAACTTTAAATGTAGGAATGTAGGCCTATGTAGTAAAACCGGAAAATGTGTGAAGTTATAAAATCACAGCTAAGGGGTCGTTGTCTTTCGAGGCGTCCCGAGTTGAAGTCACAAAAATATGGTAACCCTAAAAATAGTACAAGTCTAAGAATACCGTAATGCTAAAATATACCGGAATCATATAAGATGAACAGTTCAGAACATATACGTGTTATTCAATAAGTCATTCTGTAATATATAGTAGAATTAGTATACCGGGTATGCATTTTCTTAAATTCTTGTCTATCTCATTCTTTCTCTCTGTGGCAAATATCACTGCTAATGTCCTCGTTCAAGTCTTTTGTAAAGCCAAGTATCAAAAAATTGTCAAAGGCATTGGCGTTGTTGTATTTAACATGCTGTCGGTGGTATTTGCTTTCGAAGAAAATTGTTCACCTGCGCTCTACAAAGACAAATAATTTCTTGTTTTAGAAGGAAGTGGATGTCGAATTAAAATATGATATGCTCGATGAAACAAGAGCGTAGCCACCCCAAAGTTATTTTGTGGAGAGCCAAATGCTTTGAAAAGACAATTACTCGGGTCTTTGCTGTGAGCAAGGTCAGGTACAAACAGTCACTATTATCTCACGACAGTGGTTCCAACCTTTATGGCTCGTGGCTCTCTGCCCGAGTCATTGACATCACACTTACCAGACTAACGACTGCTCCGAACACAATTATTGGTACGATGATTGTACACCAAACAGCCATAATTACTTGATTACGAAAATCTGAAATATATGCAGAAAAGCAGTAAATACATAAATTTTCAACCATTCCCTCTGTTTTATTTTTTATCCCACAAACATTTTTTAAACCTGATCCTGTCAAATATACTTACTAGTCGACTTTTTGTACGGTTAGCCGTCGGGAAAGTTAGCCGATTTTAGGCACTCGCCAATAAACTTATAGTTTTCTAAGTAGCGTAAGCAAAAAATCTAAGTAATGGATAATCGCGATGGGAAAGAACTTTGCTAACTACATTTCGATATTTCAAACTTTATGTAGGTATGTCATCAACAAACTGACTTCCGGTTATTTAAACTGAAATTGTGTGATCAAATATTTGACGTGGATCATGAAAACCTAATATGAGAAGCAACCATCTGCCTTCCCCTGCTGCCTTTTAATACTCCCCGAAAGTATTATCTACGTAATTATCGACAAGTTTTCAAAATGTTCAGGGTAAAGATTTATTTTAAATTCAACAAATTTTGAATGATTCAATTCTGCTTAATAATTCGCATACAATACTAACAAGGAACAATATTAATTTCTTTTGCAGTTCGAAAACATTATATGTACTACCTATAGCATTTCGATTAAAATACATAAACAGAGGTTGATAAGACAGTCTGAATGATGTGCTGGAACATTTTTATTATTTTATTTTTCTGTGAATTAACCTCACAAAAGTTTCAAGTCTCGACTGAATCCAATGACCTACACTTGGGAAAATTGTTGTAGAATGATTCTCGTAGAATTTATTCTTAGATATGCCAGTGTCAACCAAATATTTTTCTAAATTGTGTTTCATATTTTTACTCTGTTAACTAAATTGTTCCTCGACAATAAAAAGCCTGAAACACATTTGTATGCTGAATATATTGTATTAAGTGAAAATATGGTGATTTAATTCTGTGATATATGACACGATTATTAAAGCATATTCTTTCACAATAGTGTAACAAGTATTCGAACTTAGTCAATGTTGGATCTATCTGTACGGACAATAGATTCCGACGCACACACATACTCCTGAAACGCATTTCCATCCTGGTTTACAACGAGGGCGACATTGTTCTGTAGAACAAATGAAAAAAAAAATTAGATGTTTTATTATTGGTATTGGTTATTCGATATTCCAAAAAAGGGATTATTTCGTTTCAAAGAATTGGAAAACGGAAGGAATGTTAAGTAATTATTGCTAATTGAAACTGGTCATGAAATGCACCAACTCGAGATCCCTTTTCATTTGAATAGTTCAAAATATTTTACATATGAATGTATTTTTCTCAATTCAGCCAAATGTGTATGGGGTAGTGGTTTGTAGTTATTATCAGTAGATACAGGAAATAGTGAAAATTAGTTTATTTTGAAATTTATTAAATTATAATTTAAATTTGTGTTATTTCCATGAAGCATAAATGACTTACTTATGCAATGGCCTGCGACCAGTGAATGCCCTCTATTTTTGCAAACGCATTTTCCATTTATGCATGTTGTACCCGGCCCACAAAATATAAGAGCACACGAATCTGAAAATGAACATTCAAATAATATTTTTAAAGACAATGTAAGTTTATTATATAAATATAACTTAAAAATTACAACTTCTTATAGTGGTTACTACCGCAGTATTGAAAGTCGAAAAAAATGCTCATACGTTCGGAATATAGATGTGGCAAGAGCTAATATTTTTTACTCACGACGGCATTCTCCAGCGTGGCAGATTTCGTTTGGTCCACAAAGCATTCGACGGCATATATCTATAATATCAAAAAAGTATCTCAAACACTACCTGGTCTATGTGTTTTATGAAAAAGGGAAGAGGTGAAAAAGAACAAATTACAACACTATTATATTAATTTAACATTAGAGAACTAAAGAATAATTTACTTTTGAATATGAAACTATTTTTGATCCTAATTGGACTAACGAACTTCTGGGTAAATTTCGTTGTCATATCTCGCACACTAACTTGCATATACTCCTATAATATTAACGGATACGAACCGGACAATGAAATAAATCAATCGCGCAAAGTGTTTGTATATATTTAGTAGAATATATAAAATAATATGAAATTCGAATACTCTCAAGAACGAAAATCATATATTATGCGGATGTGGATTATCGAACAAGACAATCTTGTCTTTATGTAATTGAATATCCCTTGGTTTGGCAAGTTATATTCATGATAGCGTCTAAATTCACACACACCAACACATTTTCCGTTCTTATCAGTTTCATATCCTTTAAAACAAACGCATTTTCCATTCCTGCATTCTCCGTGATCACGACATCTTTGCTTTCTACATTTTTCTGAAACAGGAAACGAAAAACGACAATAATATTGTTTTCTGTTACATGAATTTTTAGCTAACGATATTTTCAACATTAATAATCAACTCAAAACAGAAAGTAACACTTCATAAGTCGATTCAAACGTGAAGCTTTTAGACACATAATAGCTATTTATTTGTAGTCCAGTGTTTTCTGTATTTATTTTTTTTTTTCAAATTCTTGAGTCACTTCAGCATATTTTACGTCTATTTGCCTCGTGTATTCTCCATTTGAAACATGATGTATAATATAACTCTAGTACATGTATTGTAATAAAAAGGTAAGAACCGCTGTCGTATCGAAGGCCTTCTTCATAGAGTTAAAACTAACAACTGTTGATATTTAAAATAAATTACTCTTTTACTCACTGACACATTTGTTTCCTTTCCACTCATACCCCTTTTCACATACACATCTTCCGTTTTTACAGATACTGTTAGGCGGGCAATATATTGGGCGGGTTTTATCTGAAAATTCAGAAAAAATCATGAACGTATATATCTGGGATATTCAATTTCATGCTGTATTATTCAACTGAATTTATTAATTTTGAAAACATGGATTAAAAAGCGTTTATCGTTTTTCATTTGGCATGTTACTTCTATTTATAATTGTTTTACCCCAAAACGACCCAAATATCCAGGTCTATTATGCTCTGCTATAAATCTGTTATGCCTGCTGGAGGTTTTTGTAAAACTGTTTTATCAGCGTTTTGATGTTATAATTATAACTAGCGCGTTTGGTTTTCGTGGAGAGTATAAAAGTCACTTACATGGCACGTAAACCCCCTTTTTTCTGTAATGTCCTGGTAGACATTCGCATATCCCATTGGGGCAATGTTCGTTCGGGGGACATCTTCTACGACATTGACACTTTCCGTCAATACAAACACTTCCAGGCGGACATTTCTTAGTATCACACGCTGAAAAGAAATTCAACACCAAGAAAAATTAGAATTATATATTGATTGTGATTCAGAGTCATTTATATTCGTTGAATAATTTGTCGTAAAAGGATCAATGTTACTTCATATATAATAATAATTTAGTTTTCACAATCAATGCAAAACTTTCAATAGTGCTACGTGGCTCATTTCACGTCATAATTATTTAAATAAAACGACATACCGACTTCACAGCTATAAAAGACTATAAAACAATATTATAAAATATTCTAGCTGAAACAATGCGCAATTATAAAAATACTTAAATTGAACAGACAGATGATTTGTGAGATCTGTTGTCGCATCAATCCACTTGTTCCGCAATCCGGACAGAACTTGCAAGATAAAATAAAGTTAGATATTGGTCTTCAATAAGAATAGTTGCTGATTGTAAAGAGCAGTGGCGATCGCGCGCAAGGGGGGTGTAGACAATTTTTTAGGTTGCGTTTAGCTAATTAAAAATATAAATATTTGTTAGATTGATCTTTCCTGCCTTATTTTTTGGATGTTTACATTTCTTTATTTTGGATATTCACTTTCCTTTTACGTATTTCAACATGTATTTTTGAATAAAGCATACTTTCGTTCAACTATTCGTTATTTGTAGCTTGTTAGCAAGTTATTTTTGGGGTGGGGCACGAAACTTGACACATTCTAAAAAAAGGGCGCGGCTTGAAAAGTTTAGAGAACCACTGCTATAGAGTTTCGTTTGAACGCTATTCCAATCTATTTTTCTATATATTTACAATACATTTGACCTTAACTACTGCGCCGATGCTATAAACCGGAAATAATATTAATATTGCTCAACCAAAACTGCTCCTATCAAAAACGAAATGAACTTGTTTCTGATTGGGTAAAAATAAACCTACTTTCCGAAAAAGTAATAAATAAAACTAGAGAATTTATCCACAAAACGGAGAAATTCCAAAAGCTATTAAAAAACCCAACTTAACTTAAAATAGCACACAGAAAAGCAAAAAAGGGGGAAGGTAGGAAATATAGGGGGCAACCCGCAACTATCCCATTCAAGGATTTTCAATAGAACACGTATACCTTCCGATTAATATCTTGCTTTATATCGGAGTCCAGATTCAAGAATTCTAATATATAACTGAAGTCGTAAGTAGTGGACGGGACTATCGGATAAGTACGCAGATAGAAGACCATTCATAGCAGCAACACAACTTTCTACGTTACAGAATCAACAATTGTAGCTTAAACCTAGGTTTAATTGCATTAGTATAACTGTGAAAGATATGGAAAAAGAGAACGCTACTTGGGCCCCACTTAAATTCTTGGCATGACAAAAAAGGTTTGGATATAAACAACAAAAGAAGTGATCGTTGAAATAATTTAAAAATAATTAAGCAAATAATTTCACCTGCATTAAATCCGGAACATCCCAACACAACCGCATCTCTGTTGAGTTTTTACTCCATCAATGATGTAGATCTTAATCACGGAAGTGGTCCAAACATGATTGCACAGGCATATCTTCCCAGGGGTCTTTGATTCAACACAAGTATACTCTCAATTCAATCTAGTGCTATACCATGGCCTAACTGTAATCCATAATTTAATATTTGTTTAACCGTAGTTTTTGTTCCGCTCAAGCAGCAGTTTCCGATGTCAACATTCGCTCTTTGTTTACGTCCAGTCATGTCGCATAACACGATCTGAAACATGTAACATGGCTAAGATGCACTATATAGGTTGAATAAAAGCTAACGCAAGCTAAAAACAAGAATAGGGCAATTCGTATATATGGAATATATATCCAAAGCGTAAATTTGAGTACGGTTTTAGGTTTCTTACTTGTTCTAACTAAAACATTACATCGTTCTTGATCGCCTCCATTTGTTTACGCCGTCGTCTTTGATTCAATAATTACAATCATTTAGTATTACGCTATGGGCTAACTAACTGAAAGAATTAAGTTATCTCTAATACTCATTGCCGATTTAGATTATCTCACCAATTTCAGATCTTGTAATCTTAATTCCACTTTGTAGACATTTGAATCAACAATTGTAGGCCAAAGCTTAGTTCAACTGCATTAGTATAGCTATAAAAATTGACTGAAGATACAAGCGTTGGATTATGAAAAAAAGGACCTACACAAGTATGCACATAAAATTTCACAAACATAAAATCAGTGCTCACCTGAAGACGTCAAATTTGAAAAGACCGCCCGAGCGCAGACAAATTTTGACGTGGCAAGAAAAAAGTGTGATTATAATAAAGAAATAAAGAGGGTGGAGGAGACCGCAAAATGAAGACTTTTTCATTCGTTATTAGGAATCACATGTCTAGGTGACGTAAGAAAATAGCGAAACAACAAAAAAAAGGTGGAACATGCTGTTTGTCGCATTAAACGTTCATTATCAAAGTAAAAAGATACTTGTTCAATTTTTCAGTAAATTTAGTTACATAATTTATTTAAACTATGATACATGTATAGTTTTCATTAAATTATTTCAATATACGCTATGTTTGGCAATATATACAGATTTACGTCAAATCTATTTCAGAAGTTATATATATTGTAAAAACTTTCGATTGGCGTTTCATATACCCTGCTTCCTTCCTGTCCATCGGAACAATGACTAACTGACTTTTACATATCGGCATTGTATATCATGGGGAAGAATACGCGCCTTTTTCCGCTTGGTTTGGAAAATGCCGGATGTGAGTTTTGGGGTGAAATCGGGCATAATCGACGTCTGCACAGCGAATAATTAAGCCTGTATAATATTTAAATATTATTTAATTTGAAAAGAATTGTCTGTTGTTGCCTGAGGTATGTGAATCAAAGTTTTGAAAGGAGTGGGTGGTACGATGATAAATGTAGTCATTCGGATGAATATGCTGTTTTCCTTGTTCGACAATCACGACTAAAACATCCACGATATCGTATTTAAACTTGGGAAGATCCAAAAATAAAATTGAATAGGGTATAATAATTAGCATAATAGTTTACAAATATTCGATAAAGCAGAAAAATTTCTTTTTTAAGGACGGAAAAAATCAGTGCAATTTTGCAAAATTACCTACCTGCACCCACTATTCACTACGCACATTGGCTAGGCTCACTGACACGCTGTTTTCCAACCGTAAAAGTGCTTTTCCATCCCCAGTACTGAATGCGCTCGCAAACCGTCGTTCTCCATATGATTAGGCCGCCTAATTCAGGGACGTATCCAGGAATTTTCGAATGGGGGTGGGTTGAAATTTGTCAACCGCTATCGTGTCCGACTGGGACCGGAAAACGTGGGTTTTCGAGAATCTTGAAGGTCTAAAATGCGTTTCATGTTCGATACAGATGATTTTTTATATCTCACAGGGAAGGGGTTAGCAAAATGCTTTGGTCATGTGACAGTAAATTTCGTTATTCCGGCTTTGACGACTTAAGAATGCAGTTGACAATTTAGCGGAGAGCCATAAAGACCATTCGAACAACGCGAGAAGGCATACGTTTCCATTCCATGCGTTTGGTTGAACTAACCTTAAAATTAGCTTTTTCCATAACAAACCTGAACTTATGTACGATCGAAAGATGATGTTTTATCCCTGAACCCTATCTCACCATAAATTGTGACCATCTGACGTGTTGATAGCTAGTAACGGATATGTATTATGACGTCACTAAGGGTTTCAAATGTTCGCAAACAATGGACTTTTATCAACTCGTTATACTTATGAAAATTTTATTTCATTCTAATTTCTATACCTATGGTAAGTTGCTCGATATTTTTTCGCAGTTTCTGAAATAGTTTTTGGAATTCGTTGTCTATTCAATATTCCTATTTCTTCGTAGAAAATGGGGCAAGGAAAAAGAAGAATTCGAGTATTCAGACGACAAGTGGGATGGCAGAAATCTATAAACAAAGCAGTCAAGGCTTTTAAAAAATGTGCCAAACTTTTTTGCAGGAGGCAAAAGGAGGAGCTCGAAAAGGTTGGACAAAATATTTCAATGGTATAACTAAACACAGATATAAATATTATATTGACAAAAGGGTTGATATTCTTCTTAGTAGAAGCAGGATAAAATGGCTAGATTTCAGCATACAAGATTGAGCTTTTCCATGAATGAAATGCATTTGCTTTTGTACAGATCTATGACGTCATAATTTATTTGTTCGCGGTTAATGTCTAAATTACTGTAGCTTGTGTACAAAACCCTAACCAATCCTCGAAATCTGATAATAGTTGGTGTAATCATATATATAAATTGACGGATTTTAGTCAAGCCTTGAAATGTCGTTCAACCATAAGTAGGGCGTCTACACCGGCCAGATAATATAGATATAGCTAACACAAGACAAAACAAATAGATGGACTTATTTTCCCCCCATTTTCAATTTTCGCAACACAGTGATGTTGGGATAGAATTTAACGTAGAATTCTTTTGCTTGTAGAAAAGAAATTCCGCATAGTTAGAGAAATACGCACCAGACTCTTAAACATTTTAATAAACGACTCAGGCTCAAACTTGTCTTCGGCCCCCGACTCTGGACTGAAAAAAGTTTTGACTTCGATTGCAATTCCGAGAAAATTGGATAATAAATGCAAACACTAGCCTTCCCTAAATTGTCTTATGAAAACGCTTAGCTGACGTCTTAATAATATGACCAGGATCCCTACAGCACAAATCCTTCATACTTTTTTGAGATCTGCCCTTCGATATAATTAAAAAAGGTTATTACATGCATTGCCCTTCCAGGATCCATCCAAAGGAGAGTTGCCTCCTACAATCTTGAATATCCTTCGTGACTGGGCAAGAAAAACAGTCTAGCAAGGTTCGTATCTCTGTTATTGAGTCACGAACTATCAGTGTCGTAGCATCTTACTCGCATTTGTTTGACATATGAATCGGATTACTGCAGTTTTAGAAATAGGTTACAATGCAGTACAAGTCAAGTGTTTCTTAAATTTGTTGTCTCTAAATACAATGGGTCATTTTTTGATAACTGTTTTCGGGTCAAAAGTTTTATCAAGCTGTGGTCACGGTCACAGATTTTTTTATTTTATTCTAACACCACATCTCTACTACCTCATCCGGTCAGAACTGAAGTAACAATATTTTGTCATCGATTGGTCTCTGGTGAATATTTTTATAAACAGAAAAATAGAGAAATTTCAAACTCGTATAATTTTCAGCTGTGTGTATGCATGCAAAGTCAAGAGAGAGAAACGGAGAGTTTTGAAGAAGATCATCCGATAGGAAAATACACATCTACAATCCAGGTAGTTTACACTTTTCGTGAAGAATTTGCCGATTTTTACCAACAAGCCTTTAGCCAAGCGTCCATAAAACATAGGACATAGGCCTACTATTCATTCTGATGAATATCCAACCACGTTCACATTTATATATAATTTACGTGCATTACTTCATTGTGTACGTGAAAACCAAAAACAAAATAAAGGCCAAAGCTATTCAATGTCGGGATTAAAGTTGATAAGAAAACGTTCTTTATTTTTGTTTTATCAGTTGACACCACAGGCACCAGATGTCACGATAAGCCGTTCCGTATGCAGCCAGCCTGTTGGACTAATTCAAGATGCATGTTGTTCAGGACATTGCATTAGAAACAATAAAAAGGAGGAAGCAACATCTTTGTGGTATCAGTTATCACCGTCGTTTTCAGACGAGGTATAAATCATAACTTGTGACTTGAGCGTAAATTGTCCAGGCCAATATATATACAATTAGAATTGCGTTGGCGGTTTTAGAAAAGCATTGAACTTTTCACTATATATATTGCTAGAATTCATGAAACGAGGATAAAACGCCAATTCCTATATCGTGCCATCTAATACATGCAACGACCCAAGATAAGTTTAAATAACAACTCATTTCGGCGCATTTATTGTTGTTTTGAATTATTAGCCTACTGGCAATGAGAATCGTAGACTTCTCACTTTGTCGTATAATTACTTTATGCTCATACACCTCTGACTATATTATTCATTATTTCTCTTCAGGATCTTAGTCGAGAACCAACTCCTCCACATCCGTTTGAAAAAATATTGAAGGAACGAAATAGTCTCGATTACATGGAAAGAGTGAGTTTATGTTAACTGTTGTTACTTGGATGCACTGCGTACAATAACATCTTACTAAAATTTGATTCTTTTTTCTTCAGATGGACATAGAATATGCTAAAATTAGATCATTGGTAAGATTTTTAATGATAAAGCTTTCAAATTATTATTGACCGTGATATCTATTAAAACAGAATACTTACGTTTCAATTTACAGGATTCAGATGGAAGTGAGTCGCCCGACTACATGCTGGCTCTATTACCTCCTTCCGAAGTAATTATTTTTTATATAATAAGTTTTATTATTGAAGTTATATCATTTCAATTCATGCCTTCATTACATGATTACTTTATAATTTCAGGCCAAGCAAAGACCAAGTTTCTTTTCAGATTGGAATAGGGTAAGTTATAGCTAAAATATCGATATATAAACATGGGGTAGCCTAGTTAAAAAATTCTCTCATAACTCCACTTGAGAATTGTTTAGCAAGGTGTTTTATGGCGTGTCGGCCCACAGGTAATAAAAAAATAACACATATATATTTTTTCTTCGTTTCAGCCGAACCCATTTTTCCGCTTGCCGGGACACACACCACCTCCTTTTCCATCGGACTGGAATTTTAACAAAGAATCAGAGGTCAGAGATAAATTTGACTAATCGATGTTTAGGGTTTGCTAGTTTATTTTTCAAAGTTTAAATGTGGTCGGACGTGAGGTGGAATACAACAAATAAGTTATCTTAAATCTTGAGTTGATGAATGAAACAACTCGAGCTTATCGACGATATGTTATTTGGCTATTCCAGGTTTTGGGTCCACCTCAGGGCTAAAATTGGGTCTTATATATGTTTTCGGTTCAGAATGCATTCTGTCTAATGTAATAATAATTGTTCTAACAGCGCTACTACAAGAATCTACTCAAACTTGTATATATATTGCTAACCTAATTTTTTTCAATTATGATCTCATTCAATTATAACTATAACATATATTTATATGACAGGATTGTGCCAAATCTGAACAACTCACTCCTACCGCTTCTCCTGAGTCGGAATATGAAGTGGCCAACGATGTTACAGATGGAATACCTGAGGTCTGATGAATAGTTTATATTTACGTATATATAGAAGTATACTTGTCGCAATGATTATTGATATTTTTTTGTGATTCGTTTACTCAATCTTCCACCAAAATAGTTAGGTTTGAGCAGAAACACAACATTATTATGTCCTTTATTTTAGTGTTATAGTATTCCTCTTTATATATATATGCTGCAAAAAATGTCATGCTGACTAGTGAATGAGTAAATTTAGTTGGGTAGGCAAAAGTATCTGTCAATCTAGGTTTAACAGTACAATTTTATATCTACAGGTCAAAACTGCTGATATTGAAAAAGAGAAAACAACAGACATTCAGGTAAACTGTTTGACTCAAACATTGCTTTATTTTAAACTTTTATATGATACGCATATTGTCAAAAATATATTCACTAGATTGCAATGGCAGTAGCTGAAAGAGTGAACTGGATGCTTGAACAGGCTGAAAATAACGTTGAAGAAAATTCATCCAACGATTCCAATATTAAAGTGAGTTAAAATTGGTCTTGCATGAATTCGAAGTGCTGAAAATTTTTTTTCTGAATATTATCGGTAAAAGGCGATATCGTGGGAAATATTGGTCAAACTTAAAGCTTAAAAACCTATATAGCATACATTATCAACAGGATTATTAAAAATTTTTAGGAACAAGAAAATTTTGCCTCTGATTTTTGAACCTAATTTCTATCGTGTTTTTTCATCAAATTCTACACCATGATTTTATGTAAACCCGTATATCTGATACTTTTCATCTATATTTTTTTTCAAATACTTTTTATTTCTCGGTATGTCGTTTATCAAATGATGAGTAAGTCTACCATAATGATATTAATTATCATTTTTTTAATATTTTGTTCAATATTTATAGGATCATGTGGAACTCAATGAGACCGATGTTCTTTCGACATCAAGTTGCAACTATTTACAAGTATGGCAGTTTACTTTTTTTGTCAGACATACTTTAGAACGCGTCAGTTATAATTACGAATAAAATCGGAGTTTATATTTATTTATCATTAATATATTTTTGAAAATCGCAGGAGGAAGCTGCAGTTTTCAGTTTGAAAGTCAACGAGGAATGCGATGATCGAGAGGTAAGTTATATTACATTTTAATAATACCCCCTAAATGAAAAAAAATGATTTAAAAATATTTCTGCTTTTCATTTTTGCCATAGTTCGTGACTATAAACTTTTCAACGTCTTTGTTTCAGCTTGATAGTTTATCAGTATCGGTGGATATGAGCTCGGAAGACAATGAAAAAATTAACATTCGAGAGGTTCGTTTAAATTTTGTTTCTTATGTAGCATTTTGAAATTTGAATCAATAAAACTGTGAACTTTGTGCCAAAGACAATATTCTTCCATGGAACCCTGGAAGGTATATTCTAACAAGTTTTAGTTTCTACATCAGTGAATGTTTTACAGTCATTTAACAACAAAATAATCCTATATTTAACTTTCAAAGAAATATAATATCTGGAATTGATTTTTCGCAGCTTGATTCAAGGGCAACTTACGTTGTTAATGGCAAACTTGCCGATGTTACTTCTTTGATTTCTGTGAGTAAATTTATATAGAATAACATAGAAATTAAATAATATGTAGTGATAATAAATGAAAGCAACAAATCTATTATAGACTGACGAAACATGTGAACAATGGGTTGATGAAATTCTATTTGGCGAATTGGAAGTCGTTGGTAGAGAGGTAAGCATGATAGATAGCATTAAAATATTTTCAGACTTTCATTTTTTTAATCCCATACTGTTTCATGTTGGCGTTTGATGTTTCTATTTGAAATGAGCAATCAAATATATTTTAATTATTTTTTGAAATCAACATCGTAGAACAGATTTTTAACACATTTTATCACGGATCATAGAGACTATTTTTCGGTCGGAATAGTACAAACAAGCAAGCATACAATAAAACGCGTTCGAACTCTTTCGTTCAGATTCCCTTTTTAAAATCTATTGAATTATTCCAAACCGATTTTAATATTGATGTAATTGCTTACAGATGATGTCACGAGCGACATACATTATTGAACAAGATGCCTCCTACCTCGAGCCAATTGTAAGATATGATGATACGTTTCAACGTTTTTTTATTTAGTTGAAGTTTCATCATTATATCGTAGCAATAAGATCCTATGAGTTGAACATAGAGAAGACAAATTAATCAGCGTACAACTTTTTTTCTCGATTGACTTCTCTTGGTGCATGCTAGGCTCTATTGATCGAAATCTTAATAGATCACTATCTAAATGAGACTGTTTGTCTAGTCTAGGGTCCTGTTAGGGCATAATGGCGAAACAAAGTCGATTTAATTTAAAGTAACATTCGTATTTTATTAAAAATTTTGTAATTTATAATAATATTTGATAGATGGATGAAAAATCAGAAACTCCAATCGATGACATGATAAACGAAATTTTGGAAAACACTAAAAGTTTGATGGAAGAAGAGAGAGTGAGTTTATTTCTATTTTTAACTCGATTAAAAATTTATTCTCCAAAATATTCCACACCTTAAAATTTACGGTCTTCTTCTTCACAAAAATATTGTAAAATCATGTTTGACAAGAAAATGCGATTCATGAAATCAATTGATTCAGTAATATAAAGTTCAAATGCAACAGAAACATATCAATTTCTTAATATTTTAATTCCAGTTTAAGGACGAGAAAAACAAATCAAAAACAAAGTCATTTTCAAAGGAAGATCCTGAAGACGTCGATAAATTTATACAGGTTAGTTGTAATACGCTATTATGTGAATTCTGTCCGATCCAAGCATACTTAACGATCGAGATATGAATAACCAAAACGTGTCGGTTTTCATATAAAATGCTAAATTTATTCGCTTATTAAACTTCTATTAATAAAGAATCACATAAAGGTGGATTTATCTTGCTATATTTACCACTGACGTTTTTCCCAAAATAGGTTTCCTTATCGACGTTCATTACATTTGACAGAGCTACACCTTGACAATCAGAAATTTTCTACTTTACACATTAAGTTTTCATTTTAAAATTGCAGGATTTTCTTTCCGAACCAACACTGGTATAAACGACTGGACATCAATATGAGCATCCTGTCGTCAACATATTCGGCAACAAACGACAGGAAGATTTGGCAGCAATTTTACCAAATTGTTCAGAGCGAATTGATCAGAAATGATTTTATGTAGGATAAACCCAACGAGACAATTTTATCGTAACGGATTCGTTTTTTGTTTGTTATATATATATATATATTTAGTACAGTTCGAATTTATCTCGTAGTTCAACGTAATTTGGCCTCTCTAATGTAATAGTATTTTGTATGTAAGACTGCTCGAAGCAAGGTCGCGTGTCACCATTTAAAAGCCACAAAATGCGGCTGATGGTCGAGTCGCAACCTCCACGGACTTGCTAAGGGCTACGTTTTGATTTATTGCTGTGACAGATCTGACGCTTGAAGTGGGATTCGTGGCAACCCACTTCAATACTGTCAGAGCAACAAGTATATACATTTAGAAATAGTTTTACACAGGCTTGTCCATCGGACATATTTTTCTGTCCCATTCCCATAAAAATTATGCCTAAACCATCCCATAAGATTCCCATTGAAATAAAATTCAATAAAAATTGTTAAATTTTGGTTTAGCGTCCACTAAATAGGACTACATGTACGAAGAGCCATGCGAAACAACAAAAATTTACGAAATTTGTTAACTCTATAGTCATAACTATTATACATGTGACCATCCGCCCCATCACGAAGTATATTGTTAATGCTGAATATATTTTGTTTTTTATAGCTAACAAGAGAGCTATGCTCAATATAGACACTAAATAATTTTACCATCATTTCCCCGAAAACTATATACAATTTTCGTGTCCCACTTGTCCCATGGGAAATACAAATGTGTGCTATCCCATCCCATGGGACGTTTCCCATGGGAATTCCATTCTCATGGACAACCCTGGTTTTACAACGCGTTAAATTTGTGATAAAGGAAAACCAAAAAATCGGATTTTTTATAGTTATTTAGAACTGGTTTATAATCTGGTATTTCAACCGAGCATTTTGTGAAACGGTTTTGAAAATATCTTGATTGCTGTGGTATTTACTGTGATATGTAACGCGATTTAAAAAATTAGATAAATAGTGTTGAAGGTTAAACTTCCTTCTCTCGATCGGGGTAACAAATTCGCCACTTTGTTTATTCTTACTAAAGTAACCGATGTGTGATCACTTATAGTTAAATGGAGTTTATGGTAGATCAATCCATAACACTTTATGAGGCGTTCATCACACTTTCACTCTAAACAAGGTTCAACACGCAGCCACTTGTGCGCAAAAGGCTACTATTTTGGGATGGTTCGGCATTCCCTCCCAATTTTTCATACCCTCGTCCGAGATCTATATAGATGCCGATATAGTTAAGTTCTATATATATGTGCAACGCTTCAACCACTCGTTCATGTTTGTTCAAGGCTAGATGAAAGAAGGAGTTGACACCTTTCCATCAATCAAAACTAGAAAAAACAAGAGTAACTTGTTTAAACCCTTGCTGGTTTGAGTGAATATTACTAGTACTCAAGATTTTTAATAAGAGATTCCAACTGAAGTAAACGCGAAAGCCTGCCTACTCGGTTTATGTTTTCAGTGTTCACCGCAATCTACTTGATTGTTGAGGCAGTAGCTATCGGTAGACTGATTTCGAAACTGAGGTGTTTATAAAAAGTGTTATTTTAACCTGTTTACCAATATGCCACCACACTTTTATGATATTTATCGTTCCATGTATAAACATGTATTGCTATTGTTTATGCTCAGATTATCTTTCCACAGAATATATATATATCGTGTGTATAGGTTGGCATGTGTCAACCCGAGTCATACTTTTCGACATTTTGTGGAAACGACGTATATTTTAAAATGATTCGACTTAGATAATGTGAAATGGCTCAACTTTATTCGAGTCATGAACTGTAACGTTGGGAAGTGTCCTAATCAGATTAAACCAAATTTCCCATTTCGTAAATGTTTTGACTTGCCAATTTAAACTGTCTCACACATTTCAGCGAAAATTGAGTTTGACTAGACTTGCCTCAAATGATTTACAAGTATCGACTTCTCCTTGGGTAACCATCAATTGATATTGACCCTGTCGTGTATTGTTATTTCTTTTGAGACATTTTACCTTACTTTTCACTGTGAAGCTTTCAAGTGTTTCATTTTATAAATATTTTTGTACTACACTTGTTTCATTCGAATAAACAATTACTGCATTCAAATATTATCGTGGTTTGCCAACAAAGAAAGTGAACACATTCCGTTAAAAGAGATGATAAATTTGCTGATTTAGTCGTGTTGGATATTAGACTAAAGGGAATAATTAAAAAAAATATTACTAATCTGAATTTGAAGTGTCATGTCGATTGTGATTGGATGCTGAAAAAATTGTTTCATCAAAATATAACTGGCCAATCCTAACTTCCCGTGTGACAAAATAGTACAAGTCTAAGAATACCGTAATGCTAAAATATACGGTAATTTTAATATTATTAATATATATAATTATACGTAGTAAAATTAGTATATGCATTTTTTTTTAATTCTTGTCTATCTCATTCTTTCTCTCTGTGGCAAATACCATTGCCAATGTCCTTGTCCAAGCCTTTTGTAAAGCCAAGTATCAAAAAATTGTCAAAGGCATTGGCGTTGTTGTATTTAACATGCTGTCGGTGGTATTTGCTTTCGAAGAAAATTGTTCACCTGCGCTCTACAAAGACAAATATTTTCTTGTTTTGAAAGAAAGTGGATGTCGAATTAAAATATGATATGCTCGATGAAACAAGAGCGTAGCCACCCCAAAGTTTTTTTTGTGGAGAGCCAAATGCTTTGAAAAGACAATTACTCGGGTCTTTGCTGTGAGCAAGGTCAGGTACAAACAGTCACTATTATCTAACGACAGTGGTTCCAACCGTTATGGCTCGTGGCTCTCTGCCCGAGTCATTAACATCACACTTACCAGACTAACGACTGCTCCGAACACAATTTTTGGTACAATGATTGTACACCAAACAGCCATAATTACTTGATTACGAAAATCTGAAATATATGCAGAAAAGCAGTAAATACATAAATTTTCAACCATTCCCTGTGTTCTATATTTTATCCCACAAACATTTTTTAAACCTGATCCTGTCAAATATACTCACTAGTCGACTTTTTGTACGGTTAGCCGTCGGGAAAGTTAGCCGATTTTATAGTTTTACTTATAGTTTCCTAAGTAGCGTAAGCAAAAAATCTAAGTAATGGATAATCGCGATGGGAAAGAACTTTGCTAACTACATTACGACATTTCAAACTTTATGTAGGTATGTCATCAACAAACCGACTCCCGGTTATTCAAACTGAAATTGTGTGATCAAATATTTGACGTAGATCATGAAAACCTAACATGAGAAGCAACCATCTGCCTTCCCTTGCTGCCTTTAAACACTCCCAAAAAGTATTATCTACGTAATTATCGACGAGTTTTCAAAATATTCAGGGTAAAGATTTATTTTTGAATTCAACAAATTTTGAATGATTCAATTCTGCTTGATAATTCGCATACAATACTAACAAGGAACAATATTAATTTCTTTCGCAGTTCAATAACATTATATGTACTACCTATAGCGTTTCGATCAAAATACATAAACAGAGGTTGATAAGACAGTCTGAATGATGTGCTGGAACATTTTTATCATTTTTTTCTCTGTGAATTAACCTCACAAAAGCACGAAGTTTCAAGTCTCGACTGAATCCAATGACCTACACTTGGGAAAATTGTTGTAGAATGATTCTCGTAGAATTTATTCTTAGATATGCCAGTGTCAACCAAATATTTTTCTAAATTGTGATTCATATTTTTACTCTGTTAACTAAATTGTTCCTCGACAATAAAAAGCCTGAAACACATTTGTATGCTGAATATATTGTATTAGGTGAAAATATGGTGATTTAATTCTGTGATATATGACACGATCATTAAAGCATATTCTTTCACAATAGTGTAACAAGTATTCGAACTTAGTCAATGTTGGATCTATCTGTACGGACAATAGATTCCGACGCACACACATACTCCTGAAACGCATTTCCATCCTGGTTTACAACGAGGGCGACATTGTTCTGTAGAACAAATGAAAAAAAAATTAGATGTTTTATTATTGGTATTGGTTATTCGATATTCCAAAAAAGGGAATATTTCGTTTCAAAGAATTGGAAAACGGAAGGAATGTTAAGTAATTATTGCTAATTGAAACTGGTCATGAAATGCACCAACTCGAGATCCCTTTTCATTTGAATAGTTCAAAATATTTTACATATGAATGTATTTTTCTCAATTCAGCCAAATGTGTATGGGGTAGTGGTTTGTAGTTATTATCAGTAGATACAGGAAATAGTGAAAATTAGTTTATTTTGAAATTTATTAAATTATAATTTAAATTTGTGTTATTTCCATGAAGCACAAATGACTTACTTATGCAATGGCCTGCGACCAGTGAATGCCCTCTATTTTTGCAAACGCATTTTCCATTTATGCATGTTGTACCCGGCCCACAAAATATAAGAGCACACGAATCTGAAAATGAACACTCAAATAATATTTTTAAAGACAATGTAAGTTTATTATATAAATATAACTTAAAAATTACAACTTCTTATAGTGGTTACTACCGCAGTATTGAAAGTTGAAAAAAATTGCTCATACGTTCGGAGTATAGATGTGGCAAGAGCTAATATTTTTTACTCACGACGGCATTCTCCAGCGTGGCAAATTTCGTTTGGTCCACAAAGTATTCGACGGCATATATCTATAATATCAAAAAAGTATCTCAAACACTACCTGGTCTATGTGTTTTATGAAAAAGGGAAGAGGTGAAAAAGATCAAATTACAACACTATTATATTAATTTAACATTGGAGAACTAAAGAAAAATTTACTTTTGAATATGAAACTATTTTTGATCCTAATTGGACTAACGAACTTCTGAGTAAATTTCGTTGTCATATCTCGCACACTAACTTGCATATATTCCTATAATATGAACGGATACGAACCGGACAATGAAATAAATCAATCGCGCAAAGTGTTTGTATATATTTAGTAGAATATATAAAATAATATGAAATTCGAATACTCTCAAGAACAAAAATCATATATTATGCGGATGTGGATTATCGAACAAGACAATCTTGTCTTTATGTAATTGAATATCCATTGGTTTGGCAAGTTATATTCATGATAGCGCCTAAATTCACACATACCGACACATTTTCCGCTCTTATCAAGTTCATATCCTTTAAAACAAACGCATTTTCCATTCCTGCATTCTCCGTGATCACCACATATTTGCTTTCTACATTTTTCTGAAACAGGAAACGAAAAACGACCATAATATTTTTTTCTGTTACATGAATTTTTAGCTAACAATATTTTCAACATTATTAATCAACTCAAAACAGAAAGTAACACTTCATAAGTCGATTCAAACGTGAAGCTTTCGGTAATTTAGAGTTTTAGACACATAATAGCTTTTTATTTGTAGTCCAGTGTTTTCTGTATTTTGTTTTTTTTTCAAATTCTTGAGTCAGTTCAGCATATTTTACGTCCATTTGCTTCGTGTATTTTCTATTTGAAACATGATGTATAATATAACTTTAGTACATGTATTGTAATAAAATGTAAGGACCGCTTTCATATCGAAGTTTGGCCTTCTTCGTAGAGTTTAAACTAACAACTGTTGATATATTGATACTTAAAATAAATTACTCTTTTACTCACTGACACATTTGTTTCCTTTCCACTCATACCCCTTTTCACACACACATCTTCCGTTTTTACAGATACTGTTAGGCGGGCAATATATTGGGCAGGTTTTATCTGAAAATTGCGAAAAAATCATGAACATATATATCTGTGATATTCAATTTCATGCTGTATTATTCAACTGAATTTATTAATTTTAGAAACACGGATTAAAAAGTCTTTATCGTTTTTCATTTGACATGTTACTTCTAATTTCTAATTGTTTTACCCCAATTATAACTTAGACCCCAAAACGACCCAAATATCCAGGTCTATTATGCTCTGCTATAACTCTGATATGCCTGCTGGAGGTTTTTGTAAAACTGTTTTAGTTTATCAGCGTTTTGATGTTATAATTATAACCAGCGCGTTTGGTTTTCCTGGAGAGTATAAAAGTCACTTACATGGCACGCAAACCCCCTTTTTTCTGTAATGTCCTGGTAGACATTCGCATATCCCATTGGGGCAATGTTCGTTCAGGGGACATCTTCTACGACTACGACTACGAATATTATTTTTAAAGACAATGTAAGTTTATTATATAAATATAACTCAAAAATTACAATTTCCTATAGTGGTTACTACCGCAGTATTGAAAGTCGAAAAAAATTGCTCATACGTTCGGAATATAGATGTGGCAAGAGCTAATATTTTTTACTCACGATGGCATTCTCCAGCGTGGCAGATTTCGTTTGGTCTACAAAGCATTCGACGGCATATATCTATAATATCAAAAAAGTATCTCAAACACTACCTGGTCTATGTGTTTTATGAGAAAGGGAAGAGGTGAAAAAGATCAAATTACAACACTATTATATTAATTTAACATTAGAGAACTAAAGAGAAATTTACTTTTGAATATGAAACTATTTTTGATCCTAATTGGACTAACGAACTTCTGAGTAAATTTCGTTGTCATATCTCGCACACTAACTTGCATATATTCCTATAATATGAACGGATACGAACCGGACAATGAAATAAATCAATCGCGCAAAGTGTTTGTATATATTTAGTAGAATACATAAAATAATATGTAATTCGAATACTCTCACGAACGAAAATCATATATTATGCGGATGTGGATTATCGAACCAGACAATCTTGTCCTTATGTAATTGAATATCCATTGGTTTGGCAAGTTATATTCATGATAGCGTCTAAATTCACACATACCGACACATTTTCCGTTCTTATCAAGTTCATATCCTTTAAAACAAACGCATTTTCCATTCCTGCATTCTCCGTGATCACCACATCTTTGCTTTCTACATTTTTCTGAAATAGGAAACGAAAAACGACCATAATATTGTTTTCTGTTACATGAATTTTTAGCTAACGATATTTTCAACATTATTAATCAACTCAAAACAGAAAGTAACACACTTCATAAGTCGATTCAAACGTGAAGCTTTTGGTAATTTAGACACATAATAGCTATTTATTTGTAGACCAGTATTTTCTGTATTTTTTTTTTTAAATTCTTGAGTCAGTTCAGCATATTTTACGTCTATTTGCCTCGTGTATTTTTCATTTGAAACATGATGCATAATATAACTCTAGTACATGTATTGTAATAAAATGTAAGAACCGCTGTCATATCGAAGTTTGGCCTTCTTCATAGAGTTAAAACTAACAACTGTGATATACTGATACTTAAAATAAATTGCTCTTTTACTCATCGACACATTTGTTTCCTCTCCACTCATATCCCTTTTCACACACACATCTTCCGTTTTCACAGATACTGTTAGGGGGGCAATATATTGGGCAGGTTTTATCTGAAAATTCAGAAAAAATCATGCACATATATATCTGTGATATTCAATTTCATGCTGTATTATTCAACTGAATTTATTAATTTTGAAAACATGGATTAAAAAGCCTTTATCGTTTTTCATTTGGCATGTTACTTCTAATTTATAATTGTTTTACCCCAATTATAACTTAGACCCCAAAACGACCCAAATATTCAAGTCTATTATGCTCTGCTATAAATCTGTTATGCCTGCTGGAGGTTTTTGTAAAACTGTTTTAGTTTATCAGCGTTTTGATGTTATAATTATAACCAGCGCGTTTGGTTTTCCTGGAGAGTATAAAAGTCACTTACATGGCACGCAAACCCCCTTTTTTCTGTAATGTCCTGGTAGACATTCGCATATCCCATTGGGGCAATGTTCGTTCGGGGGACATCTTCTACGACTACGAATATTATTTTTAAAGACAATGTAAGTTTATTATATAAATATAACTCAAAAATTACAATTTCCTATAGTGGTTACTACCGCAGTATTGAAAGTCGACAAAAAATGCTCATACGTTCGGAATATAGATGTGGCAAGAGCTAATATTTTTTACTCACGACGGCATTCTCCAGCGTGGCAGATTTCGTTCGGTCCACAAAGTATTCGACGGCATATATCTATAATATCAAAAAAGTATCTCAAACACTACCTGGTCTATGTGTTTTATGAAAAAGGGAAGAGGTGAAAAAGATTAAATTACAACACTATTATATTAATTTAACATTAGAGAACTAAAGAAAAATTTACTTTTGAATATGAAATTATTTTTGATCCTAATTGGACTAACGAATTTCTGAGTAAATTTCATTGTCATATCTCGCACACTAACTTGCATATATTCCTATAATATTAACGGATACGAACAGGACAGTGAAATAAATCAATCGCGCAAAGTGTTTGTATATATTTAGTAGAATACATAAAATAATATGAAATTCGAATACTCTCAAGAACGAAAATCATATATTATGCGGATGTGGATTATCGAACAAGACAATCTTGTCCTTATGTAATTGAATATCCATTGGTTTGGCAAGTTATATTCATGATAGCGTCTAAATTCACACATACCGACACATTTTCCGTTCTCTTATCAAGTTCATATCCTTTAAAACAAACGCATTTTCCATTCCTGCATTCTCCGTGATCACCACATATTTGCTTTCTACATTTTTCTGAAACAGGAAACGAAAAACGACCATAATATTGTTTTCTGTTACATGAATTTTTAGCTAACGATATTTTCAACATTATTAATCAACTCAAAACAGAAAGTAACACTTCATAAGTCAATTCAAACGTGAAGCTTTCGGTAATTTAGACACATAATAGCTATTTATTTGTAGTCCAGTGTTTTCTGTATTTTGTTTTTTTTTCAAATTCTTGAGTCAGTTCAGCATATTTTACGTCTATTTGCCTCGCGTATTTTTCATTTGAAACATGATGCATAATATAACTTTAGTACATGTATTGTAATAAAATGTAAGAACCGCTGTCATATCGAAGTTTGGCCTTCTTCATAGAGTTAAAACTAACAACTGTGATATATTGATACTTAAAATAAATTACTCTTTTACTCACCGACACATTTGTTTCCTCTCCACTCATATCCCTTTTCACACACACATCTTCCGTTTTCACAGATACTGTTAGGGGGACAATATATTGGGCAGGTTTTATCTGAAAATTCCGTAAAAATCATGAACATATATATCTGTGATATTCAATTTCATGCTGTATTATTCAACTGAATTTATTAATTTTAAAAACATGGATTAAAAAGCGTTTATCGTTTTTCATTTGGCATGTTACTTCTATTTATAATTGTTTTACCCCAAAACGACCCAAATATCCAGGTCTATTATGCTCTGCTATAAATCTGTTATGTCTGCTGGAGGTTTTTGTAAAACTGTTTTAGTTTATCAGCGTTTTGATGTTATAATTATAACCAGCGCGTTTGGTTTTCCTGGAGAGTATAAAAGTCACTTACATGGCACACAAACCCCCTTTTTTCTGTAATGTCCTGGTAGACATTTGCATATCCCATTGGGGCAATGTTCGTTCGGGGGACATATTCTACGACATTGACACTTTCCGTCAATACAAACACTTTCAGGCGGACATTTCTTAGTATCACACGCTGAAAAGAAATTCAACACCAAGAAAAATTTATATTCGTTGAATAATTTGTCGTAAAAGGATCAATGTTACTTCATATATAATTATAATTTAGTTTTCACAATCAATGCAAAACTTTCAATAGTGCTACGTGGCTCTTTTCACGTCATAATTATTTAAATAAAACGACATACCGACTTCACAGCTTTAAAAGACTATAAAACAATATTATAAAATATTCTAGCTGAAAAATGCGCAATTATAAAAATACTTAAATTGAACAGACAGATGATTTGTGAGATATGTTGTCGCATCAATCCACTTGTTCCGCAATCCGGACAGAACCTGCAAAATAAAATAAAGTTAGATATCGGTCTTCAATAAGAATAGTTGCTGATTGTAAAGAGCAGTGGCGATCGCGCACAAGGGGGGCGTAGACAATTTTTTAGGTTGCGTTTAGCTAATTAAAAATATAAATATTTGTTAGATTGATCTTTCCCGCCTTATTTTTTGGATATTCACATTTCTTTATTTTGGATATTCACTTACCTTTTACGTATTTCAACATGTATTTTTGAATAAAGCATACTTTCGTTTAACTATCCGTTATTTGTAGCTTGTTAGCAAGTTATTTTTGGGGTGGGGCACGAAACTTGACAAATTCTAAAAAAAGGGCGCGGCTTGAAAAGTTTAAAGAACCACTGCTATAGAGTTTCGTTTGAAGAATTTTGTATGCTTGTGTAATGAGTGACTACTGATTTGCAATTCAATTTCTCTAATCCATCTTGTGGATTAGTTATGAAATAAAAATTGGGGTTCTCAGTCTATAAGATAAAATTACTTAACCCCTGGGGGTGAACAGGGTAAATCAGCAATCAAGGAATTTAACGTCAAAAATTTGATTCAACCCACCAAGAAAAATAAGACGAGTAGCGAGAGGAATCAGCGCTGGCAAAGAACTTATTTTGACAATATTTGGGTTTTATACACGCTACAATCAAGTATTTATTTGGTGGTAAAATCTGTCACCGCGGGCATTTCCGAGCTTTAGGATTTGTGTAATAGGATTTATTATGCTCTCACTACGGAGGTAGATCATGTTTGTTGGTTACAATCTAGCTAAGGGTTTTATTGTAAACATTGCACATTTTTACATTTATTACATTTTGCCCCTTGAAGTTCTTGTAGCAAAATAAAAATTTGGGAAAAAATAGGACGGAAATAGAAAATAAAGTTTGACAACCCTTGAAATAAAGCATATATATATATTCAAATCTACACAATATGGACTACTGACCGAATTTCGTCGAGACTCACAAACGTTAAAACTCAAAATGAAGAACGCATTTGACTAAGAACTTGCTAAGTCATGAGAATCTTTAAATACTCTGGTATGGGTTTGAATCATGTGAGGTTAAATTATGTTGAAGAGGATTGTTGGACTCCTGGTTTCCCTTTTGGACTCCTGGAGGTGATTTACGTACAACTGTTCTGTCATACTTCCGTCATTGAGTTCATGCATCCAAGACTAATAATAACTAGCTAACTAATCCCGATAGGCGATATGGACTGATCACCGGACGAGAAGCCGTGATGTCCACGTAATCAAGCCGTCTTACGGATTTCCTCTTTCTCTGTGATAAATATATAAAGACAAATATATATATCTACACTTACTTCAACAAACTCTCGATTCGTGAGATTCGCTTTCACCTTATTCGTTTATCCTCGTAACCAGGACATAAACTGCATGATAGAATACAAGTTAAGAAACTATCGAATCCGAAATATTCCAGCCCAATTAAAAACGCCTTTATGATTTCAGCAAAAGCGAAATGACCTCCGCCAATGTTATTTTGCATTTTTATTTCACTTAGCACATAGATGCCTATGCCGGTACAGATAGAATGTTTCGGCTTGGAATAAATGATATCAATTAATTTCAGTGTGAATTGAATTCAATTTATGAAACACGGCCACTTGCAAAGAGTAGAGTAATTTTTGAGCAGTGTTCCAACGTTTACCGTTAAAACTCCCCTCCGCCTATTTTGGAACTTTTTATTATTTTTTGACTTAATAGATCATGCGCACTCACACTTTTGTACATTTTAGGTGTTATAATTATCCATTATGGTAATATTATTATAAAAGAAATACAGAATATTAGTAGCTGTATTTCAGCAAATACTGAGCAAAATTCTCATTGTTTCGGAACGTTAAAGGAAATAAATTCAAAAGAGTCTATGATAAAAAGTTAACCTACCTTGCTTATGCTTGAGACACGCCGGAAAGCCGTACCTTGCTCCATATGTTTTTCACTTACATTGGATACTTTCAAGCACTGATTGACAATTTCCGAAGCAAAATAAAACCACTGTAGAAAACACTGTACGTTGAAAATTTTTGAAGGTAATTTCAATATTTTTTAATTACATTGTTTAATCCATGCTTGTTTTTGTCTCAGAAGCAGCGGAAATACTACATAAATTTTATAAACAGTTTTCAGCTTCCACTAAATACATTAAGAACTAATTGCACACTACGATTTCGGTAACACAAACATCGGATTCTGATTAAGAAGCCCGTTAAGTATTATTAAAAAAAATGAAATTGAAGTAAACCATGATTCGAATTGAAAAAATATATAATAACTTACATACTTTCTTATATTTGAGACGTATCGCTTTCCAAATGAAAACGTTTCCTTTTGCGTTTGAAGAAATTCAATCACCGATTTCAAATTTCTGACATTTGAAAAAAAGAAGATACTAACAAGTAAATGAACATGAACAAAAAAACAACATAATAGCATAACGATATGTTCAGTTCGTGTCTAATAATATTGAAACTAATAACAAGTAATTACCCCGTCTCTATCAGTCGTCACATGGGCTATATTTAATGACTGTGTTGATAAAAAGCACTTGTAGCTGCCATGTCCAGCTATGCCGAAGATTGTCTCTTATCTACTTTTGTCTGCACGTGCAAAAGAAAATTCGAAGGGCAATCCTTACAAAGGGTGAATTACTTATTGCGTAAGACAGATTTTTATCTTACTTATTGCCTTCCTTAACAAAAACACTCGCAATTCGCAATGGTAGACGGAAATCTTACAAGGGTATTGGCTTTACAAAATACGAAAGTTACAAAGAATGAAACGACTTTAACCCGGACCGCAGATGCCCAATCATCAATATCAATCTGATACTTCATTCAACCGCATTTCCTCCAGCAGATCCCGATGCTAACAATTCTAGAATTTGTGATCCAATTCCACCCAGATCAATAATTTTAGGCCTAATACTAGTCTAACTGCATTAGTAAACATATAACTGTAAGAACATATAAATCGCCTGCAAAGAAACGAGAAAGCTGTAAATGAAGCCAAATCATTTATTAATTGCCGTTAGAATTAATGAATTTGTCAAACAGCCGAAAAGACGAATAATTGGAAGACTATTCAAAATGTAAATCTGAATGCACTTACAACAAATATACGTTTCTCAGCGGAAGAGCCCAGTAGTATAAAACCTCCATATGTAATCAGATTCATGTTAAGGGTAATATAAGAAGACAATACAATGACACTGACGGAATCCTAACACTTGGTTTGACCAAGATTGTATGCTATATTGCCATGCGGTTGTGCACTTATAAATGTAAATAAATTAACAGTTACCTCATTAATCCTTGACCGCATCTCTTCAACTAAACTTCCGTGAGTCTTCGAGTCAGGAATTCGGCAACGATCATCGCTATGTTATGGCCTAACTGTATTATTATTTAGTTTATCTTTAGCTATTAGTCCATGTATCTTTCGTTTTCATTCCACCTCGACAGTCCCACTTGGTAGACAATTGAATTGTAACAAATTTTCAATTGCTACTTTGCAAAAATTATCGAATATGCAGACTTAATTTTTGATGCGGACTTTAAAGGAACACAGGTATTTTTCCACCTGCATAAAACAATGATCTCATGTTCTTAAAACAATGAGATCATCGTAATTCCCATGAAATCTATGCTATTTCAATCTATTTTGCTATATATATAGTTACAATATATTTGACCTTAATTACTGCGCCGTTGCTATAAACCGGGCATAATATTAATCTTGCTCAACCAAAATCGCTCCTATCAAAAACGAAACGAACTTGTTTCTGATTGGGTAAAGAAAAACTCCTTTCTGAAAAAGTAATAAATAAAGATAGAGAATTTAATTTATCCACAAAACGGAAAAGTTCCAAAAGCTATTAAATAACCCAAAATAGCACAGACAGAAAAGCGAAAAAAAGGGGGGAAGGTAGGAAATATAGGAGGCAACCCGCAACTATCCCATTCAAGGATTCTCAATAGAACACGTATACCACCTGATTAATATAGTGCTTTATATCGGAGTCCAGATTCTAGGAGTCTAATATATAATAAGTAGTAGGTAGTCGACGGGACCATCGGATAAGTACGCAGATAGAAGACAAATTCATAGCAGCAACACAACATTCTACGTTACAGAATCAAAAAATGTAGCTTAAACCTAGGTTTAACTGCATTAGTATAATAACTGTGAAAGATATGGAAAAAGAGAACGCTTCTTGGATACTTACTACGTTTGGATATAAACAACAAAAGAAGTGACCGTTGAAATAATTTGAAAAAAAAAATTGAGGCAAATAATATCACCTGTACTATATCCGGAACATTCCAACACAACCGCATCTCTGTTGAGTTTTTACTTCATCAATGATATAGATCTTATTTATGAAATGGTCCAAACATCATTGCACAGGCATATCTTCCCAGGGGTCTTTGATTCAACACAAGTATACTCTCAATTCAATCTAGTGCTATATTATGGCCTAACTGTAATCCATAATTTAATATTTGTTTAACCGTAGTTTTTGTTCCGCTCAAGCAGTTTCCGATGTCAACATTCGCAGCTTGTTTACGTTCAGTCAGTTTGCATAAACACCATCTGAAATAGGTAACATGGCCCTATATAGGTTGAATAAGAGCTAACACAAGTTAATAATCTCAATTCCACTTTGTAGACATTTGAATCAATAATTGTACCCCAAAGCTTAGTTTAACTGCATTAGTATAGCTATGAAAAATGGCTGAAGATACAAGCGTTGGATCATGAAAAAATTACCCACACAAGTACGCACATAAATCATTAAACCTAAAAATTCACAAACATAAAATCAGTGCTCACCTGACGACGTCAAATTTGAAAAGACCGCCTGAGCGCAGACAAATTTTGACGTGGCAAGAAAAAAGTGTGATTATAATAAAGAAACAAAAGGGTGGAGGAGACCGCAAAATGAAGGCGCTTTTTCATTCGTTATTAGGAATCACATGTCTAGGCGACGTAAGAAAATAGCAGAACAACAAAAAAAAGGTGGAACATGCTGTTTGTCGCATTAGACGTTCAGTATCAAAGTAAAAAGATTATTGTTCAATTTTTCAGTAAATTTAGTTACATATTTTATTTAAACTATGATACATGTATATTTTTCATTAAATTATTTCAATATGCGCTATGTTTGGCAATATATACAGATTTACGTCAAATCTATTTCAGAAGTTATATTGTAAAAACTATCGATTGGCGTTTCATATACCCTGCTTCCTTTCTGTCCATCGGAACAATGACTAACTGACTTTTACATATCGGCATTGTATATCATGGGGAAGAGTACGCGCCTTTTCCGCTTGATTTGGAAAATGCGCGATGTGAGTTTTGGGGCGAAATCGGGCATGATCGACGTCTGCACAGCGAATAATTAAGCCTGTATAATATTTAAATTTTATTTAATTTGGAAAGAATTGTCTGTTGTTGCCTGAGGTATGTGAATCAAAGTTTTGAAAGGAGTGGGTGGTACGATGATAAATGTAGTCATTCGGATGAATATGCTGTTTTCCTTGTTCGAAAAAAAAACATCCACGATATCGTATTTAAACTTGGGAAGATCCAAAAATAAAATTCAATAGGGTATAATAATTAGCATAACAGTTCACAAATATTCGATAAAGCAAAAAAATTGCTTTCTTAAGGACGGAAAAAATCAGTGCAATTTTGCAAATTTACCTACCTACACCCACTATTCACTACGCACATTGGCTAGGCTCACTGACACGCTGTTTTCCAACCATATCAGTGCTTTTCCACCCCCAGTACTGAATGCGCTCGCAAACCGTCGTTCTCCATATGATTAGGCCGCGTAATTCAGGGACGTATCCAGGAATTTTCGAATGGGGGTGGGTTGAAATTTGTCAACCGCCATCGTGTCCGGCTGGGGCCGGAAAACGTGGGTTTTCGAGAATCTTGAAGGTCTAAAATGCGTTTCATGTACGATACAGATGATTTTTTATATCTCACAGGGAAGGGGTTAGCAAAATGCTTTGGTCATGTGACAGTAAATTTCTTTATTCCGGCTTTGACGACTTAAGAATGCAGTTGACAATTTAGCGGAGAGCCATAAAGACCATTTGAACAACGCGAGAAGGCATACGTTTCCATTCCATGCGTTTGGTTGGATTAACTGTAAAATTAGCTATTTCCATAACATACCTGAACTGAAGTACGATCGATAGATGATGTTTTATCCCTGAGCCCTATCTCACCATAAATTGTGACCATCTGACGTGTTGATAGCTGGTAACGGATTTGTATTATGACGTCACTAAAGGTTCTAAATGTTCGCAAACAATGGACTTTATCAACTCGTTACACTTATGAAAATTGTATTTTATTCCAATTTCTACACCTATGGTAAGTTGCTCGATATTTTTTCGTATTATCTGAAATAGTTTTTGGAATTCGTTGTCTATTCAATATTCCTATTTCTTCGTAGAAAATGGGTCAAGGAAAAAGAAGAATTCGAGTATTCAGACGCCAAGTGGGATGGCAAAAATCTATAAACAAAGCAGTCAAAGCTTTTAAAAAATGTGCCAAACTTTTTTGCAGGAGGCAAAAGGAGGAGCTCGAAAAGGTTGGATAAAATATTTCAATGGTATAACTTAACAAAGATATAAATATTATATTGATATAAGGGTTGATATTCTTCTTAGTAGGAGCAGGGTAAAATGGCGCGATTTCAGCATACAAGATTAAGCTTTTCCATGAATGAAATGCATTTGCTTCTGTACAGATCTATGACGTCATAATTTATTTGTTCGCGGTTAATGTCTAAATTACTGTAGCTTGTGTACAAAACCCTAACCAATCCTCGAAATCCGATAATAGTTGGTGTAATCATATATAGAAATTGACGGATTTTAGTCAAGCCTTGAAATGTCGTTCAACCATAAGTAGGGCGTCTACACCGGCCAGATAATATAGATATAGCTAACACAAGACAAAACAGATAGATGGACTTATTTTCCCCCCATTTTCAATTTTCGCAACACAGTGATGTTGGGATAGAATTTAACGTAGAATTCTTTTGCTTGTAGAAAAGAAATTCCGCATAGTTAGAGAAATACGCACCAAACTCTTAACATTTTAATAAACGACTCAGGCTCAAACTTGTCTTCGGCCCCCGACTCTGGACTGAAAAAAGTTTTGACTTCGATTGCAATTCCGAGAAAATTGGATAATAAATGCAAACACTAGCCTTCCCTATTGTCTTATGAAAACGCTTAGCTGACGTCTTAATAAATGTAAGCCTATGTCCGAAGAAAAGGTATGACCAGGATCCCTACAGCACAAATCCTTCATACTTTTTTGAGATCTGCCCTTCGATATAATTAAAAAAGGTTATTACATGCATTGCCCTTCCAGGATCCATCCAAAGGAGAGTTGCCTCCTACAATCTTGAATATCCTTCGTGACTGGGCAAGAAAACAGTCTAGCAAGGTTCGTATCTCTGTTATTGAGTCACGAACTATCAGTGTCGTAGCATCTTACTCGCATTTGTTTGACAAATGAATCTGATTACTGCAGTTTTAGAAATAGGTTACAATGCAGTACAAGTCAAGTGTTTCTTAAATTTGTTGTCTCTAAATACAATAGGTCATTTTTTGATAACTGTTTTCGGGTCAAAAGTTTTATCAAGCTGTGGTCACGGTCACAGATTTTTTTATTTTATTCTAACACCACATCTCTACTACCTCATCCGGTCAGAACTGAAGTAACAATATTTTGTCATCGATTGGTCTCTGGTGGATATTTTTATAAACAGAAAAATAGAGAAATTTCAAACTCGTATAATTTTCAGCTGTGTGTATGCATGCAAAGTCAAGAGAGAGAAACGGAGAGTTTTGAAGAAGATCAGTCGATAAGAAAATACACATCTACAATCCAGGTAGTTTACACTTTTCGTGAAGAATTTGCCGTTTTTTACCAAAAAGCCTCTAGCCAAGCGTCCATAAAACATAGGACCTAAGCCTACTATTCATTCTGATGAATATCCAATCACGTTCATATTTATATATAATTTACGTGCATTACTTCATTGTGTACGTGAAAACCAAAAACAAAATAAAGGCCAAAGCTATTCAATGTCGGGATTAAAGTTGATAAGAAAACGTTCTTTATTTTTGTTTTATCAGTTGACACCACAGGCACCAGATGTCACGATAAGCCGTTCCGTATGCAGCCAGCCTGTTGGACTAGTCCAAGATGCATGTTGTTCAGGACATTGCATTAGAAACAATAAAAAGGAGAAAGCAACATCTCTGTGGTATCAGCTATCACCGTCGTTTTCAGACGAGGTATAAATCATAACTTGTGACTTGAGCGTAAATTTTCCAGGCCAATATATATACAATTAGAATTGCGTTGGCGGTTTTAGAAAAGCATTGAATCTTTCACTATATATATTGCTAGAATTCATGAAACGAGGATAAAACGCCAATTCCTATATCGTGCCATCTAATACATGCAACGACCCAAGATAAGTTTAAATAACAACTCATTTCGGCGCATTTATTGTTGTTTTTAAATATTAGCCTACTGGCAATGAGAATCGTGGACTTCTTACTTTGTCGTATAATTACTTTATGCTCATACACCTCTGATTATATTATTCATTATTTCTCTTCAGGATCTTAGTCGAGAACCAACTCCTCCACATCCGTTTGAAAAAATATTGAGGGAACGAAATAGTCTCGATTACATGGAAAGAGTGAGTTTATGTTAACTATTGTTACTTGGACGCACTGCGTACAATAACATCTTACTGAAATTTGATTTTTTTTTTTTTTCAGATGGACATAGAATATGCTAAAATCAGGTCATTGGTAAGATGTTTAATGATAAAACTTTCAAATTATTATTGACCGTGACACTATTAAGACAGAATACTTACGTTTCAATTTACAGGATTCAGATGGAAGTCAGTCGCCCGACTACATGCTGGCTCTATTACCTCCTTCCGAAGTAATTATTTTTTATATAATAAGTTATATCATTTCAATTCATGCCTTCATTACATGATTACTTTATAATTTCAGGCCAAGCAAAGACCAAGTTTCTTTTCAGATTGGAATAGGGTAAGTTATAGCTAGAATATCGATATATAAACATGGGGTAGCCTAGTTAAAAAAATCTCTCATAACTCCACTTGAGAATTGTTTAGCAAGGTGTTTTATGGCGTGTCGGCCCACAGGTAATAAAAAATTACACATATATATTTTTTCTTCGTTTAAGCCGAATCCATTTTTCCGCCTGCCGGGAAACACACCACCTCCTTTTCCATCGGACTGGAATTTTAACAAAGAATCAGAGGTTAGAGATAAATTTGACTAATCGATGTTTAGGGTTTGGTAGTTTATTCTTCAAAGTTTAAATGTGGTCGGACGTGAGGTGTGTTATTTGGCTATTCCAGGTTTCGGGTCCACTTCAGGGCTAAAATTAGGCCTTATATATGTTTTTGGTTCAGAATGCATTCTGTCTAATGTAACTATATTTGTTCTCACAGCGCTACTACAGGGATGTACTCAAACTTGTATATATATTGCTAACCTAATTTTTTACATTATGATCTCATTCAATTATAACATATATTTATATGACAGGATTGTGCCAAATCTGAACAACTCACTCCTACCGCTTCTCCTGAGTCGGAATATGAAGTGGCCAACGATGTTACAGATGGAATACCTGAGGTCTGATGAATAGTTTATATTTACGTATATATAGAAGTATACTCGTCGCAATGATTATTGATATTTTTTTGTGATTCGTTTACTCAATTTTCCACCAAAATAATTAGGTTTGAGCAGAAACACATCTTATTAATATTGTCTTTTAATTTAGTGCTATAGTATTCCTCTTTATATATGCTGCAAAAAATGTCATGCTGACTAGTGAATGAGTAAATTTAGTTGGGTAGGCAAAAGTATCTGTCAATCTAGGTTTAACAGTACAATTTTATATCTACAGGTCAAAACTGCTGATATTGAAAAAGAGAAAACAACAGACATTCAGGTAAACTGTTTGACTCAAAAATTGCTTTATTTTAAACTCTTATATGATACGCATATTGTCAAAAATATATTCACTAGATTGCAATGGCAGTAGCTGAAAGAGTGAACTGGATGCTTGAACAGGTTGAAAATAACGTTGAAGAAAATTCATCCAATGATTCCAATATTAAAGTGAGTTAAAATTGGTCTTACATGAATCCGAAGTGCTGAAAAACTTTTTTCTGAATATTATCGGTAAAAGGCGATATCGTGGGAAATATTGGTCAAACTTTAAGCTTAAAATATCATTAATATCAATATCAATACAATATCAACAGGATTATTAAAAATTTTTAGGAACAAGAAAATTTTGCCTCTAATTTTCGAACCTAATTTCTATCGTGTTTTTTCATCAAATTCTGCACCATGATTTTATGTAAACCCGTATATCTGATACTTTTCACCTATATTTTTTTCTAATACTTTTTATTTCTCGATATGTCGTTTATCAAATGACGAGTAAGTCTACTAAAATGATAATAATTATCATTTTTTTAATATTTTGTTAAATATTTATAGGATCATGTGGAACTCAATGAGACCGATGTTCTTTCGACATCAAGTTGCAACTCTTTACAAGTATGTCAGTTTACTTTTTTTGTCAGACATACTTCAGAACACGTCAGTTATAATTACGAATAAAATCGAAGTTTATATTTATTTATCATTATTACATTTTTGAAAATCGCAGGAGGAAGCTGCAGTTTTCAGTTTGAAAGTCAACGAGGAATGCGATGATCGAGAGGTAAGTTATATTATATTTTAATAATACACCCTAAATGAAAAAAAACGATTTAAAAATATTTCTGATTTTCATTTTTGCCATAGTTCGTGACTATAAATTTTTCAACGTCTTTGTTTCAGCTTGATAGTTTATCAGTATCGGTGGATATGAGCTCGGAAGACAATGAAGAAATTAACATTCGAGAGGTTCGTTTAAATTTTGTTTCTTATCTTGCATTTTGAAATTTGAATCAATAAAACTGTGAACTTTGTGCCAAAGACAATATTCTTCCATGGAACCCGGGAAGGTATATTCTAACAAGTTTTAGTTTCTACATCAGTGAATGTTTTACAGTCATTTAACAACAAAATAATCCTATATTTAACTTTCAAAGAAATATAATATCTGGATTGATTTTTCGCAGCTTGATTCAAGAGCAACTTACGTTGTTGATGGCAAACTTGCCGATGTTACTTCTTTGATTTCTGTGAGTGATTTATATAGAATAACAATGAAATAATTTTTATTGACATTAAATGAAAGAAACAAATCTATTATAGACTGACGAAACATGTGAACAATGGGTTGATGAAATTCTATTTGGCGAATTGGAAGTCGTTGGTAGAGAGGTAAGCATGATAGATAGCATTAAAATATTTTCCGACTTTTATTTTTTCAATCCCATACTGTTTCATGTTGGCGTTTGACGTTTCTATCTGAAATGAACAATCAAATATAATTTAATTATTTTTTGTCATCAACATCGTAGAACAGATTTTTAACACATTTTATCACGGATCATTGAGACTATTTTTTGGTCGGAATAGTACAAACAAGCAAGCATACAAAAAAACGCGTTCGAACTCTTTCGTTCAGATTCCCTTTTTAAAACTCATTGAATTATTCCAAACCGATTTTAATATTGATGTAATTGCTTACAGATGATGTCACGAGCGACATACATTATTGAACAAGATGCCTCCTACCTCGAGCCAATTGTAAGATACGATGATACGTTTCAACGTTTTTTTATTCAGTTAAAAGTTCCATCATTATATCGTAGCAATACGATCCTATGAGTTTAACATAGAGAAGACAAATTAATCAGCGTACAATTTTTTTTTTTAAATTGACTTCTCTTGATGCATGCTAGGCTCTATTGATCGAAATCTTAATAGATCACTATCTAAATGAGACTGTTTGTCTAGTCTAGGTTCCTGTCAGGGCATAATGGCGAAACAAAGTCGATTTAATTTAAAGTAACATTCGTATTTTATTAAAAATTTTGTAATTTATAATAATATTTGATAGATGGATGAAAAATCAGAAACTCCAATCGATGACATGATAAACGAAATTTTGGAAAACACTAAAAGTTTGATGGAAGAAGAGAGAGTGAGTTTATTTCTATTTTTAACTCGATTAAAAATTTATTCTCCAAAACATTCCACACCTTAAAATTTACGGTCTTCTTCTTCACAAAAATATTGTAAAATCATGTTTGACAAGAAAATGCGATTCATGAAATCCATTAATTCAGTAATATAAAGTTCAAATGCAACAGAAACATATCAATATCTTAATATTTTAATTCCAGTTTAAGGACGAGAAAAACAAATCAAAAACAAAGTCATCTTCAAAGGAAGATCCTGAAGACGTCGATAAATTTATACAGGTTAGTTGTAATACGCTATTATGTGAATTCTGTCTGATCCAAGCAAACCTGACTATCGAGATATGAATAACCAAAACGTGTCGGTTTTCATATATAATGCTAAATTTATTCGCTTATTAAACTTCTATTAATAAAAAATCACATAAAGGTGAATTTATCTTGCTATATTTACCACTGACGTTTTCCTCAAAATAGGTTTCTTATTGACGTTCATTACATTTAACAGAGCTACCCCTTGACAATCAGAAATTTTCTAATTTACACATTAAGTTTTTATTTTAAAATTGCAGGATTTTCTTTCCGAACCAACACTGGTATAAACGACTGGACATCAATATGAGCATCCTGTCCGGCAACAAACGACAGGAAGATTCGGCAGCAATTTTACCAAATTGTTCAGAGCAAATTGATCAGAAATGATTTTATGTAGGATAAACCCAACGAGACAATTTTATCGTAACGGATTCGTTTTTTTGTTGTTATATATATATATTTAGTACAGTTAGAATTTATCTCGTAGTTCAACGTAATTTGGCCTCTCTAATGTAATAGTATTTTGTATGTAAGACTGCTCGAAGCAAGGTCGCGTGTCACCATTTAAAAGCCACAAAATGCGGCTGATGGTCGAGTCGCAACCTCCACGGACTTGCTAAGGGCAACGTTTTGATTTATTGCTGTGACAGATCTGACGCTTGATGTGGGATTCGTGGCAACCCACTTCAATACTGTCAGAGCAACAAGTATATACATTTAGAAATAGTTTTACACAGGCTTGTCCATCGGACATATTTTTCTGTCCCATTCCCATAAAAATTATGCCTAAACCATCCCATAAGATTCCCATTGAAATAAAATTCAATAAAAATTGTTAAATTTTGGTTTAGCGTCCACTAAATAGGACTACATGTACGAAGAGCCATGCAAAACAACAAAAATTTACGAAATTTGTTAACTCTATAGTCATAACTATTATACATGTGACCATCCGCCCCATCACGAAGTATATTGTTAATGCTGAATATATTTTGTTTTTTATAGCTAACAAGAGAGCTATGCTCAATATAGACACTAAATAATTTTACCATCATTTCCCCGAAAATTATATACAATTTTCGTGTCCCACTTGTCCCATGGGAAATACAAATGTGTGCTGTCCCATCCCATCCCATGGGACGTTTCCCATGGGAATTCCATTCTCATGGACAACCCTGGTTTTACAACGCGTTAAATTTGTGATAAAGGAAAACCAACAAATCGGATTTTTTATAGTTATTTAGAACTGGTTCATAATTTGGTATTTCAACCGAGCATTTTGGGAAACGGTTTTTGAAATATCTTGATTGCTGTGGTATTTACTGTGATATGTAACGCGATTTAAAAAATTAGATAAATAGTGTTGAAGGTTAAACTTCCTTCTCTCGATCGGGATAACAAATTCGCCACTTTGTTTATTCTTACTAAAGTAACCGATGTGTGATCACTTATAGTTAAATGGAGTTTTTGGTAGATCAATCCATAACACTTTATGAGGCGTTTATCACACTTTCACTCTAAACAAGGCTCAACACGCAGCCACTTGTGCGCAAAAGGCTACTATTTTGGGATGGTTCGGCATTCCCTCCCAATTTTTCATACCCTGGACAAGGTAGTGACCATGGGTTTTCGTCCGAGATCTTTACCCTGCGATGCCGATATAGTTAAGTTCTATATATATGTGCAACGCTTCAACCACTCGTTCATGTTTGTTCAAGGCTAGATGAAAGAAGGAGTTGACACCTTTCCATCATTCAAAACTAGAAAAAACAACAGTAACTTGTTTACACCCTTGATGGTTTGAGTGAATATTACTAGTACTCAAGATTTTTAATAAGAGATTCCAACTGAAGTAAACGCGAAAGCCTGCCTACTCGGTTTATGTTTTCAGTGTTCACCGCAATCTACTTGATTGTTGAGGCAGTAGCTATCGGTAGACTGATTTCGAAACTGAGGTGTTTATAAAAAGTGTTATTTTAACCTGTTTACCAATATGCCACCACACTTTTATGATATTTATCGTTCCATGTATAAACATGTATTGCTATTGTTTATGCTCAGATTATCTTTCCACAGAATATATATATATCGTGTGTATAGGTTGGCATGTGTCAACCCGAGTCATACTTTTCGACATTTTGTGGAAACGACGTATATTTTAAAATGATTCGACTTAGATAATGTGAAATGGCTCAACTTTATTCGAGTCATGAACTGTAACATTGGGAAGTGTCCTAATCAGATTAAACCAAATTTCCCATTTCGTAAATGTTTTGACTTGCCAATTTAAACTGTCTCACACATTTCAGCGAAAATTGAGTTTGACTAGACTTGCCTCAAATGATTTACAAGTATCGACTTCTCCTTGGGTAACCATCAATTGATATTGACCCTGTCGTGTATTGTTATTTCTTTTGAGACATTTTACCTTACTTTTCACTGTGAAGCTTTCAAGTGTTTCATTTTATAAATATTTTTGTACTACACTTGTTTCATTCGAATAAACAATTACTGTATTCAAATATTATCGTGGTTTGCCAACAAAGAAAGTGAACGCATTCCGTTAAAAGAGATGATAAATTTGCTGATTTAGTCGTGTTGGATATTGGACTAAAGGGAATAATTAAAAAAAAATATTACTAATCTGAATTTGAAGTGCCATGTCGATTGTGATTGGATGCTGAAAAAATTGTTTCATCAAAATATAACTGGCCAATCCTAACTTCCCGTGTGACAAAATAGTACAAGTCTAAGAATACCGTAATGCTAGAATATACGGTAATTATAAGAGATGAACAGTTCAGAACATATACGTGATATTCAATAAGTCATTCTGTAATACATAGTAAAATTAGTATATGCATTTTTTTTTAATTCTTGTCTATCTCATTCTTTCTCTCTGTGGCAAATATCATTGCTAATGTCCTTGTCCAAGCCTTTTGTAAAGCCAAGTATCAAAAAATTGTCAAAGGCATTGGCGTTGTTGTATTTAACATGCTGTCGGTGGTATTTGCTTTCGAAGAAAATTGTTCACCTGCGCTCTACAAAGACAAATATTTTCTTGTTTTGAAAGGAAGTGGATGTCGAATTAAAATATGATATGCTCGATGAAACAAGAGCGTAGCCACCCCAAAGTTTTTTTGTGGAGAGCCAAATGCTTTGAAAAGACAATTACTCGGGTCTTTGCTGTGAGCAAGGCCAGGTACAAACAGTCACTATTATCTAGTGACAGTGGTTCCAACCTTTATGGCTCGTGGCTCTCTGCCCGAGTCATTAACACCACACTTACCAGACTAACGACTGCTCCGAACACAATTTTTGGTACAATGATTGTACACCAAACAGCCATAATTACTTGATTACGAAAATCTGAAATATATGCAGAAAAGCAGTAAATACATAAATTTTCAACCATTCCCTGTGTTCTATATTTTATCCCACAAACATTTTTTAAACCTGATCCTGTCAAATATACTCACTAGTCGACTTTTTGTACGGTTAGCCGTCGGGAAAGTTAGCCGATTTTATAGTTTTACTTATAGTTTCCTAAGTAGCGTAAGCAAAAAATCTAAGTAATGGATAATCGCGATGGGAAAGAACTTTGCTAACTACATTACGACATTTCAAACTTTATGTAGGTATGTCATCAACAAACCGACTCCCGGTTATTCAAACTGAAATTGTGTGATCAAATATTTGACGTAGATCATGAAAACCTAATATGAGAAGCAACCATCTGCCTTCCCTTGCTGCCTTTTAACACTCCCCGAAAGTAATATCTACGTAATTATCGACAAGTTTTCAAAATATTCAGGGTGAAGATTTATTTTTGAATTCAACAAATTTTGAATGATTCAATTCTGCTTGATAATTCGCATCCAACACTAACAAGGAACAATATTAATTTCTTTCGCAGTTCAAAAACATTATATGTACTACCTATAGCGTTTCGATCAAAATACATAAACAGAGGTTGATAAGACAGTCTGAATGATGTGCTGGAACATTTTTATCATTTTTTTCTCTGTGGATTAACCTCACAAAAGCACGAAGTTTCAAGTCTCGACTGAATCCAATGACCTACACTTGGGAAAATTGTTGTAGAATGATTCTCGTAGAATTTATTCTTAGATATGCCAGTGTCAACCAAATATTTTTCTAAATTGTGATTCATATTTTTACTCTGTTAACTAAATTGTTCCTCGACAATAAAAAGCCTGAAACACATTTGTATGCTGAATATATTGTATTAGGTGAAAATATGGTGATTTAATTCTGTGATATATGACACGATTATTAAAGCATATTCTTTCACAATAGTGTAACAAGTATTCGAACTTAGTCAATGTTGGATCTATCTGTACGGACAATAGATTCCGACGCACACACATACTCCTGAAACGTATTTCCATCCTGGTTTACAACGAGGGCGACATTGTTCTGTAGAACAAATGAAAAAAAAAATTAGATGTTTTATTATTGGTATTGGTTATTCGATATTCCAAAAAAGGGATTATTTCGTTTCAAAGAATTGGAAACGGAAGGAATGTTAAGTAATTATTGCTAATTGAAACTGGTCATGAAATGCACCAACTCGAGATCCCTTTTCATTTGAATAGTTTAAAATATTTTACATATGAATGTATTTTTCTCAATTCAGCCAAATGTGTATGGGGTAGTGGTTTGTAGTTATTATCAGTAGATACAGGAAATAGTGAAAATTAGTTTATTTTGAAATTTATTAAATTATAATTTAAATTTGTGTTATTTCCATGAAGCACAAATGACTTACTTATGCAATGGCCTGCGACCAGTGAATGCCCTCTATTTTTGCAAACGCATTTTCCATTTATGCATGTTGTACCCGGCCCACAAAATATAAGAGCACACGAATCTGAAAATGAACATTCAAATAATATTTTTAAAGACAATGTAAGTTTATTATATAAATATAACTTAAAAATTACAACTTCTTATAGTGGTTACTACCGCAGTATTGAAAGTCGAAAAAAATTGCTCATACGTTCGGAATATAGATGTGGCAAGAGCTAATATTTTTTACTCACGACGGCATTCTCCAGCGTGGCAAATTTCGTTTGGTCCACAAAGCATTCGACGGCATATATCTATAATATCAAAAAAGTATCTCAAACACTACCTGGTCTATGTGTTTTATGAAAAAGGGAAGAGGTGAAAAAGATCAAATTACAACACTATTATATTAATTTAACATTGAAGAACTAATGAGAAATTTACTTTTGAATATGAAACTATTTTTGATCCTAATTGGACTAACGAACTTCTGAGTAAATTTCGTTGTCATATCTCACACACTAACTTGCATATATTCCTATAATATGAACGGATACGAACCGGACAATGAAATAAATCAATCGCGCAAAGTGTTTGTATATATTTAGTAGAATATATAAAATAATATGAAATTCGAATACTCTCAAGAACGAAAATCATATATTATGCGGATGTGGATTATCGAACAAGACAATCTTGTCTTTATGTAATTGAATATCCATTGGTTTGGCAAGTTATATTCATGATAGCGTCTAAATTCACACATACCGACACATTTTCCGTTCTTATCAAGTTCATATCCTTTAAAACAAACGCATTTTCCATTCCTGCATTCACCGTGATCACCACATCTTTGCTTTCTACATTTTCCTGAAATAGGAAACGAAAAACGACCATAATATTGCTTTCTGTTACATGAATTTTTAACTAACAATATTCTC